GATTTCATCAAACAATATACAGCAACGCTCGTCGTCTAGAGACTCTTTCCCATGAACTTTCTCTTCGTGAAACTCAGCCAGAACTAAAATTGGTCAGTATTTGGGGTAGATCAGGAGTTTATTCTTTGCTCCCTCTTACCTTTGATGGCCCAACTCCACCGGGGTATAATCTAGCGTGTAGGCGGATGGCGATCTCCTGTCGCACCTGCGAGATGAACCTAGAATCGCAAGACCCGATTAGCAAAAATTGCTCTGCAATTTATAGCAGCGAGAATCTCACTGGCGAAGAGTCTCGGCATCCTGGCGGTCGCGCGGGGGCTCAAAGGCCTGATTAAGCGGGAACGACACATCACCGGGGATAGCAAAGCTGTCGAGGGCGGCATTGGTCAAGGCCTGGGAATACGATTGTCAATAATAATTCTGCTATATCAGGCTTTCGATATAGTGTATCAAAATTTACCTTCTCCGCATCACGGGCATTCATAGTTGGCTTGACCTTTCCGAGGCAGTCGCTAATAAACAGGGTTCCATAAATGAGCATGCGGTCCGCGGGGCCGTTGATCTCGAAGTTGCGGAACAAGACATTGGCACGGAAGAGCGACAGGATTTCATCGACGCAATCATATGATTCACTTTCTGGCGACACGTCGATGTCGTCGGTGTTGGGAAGCGGGGGCAATGTGTATGCGGGGCCACGAGTACGGGTTCGGAGGGGAAGAATGGGGAAATTTCCTAGTCAGGAGACGTTCTATGGTCAATTTGGTCCCTGAAATGTCGATTCATAGCTCAACAACTCCTGTGGTAGACTTGATAGGAGTCTCCTACCTATCACGGGGACATCGCGGTCTTCCAGGAAGATGGAGTGGTATGCCTGCATTGAGGGTTAATAAGGGGCTCCGGGAACATCTGAAGGTATCAAGTCATACAGGCATTTTGAATGCGTCAAATAATCAAATTGCAGGATGTTCAATCAAAAGAGACGGAGGGGACAAGTTGACCCGTTAGGCAGAGGGATGTCATCTGTGGAGTCCCCAAGCTCCATGATTTTCCGCCCCGAGCCTCTTTACGCGCTCCACGCGTCAAACCATTTGGGCACTTTTCACGGTTTACCTGCTTTTATTGACAGGGCCCTTGATATTGATTAATTATCTCTACTCAATAAACCCTCCACTATGTCGGACTACGAGGATGAAATGGACGTGGATGCGCCCAAGGACGTGCAATTTAGCTCCGACAATGCCAGTGGAAAAAAGAGAACTGTCGCTGATCTGCCAGTCGAAGCTCAAGATAATTTGCCGTGGTGAGTTTGAGAATTGTATCGATTGTGTTCTCTATGCATATATGCATAACTAACAAACTTGTCAGGGTTGAGAAATACCGACCAAGTAGCCTGGATGATGTCTCTGGCCATCAAGACATCCTCGCGACTATCAACCGGTTCGTCGAGACAAATGTAACAAATGCCTATAATTATGGATGTACGACAGCCTTTGGATTGACACTCTTATACAGCGACTGCCCCATCTCCTCCTCTACGGACCTCCAGGAACCGGAAAGACGTCCACCATCCTAGCCCTGGCGCGACGGATTTACGGCACCAAAAACATGCGACAGATGGTGTTGGAGCTGAATGCAAGTGATGATCGTGGTATTGATGTTGTTCGAGAACAAATCAAGACCTTTGCAAGTTCGTGCCCTAGGAGTCTCGAGTTGAACTACAAGCTTACTGTGAACACCCAACAGGCACCAAACAGATCTTCAACATGGCCCCCCAAGGCACTGCTGGCTCCCCTCTGGCAGGTTTCAAGCTTATCATTCTGGACGAAGCCGATGCGATGACCTCGACCGCACAAATGGCCCTCCGCCGTATCATGGAGCGCTACACGGCCAATACCCGATTCTGCGTCATTGCCAACTACACACATAAACTGTCCCCGGCACTCCTGTCCCGGTGTACCCGATTCCGGTTTAGTCCATTGAAGGAAGTCGATATTCGGACCTTGGTCGATAAAGTGATCGAGAACGAGGGTGTCAGGATACAGCCCGATGCGGTTGATAGTCTAGTAACTTTGAGCAAAGGTGATATGCGACGAGCCCTAAACGTGCTTCAGGCATGCTTTGCCAGCAGTAAGTTCATGTCCTTTCTTCCTGCTCACAACCCGCCCAATTGACCAATGTTATCTTTTAGGTATCCCGCTGCCGATGAGAGATGCTCCTAATGCCCCTCGACCCGAGTCCGAGACTATCACCAATGCGACCATTTATGACTGCATTGCCGCGCCACACCCGTCCGATATTCATGAAATCATGACCACCATCCTCTCCACCAGCGATGTCACTTCCTGTCTGAACACCGTGCAAACCCTTAAGACCACCAAGGGTTTGGCTTTGGCCGACATCCTTTCCGCATTAGCAGACCAACTCCAACAGCTCGAAGTCCCCGCTCAAACACGTATCACGTGGCTCGAAGGACTCGCCGAGATTGAATGGCGACTTGCAGGGGGCGGTTCGGAAGCTATTCAAACTGGAGGGCTCGTCGGCGTAGTGCGAAATGGATGTGAGTTAATGGGTGACAAGGGTGTTACGGTGGCATAAGGACAAGCGATTCGTCATATAAATGTAGCAAAATCTGGGTTGGAGTCTGGAGGCGAAAAGGAACAAGAATCTTATTTTCGAACACTTATCCGACATCTGGATTATCACTCGAATTCTAGTTTATTGTCATCTACATGTGTACCTATGTACATAGGTACCTCCAGGGCTGTAGACTTCTCCGCTATCCTCCGTTCTCCGCTATCGCAGCTCCGTGGTCTACCGCGGAGATGTTTTCTCTTAGCTAATTTGTTGACTTTTGACATTGCTTGTTCAAATATTAACCAATGACTTGATGAAACCCTTCCAAACTACATATGTACCTACCTAGGTACTCTCGGACTACTCCGTACAGGGAAACTTATCGGTTTTCCCCGCTCCTAAACTTACAAGCTTTAAAGGGTTTGACGGAAGAGTCAGTGGGTCTTGCCCGCAGCTTGACATTGACATAAAACTAGATAAGAAGGCTTGCACCCGGGGATTTCTTTTTTTACTGTTCTCTTCTCTGTTTGCTTCCATCTTTCACTATGCGGTACTCTATCCAGTCCGGTATTTTGCTAGCTGCATCTTTGTCACCTGTTGTTGATGCTGAGCGTGTGCTGGGTGCGTATATTTTCGCCCGCCATGGAGATCGCACACCAAAGGTCTTTGGTAACACTCAACTGACCGACCTGGGCTACCGGGAGGTCTTTGATTCCGGATCTTTTTACAACGAGCGATACATCTTGTCAGGCTCTTCCAAGCAGATCGAGGGCATTAGTGCCGATCTTGTCAACCCAAAGCAGATCAGTGCCACTGCTCCCTCGGATACTGTACTGCAGAACTCCGCCACTGGCTTCTTACAGGGTGTATATCCCCCCGTGGGGAAAGTGGCTTCCCAGACCTTGGGCAATGGAACCTCGGTCGAGGCACCATTGAACGGCTATCAGCTCATCCAGCTTGTACCTGCCACCACAAGTAAGAACGCTGAGGATTCCACATGGTTGCAGGGTTCCAGTGGATGCCAGAAGGCAAGCGTGAGCAGCAACAACTACTTTTCCTCCGAAATGTATACCTCGCTGCTATCCTCAACCAAGGAGTTCTACCAATCGCTTTCGCCCATGCTAGACGGTGCATTTGCCTCATCCGATATGACCTTCAAGAACGCCTATACCATCTTCGACTACTTGAACGTCGGCAAAATCCACAACTCTACCAGTCAATTCCCTCACAAGTCAGACCTGACCGACGAGGTATACCGCCAGCTGATTGCTCTAGCTGGAAGTCATGAATTCAATTTGGCTTATAACTCCTCCGATAAAGTGCGCGCCATCGACGGGGCCGTCCTGGCAGGCGAAATCCTGTCTGGACTCAACGAGACCATCGCTACCAAGGGCAAGTCCAAGCTGAACATCGGATTCGGCTCTTATGGCACTATTTTCTCTCTCTTCGGTCTTTTGCAGCTGCCTGCTGCATCAGTCAACTTCACTGGAATCCCGGACTACGCCTCGTCAATGGTCTTCGAACTGGTGACGAACGCCAGCGGCACCAACTTCCCAACTGATACCTCTGACCTCAGCGTGCGCTTCATGTTCCACAATGGTACTATCACGGGCTCATCCGAGCCTACTGCATACCGACTGTACGGCCAGTCAAGCGAGCTTCTCTCCTGGGACGACTTTTCCTCGAAGACCAAGGAGATTGCCATTACTTCCGATGCCGAGTGGTGTACCATGTGTGGAAACACAGACAGCAAGTGCGCTAGTTCGGACAGCACCAGCAGCAACTCCGGCTCTGCTAGCACCTCTAGCACTAGTGGCTCGGGGATGTCGCTAGCGGTGGCGGGTGTCATTGGTGCTATGGTTACCCTCGCAGTGATTCTTGGTCTGCAGGCTATCTTCTTCCTGCTTGGTGGATTCCGCATTGCAAAGCGGAACAAGGCTGGTCCTGAAATGATGAGCTCCTCTGCCGTTGTGGAGGCGGAAAAAAAGGTTTAGATTGTTGGGTTTCTCCGAATGGATGAGAAAAATGGGTGAATTCCGAGTCAGTAAGTATCTTCGCAGGATTTGCAATGCGTAATGAATCTATGAAAATGCAATAATAACTTGAATCTGATTTTGCAACTATACAATCCAACATGACATCTGGGAGGCTTTAATTAGCATGCATGTAACTGTAACGGGATGTTCCGTGCAACGTACTACTAGTATCTGATCTAATTTGTTTTAATTTGCAGGTTAAGCCCCTGTCCAAGCCAACGAGCATAATAATAGTTTCAATAGCATCTCTTCATCCTTGAAAACAACAAAACATCACATCCATATCAAGACAAGCTTGGAAGTGACCATCCTGCAGATTCACCGCCTTGAGTCAACAACTCGAAACTCCCCCAACTCTCTTCTCTTCTCTTCTCTCTTCTCAATCCCAGAATGCCTCGCCAACAAATCAATTTAGAACCCTACCGGGATGATATCATTGCTCTGTACCACCATGGCATCAGTAGCGACTCGATCAGCCGCACCCTCGAAAGTTGTCATAATATCCAGGTCAAGGAGCGAACCATCCAGTCCCGCCTTCGCAAGTGGGGCATCCGCAAGCGACACCGGACGACGACAGGCGACGAGGCTTTACATGCGCGCATTAAGATGCTTTTCATACAGGATAGGCTGACCGACAAGGCCATGCTCAACATGCTGCAGAAAGAAGGTTACGGTATCTCCGAACGCACTTTGCGCCGTCTGCGGTTTAAGTTAGGACTCCATGCCAGGGCTTCGGAGCAGCACCAGGAACAGGAACAGCAGCAAATGCAGAAGCAGATGATTATTCCACTGCCTCAGCAGAGGGACAACCAGTGTGAATCTGACCGGCTGGAACTCAAGCTTGATCTTCCGCTGGTTTCCATCAAGCAATACCCCATGCGCGACACATCATGACGATTATCAGTAATATCACCCTACGCGACAACACTGGACTACTCCCCATGCGACTCACCTGCGGCTGTTCATGTCTCGGTCTTTATCAACACTCCGGCAGTGATGATCTCAAGACTCCATTTTCTTGGATCGTGTCCAGCCGACATGTGCTTCCAAGGTTGGCCTCTCGATGGCTGAGTCACGTCTCGATCTTGCAACCGACAAAACCTTTTGTCGATGCCAATTGTCTCCTCGCAAAACAAGATCTCTCGCAGTGATGATTCGGTGAGTAGATCTTCCTTGAATCATTCAACCACCTACCAGCGTCAACTGCCAACTAACATCAGGCCTGACATCACTGCTCAGCATATGCTCAACATACCCACCAGAAAATCTCTTAGCTCCCGCTGCTATTGAGTATTCCCAAATGCGACAAAATTTCATGCCCAACGCTCAACTTCATATCTCATGTTACCTGGCTAGTCATAGGTGCTTTGGGTCTCATTCCAACACTGCGGGAAATGTGCGAAATGCGGCACGTAGTGTTAAATTCAAAAGAAATGATGTTCATTCCTTTTCCAGTAAATTATATCTTCCTAAAACAATGTCCTTGGACACTAAGTAAATAAGGGCTATATCAACATCACGTGACATGACGTTCCTTTCGAGCTTTTGATCGGAGGAACCAACCCGCAACACTCAAGAGGGGTGTCCATATCCCCGAATACACTACAAATCCTTGCTCTGTCCCACTTGTGGCACGCGCCGTAAGCCGGTAGCTTACTTGCCCATCATGTCCACCCAATACGCCAGCGAGCCCAATCCCACTGCGTCAGCGACGCTCAACACAACGGTTGGCCCTATCCAGATCGCGCTCTTCGCAAATCAGGCCCCTCTCACTTGCAAGAACTTCCTCCAGCACTGCAAGGACAACTACTATGCCAACACAATCTTCCATCGAGTGGCCCCGGATTTTGTGGTCCAGGGCGGTGATCCCACCGGCACTGGCTCCGGCGGAACTTCTATCTATGAATACCCGGAATTCGAGTTTGACCCTGAAGCTCGGGACCCAGACGAGCGGGTCGTTCTACGCGATGAGCTGCACAGTCGGTTACGTTTCAATCGACGTGGCTTGCTAGGAATGGCCAAGAGTGAGGACGGGACATACGGCAGTCAGTTTTTTATCACGCTAGCGAACACGGAGCGTGAGTTGAATGGACAATGTACAATTTTCGGAAGACTGGAAGGGGACAGCATCTACAATGTGTTGAAGATTGCAGACGCGGAGCGCATTGCGGGCACTGAGCGTCCTGTTTATCCGATCAAGGTGACATCCTGCGAGGTGGGAGAACTAGGGCCATTGGAGGGCAAGCTAAAGGACAGAAAGACAGTCTCAACTGCCGGAAAGGCGGATAAGGGCTCACCCAAGAAAAAGAAGAAGGCGCCTAAAGGCGGGAAGACGCTTCTGAGCTTTGGAGACGACGGAGACGAAGAAATGCCCATGCGCCCAGCGAAGCCGAAATTCAACACCAATTTGGTCGTGGATGCGCCAGGTGCGAAGCCCGAAATATCAAAACCCGAACCCCGAGCAGAAGCCCCATCACAGCCACGCAAACGGCCCCGGTCGCCATCTCTAGATCGATCACCATCTACAGAGCGTAAAAAGCGCCCAAAGACACCAGAGCCAGAAGCACAACTCCCCCTGCCTCACCCTGAGTCGCCTACTCGGTCTCCGACCCCTGACACCCCACCCGCAAAGGAGTCCAAGCTGTCGCGGACAAACGCTCAAATTGCCGCTCTGATGGCATCAATGCGCCGTGACGTCGACGTCGGGCCTAAGGACACCGGTCGAAAGAAATCTGCCCTCGAAGCCATGATCCCCGAGACCTCAATCCGAGGACGGAAACGACCACCTCCAGGGACTGCAAATGGCTCCAGTCGCAACGGGACGGGGCCCAGTAGCGCCGCTGAGCGAGAAGCATTGCAGCTCTTCAACGCCTTCAAAGCCAAGCTCGAAGGAGCTAAACCCGAACCAACTGCCACATCATCACATAGCAAAAGTCACACCGACAAAGACACCGAAAATCAAAAGGAAGACGAAGAAGACGAAGAGGCCCAACTCTGCGACCTGCACTTCATTGCAAACTGCCAATCCTGCCAGGCATGGGACGACCCCGAGGCAGAGGTGGACGACCCCGAACAGCAAGACGGAGGTTGGCTCTCGCACGAACTCCGCTTTGGGAAAGATACCCTAGGCAAAGACTTGAACTGGAAGCGCGAGCATGGAGGCGAGGCAGACTCACTTATGGTGATCGATCCTCGTGAACGAGAGAAGGAGGTGGTTGGACGAAAGCGGGGATTCCAGCGTGATAGAGAGCGCGAGCGTAAACGGGAGCGAGTGGGTGATTTGGAATGGGATAAGGGGCGCTGAATATTCCTATTCTTAAATGTCATTTGTTTCAACATTTCTCTACAAATACTATCCTAGCCTCCAAGCCTATCAATATTCCGGTCCCGTATATATACCGGAATGTTACTTGGATATTTTTTAGCCAGGCGCTACATGCCCTGTAAGCGCCGGCGTCATACAAAGGCGGTTTTAGGACATGCACATCTCCAGGCTCATAGGATTGGTTATTATGTCCGCCTCGTTCATTAGTGCCAGCCTCATTGCATCCTGTATCCAATGATGGTTGAAAGCAACACACCATAATGACGGTGTACATGGGGTTCCCACCTTAGAAAGTTCCTAACAGGACCAAAAAGATACATGTATAACTCGCATCTCCAGTATTTTTCGATCTCATCGTCTAACCCCACCTGGGCAGTGACCTTTTCTTGAGTGAGAAACTGACTGCCTGAAATCATGACTGAACGAAAGAAATTTCTCGATTCAAAGGATTTCGAAGAGGGTAAGGTACCCTCAAAACGTCAACTATACAGAAGCTGCCCCGGGCGCTAACTATACAAAAAAAAAAAGGCCTTCTAGCACTCGATAGTGCAATGGGTCGCGACGACTGGCTCATTGCATTCGCGCCCATCCGACTGATCAGTGCAGGTGGGTTCCTTGCAGTGTCATATCTCAAGAATCGCGAGAGTACAGGCGATGTCGATTATCTGATTGATCCGGAATTTGCCGAGGACAAGGAGATACAGAATGCTTTCCATGAGGCTGTCATTTCTGTGGCAGAGAAACTACACTTTACCAATGACTGGATCAACGAAGCCATGGCTATCTTCGTAACGAAGAAAACTCGACAGACCTTGTTTAAACTAGCCGAGAAACAGGACATTACGCTGTTTAAAGGAGAAAACCTCGAGATCCTGGCTGCTCCGATCGAATGGGCCCTGGAGCGCAAATTGAGGAGGATCTCTGCTGCGCAGCGGGACCGAAAGGCGGATCTAGATCTGGCGGATGCAGTTGCTCTTTTGAAGCAATTGAGAACTCGAAATGATGGCCCGCTGGATTTGGAGACCATCCGGAAAATGAATATGAACGGGTTCGACGTGATTCCCGATCATAAAATAATGCATCAAGTGGCTGATGCCTACCGTAGCGAATATAATAAGGATATCTTCAAATAAGATGCCACGGGTGCAAGGGCACGCTGATTCGATTGGACCCGGCCAATGAAGTTGATAGTTGATATGATAATTTTTCGAGTGCATCGCTCCTAGATCGTATAGAGCCAACCTGTGTTGGTGATGATATTGCGCCGAGCAAAATTAAGGCCTTTGCCATTCTTCTCGAGCACCAGATTCCCCTCGGCATCCAGTGACTCCGGTGGCACTGAGAGTTTCAATAAATCTTTATCCATAGGCGCCACATTTTTCGTCCAGTCTGGCAATTTTTCGGGGTTGAAAGGAGGCCACGGGTCTCCATCCTCCTCGCGATAGACGTGCTCCCGATTTCTCCGCAGACCGAGGCTCAATCTCCAGTTAACTGCCTCGTGTAGTTCTTCCACGATAGAAGCGACCATCGCATAACGAAGCGGATCAGAATCTCTCGGGTCTGGTATATCTCCGAGCTTCCAGTTTTGCTGGAAAAAGAAATACTCCGTTTCATAGCCCATCAGCTCATAACGATCCGCGAGGTGGAGCTCATAGAGCCGGTAAATAGACCGCAGTGGCGTGTCCCGCATTCGCCAGATCGGAACGCAGCGAAGGTTATGTATGGCGCCAAAATGGGATCGGATTATCCCGGTCCCATTTTGTTCGTCTTCAATCAATTCACGGAGAGAAAATTGTTCTGGGATCGGGAAGTGCCAGGACGGATAGGGAATAAACAAGCGAAGGAGCGTCAGTATGGGATACTTGTGTTGGTGTTTCAGGCGAATGAGACTACCACGTAGCCGGAGAGGTGAGCTCCAGTAGCGAAGCCATCTTCGAAAACGGACCCAGAGAGACAGCTTTGGTCGAGGGCGTCGTGGGGGCATTGGCAAGTTAATTTAAAGAGTTAGAGAGAGAGAGAGTTGGAGAGTTGGAGAGTTGGATAACAGAGGGCGGTGATGCCTTAGAGGTGCCTCAGGCCTAAATCTTTACCTACAACTATCACCTCCAATGTGACCAAGTACATAACATAACACCATCTGTTGAACTGGCGCCCAGCTCATTTGGGATTGAACCGTTGGAATTATATGAGGGAGAATGATATTGCTACTGTCATATTCCCCACGCTTTGGCCTTTTCAGTCGATTTGCCCACCTAGCTGTCTCCGTGGCTAAGCTTGGATAACTCCCAATAGGTCGTATCTACAGCTAGGGGCCTTTCACTACCGGTAAAACTAACCAGTTGTTTACAGGTCATTTCCCTCGAGCAGTTTCGACTTCGAGCATCTCGGGGTGAGGGTTGCAGATATTCTGGCGGTACAACGTTGCACAGCTCTAAGAATCCCGCTTCACACCAAACATTTCGGGTATCGTGATATCAAACACACCTTAGTCCCGATTAGATCAAGTATACTATTACCATGTCAAGCTGGATATGAACAAGGAAGTCGACACAACTCCACGACCCCTGGCGAGATACGCTACAGGGGATGTCCTCTTGGCCCCCATCCAAGGAATACTCGGCCACCAGCACGTATAACAAGTTGGCTAATTACCTCAGCCTTGGAGCCTAGGTAGTTTTAGTAAAACAGCTTGCGTCTCCCTTTTTCCCCTTCACTTCTCCATTGACCCTCCCTTTGTTGTGTTCCAATCAACTAGACAACCCGAGCAGGTCTAAACAGCAGAAACTACTATCTTTGAAAAGTTACGGATCGAATTCTGCTCGCCATTGCAGGTAAATCAAATACAGGTCTCTCTCTCTTCCAGACAACGCATGTGTAGGGCTCAGCGCATATAACGGTTTGAGGTTTGAGTATGCCGGGCCGTGGATCTCGGATCTCGGGTGATCTGCGGGGTACCCGTGGGCTCTGGTATCCACTTATCCCGAGACAGCGCGTCAGTTTAACATCGGTTGATGCTGCGGACTTTTTTACTCAATGCATATCATATCCTCAAGGATCAGTACATATGTAGGCTGGAAATGCATCGACAATGGGCATGCTACCTAGGTAGGTCTTAAATCCGAGGTCGAGGAAGAAGAAGGTAAAGCAAAGGTATCTCATTAAACTTCCAGTAATTGGATCATTCATGGACCATCATAGGTTTTTAAAGCCTAGTCACATTCCCCAGGCACGTGAATAACCCCCATATCAACAGGAAAACGCCTAATTGTACGCCGAAAAGTTTTGTCTCCATCCAAGCCCTAACCCGTGCTTGCGAACCTGCACCATCTGGTATTCCTTGCGCCATCGACAAAATCACGCCTTTCTGCGCCGTTTCGTAGCACTGCCACCATCATTTACAGCTTCGCCTGGAGTCTCCGTTGCTGCGGGACTGGTGGTTTCGCTATCCGTCAGCTGCTCGATCACACGCCCAGATTCATCGTAGCCGACACCGTCGAAGCCATAGTTGTAGGTGGGATCACCCTGCCCATTATGAGGTGTTTCAAAGAGATCAGGCTCGGCAGGGATGTGATCGAAATCGAACAGGTCGTTGGTGTCTCCGTCATCGCCTGGGGTGGTCCCCACGGAATCGTGTGTATTTTGACCTGCCCCCAAGTGGCTCATTGGATTCTCGGCCTGTTTCTTCATATCGGAAACTGCATCTCCAATGTCGGTGAAGTAGTCGTTGTTGAATATTTGGTCGAGGTCAAGCGGCGGGGGAGGTACATTGCCCTCACTGTCGATACCGGGGATGGTGCCATTCGGGCTCAGCGGTTGGAGAAGACTAGTCAAGTTCTGAACGGAACGATCCTGCTCAGCTTGCATCTTGACTAAGTTGTCGATTTCTTGTCGCGTGCTGGCTAGCCTGCCCGAGTAGTTGTGCGGCATGGGTGGCGGATTCGGCGAGATGAGCGCATTGTTGGGTGATACGCCAGCATTGGGTTCTGATGAATTTGTTTCGTTGGCCATAAGTCGAAGCATATCGGCGCGTTGGTTTGCCGTGAGGGGAACATTACCACCATGGTTTTCGAGGGAGGAGAGCACATTGGGGAACTCGGAGAAGTTTGTTGAGAGCCCGTTGCGTGCATTGGAGTTTTGGATTACAGACATAATGTCCCGTTGAGGGGAATTCTCGTCTGTCGGCTGTCCTGGAGAAACGTTTGGAGCACTTGGGCGGGGGCTGTGGTCAAAGACCTCCTCCACATGGCCGTGCTGGTTGGCGCTGGGTTGCCGAGCATGACCACGAGACCGCGTGTCATAGGAGCCACTGGCTGATGGTGAAATTGTGGAGGACCGAGTATACGGATCCTCTGCGGGTGGAGCCTTCAAAAGCAGCGGCGGCTTCTTCATTGTTCTCTGGGCATTCGGGCTAGTCATTGATCCTAGAGCATTGGTAAGGTAGTCATCATCAACATCCACAATGTTTCCTTGGTCCTGCGAAATGGCTCCCGCAAAAGAATTCGCGAGGTTTTGTGGGCCCCCCTCTCCCTGCAAACTGCGGTTATATACGGTTGCAAGGAATGTTAGAATGGCATTGATGGAGTTCTCATGGCGAGTGTGTTGCTCTTGGAAGTTGGCTGCCTGCGCATAGAGTTGCTCGTGTTCTTTCCGCAGCCTGGTGATTGTGGTTGAGATGATTGACTGCTGTTGACGAATCGCCTGAAGTTCGCGATATACCCCAGAAAGTTGATCATTGGGTACAGAGCTGTCCGTGACTAATGACAATTGCTGTGGTCGGGGAGCACGGTTATCACGAGGAGCCGGTGCACCCTCTTCAACATAATCGTCCATGTCGTTATCATCAATATCCTCCGTCTTAACGCGGGTGCCGCCCTTGCTAGGTTTGCTCGCATGTCCGCCACCTCCAGCGTTCTTTGGCTTCTGAATGAGCCATAACAAATCTGGGTGGCCTCGTTTAAAATAAGGGTTGGCGTATTCGCTGGGGCTCTTGTTTTTTCGTTCGCTGGCGCGCATTGAATTATCGGAAAGCCCGACCTTCTTGTGAAAGCCGTACATGTTCAGCTGTCGGACGAATGAGGCGTAGTTATTGTGTTTGAAGAGCTCGGGGATCAGAGTTCTCGCAAACTCATCTTCGTCTAGGACAACGAAGGAATTGCCATCGTCAGACCATCGGATCAATTCCGTATTCTTAGATTCGTCCAAGAAGCTGCGGTTCTCAGTTAGCCCTACAATTGATCACAAAGCGATAGCTGTATCATACCTGCTCAATTTCTGTACAAATGGCGGGATTTGCTTTCGTTTTGCCTGTGAATCTCTCTTCGCAGTCAAGGCTCGCCGATAGAGCTCCTCTAGAGACTCCCCCCATGCACCGCTCTCTCCATTTCCATTGTTTCCTCCGTTTTCCACATATGAAGCAGGAGGTTGCTCGTAGCCGCGGTTTCGGCTGACCACCTGGTTCGCTTGTCGGCGGGCGAGTTGGTTAGATGCTGTCGCAGCCGGTGCAGACACATCTTGGGGTGGCGCAAAGCCGACGGGGCTGTAGGAGGGATCGGAGAAGGCGGAGGTATTGATGGCATTGACAGGGGGGTTCTGGCCCCATTGTAAGAATTGATCGTTCGAAAGCTGAGATCCGGGGTTCGCGGGGGTCGGAAAGTTCGGTCCAGGGTTCATCTGAGGATGGACAGGCGGTACTGTTCCCGGTGCAGGTCTCTTGCGGGTGATTCCTTGCGAGCTCATTGTGAAAAGGCTGGCGTAAAGGCGTCGATTTGAATCTTATCGCGGTGGGGTTCGATATAGAATTGTATCTCGATTTTCTTTGGTCTCTGGATAGGAGACTGAGTTGACCGCAGGAATTTTGCCTAGGAGACAAAGGAACCGGATGCGAACTCAGTATGCAGGAAGTTGTTCATCCAAGTCGCTTTCTAATTTTGAGTCAAAAAGACTTTGACCACAGAACCGAGAGAAGAAAAAAAGTGGATAGGACTGATCAGGGCGCGAATTTTATCTTATAGACACCGAAGTAGACAAAAGATCATAGGAATCGACAACAGGCGGCAAATCAAGGACCAGCGGTGATTAGTACAAGGCAGATGACGCTCAATGGGCGCGTGAATTGTCCAACATCCAGAATAAGGCGGGAGGCTCCAGCAGAAAGCACCCACTGGGCGGTGAATGAGTTGATACGCCAAGGATTATATCTGACGGCACCAACGTTAGAAGACCTAGGGATAATCAAACGAATACACTATACTTTTAATTAAGATGAATATGAACCTTCATGCCACTCGGCGGCGAGACCAAGTTGCCCCTTTCCGGAGGAGGCGTTGACTGAGTCAGCAAGATAGCCCCCCAGGGGTGGTGACGAGTACAAGTAACGAGTACAAGTACTTTATGTTAACTAGTTACCATGTGATCACGCGTGCCTATCAGGTATCAGTACCTACACATGTACGGAGTACAGATGAACTGGTCGCTACATGTATCAATCATCGGTTTCAGCTGTGATCGTAGAATTCACAATGGCAATGTCAATATCTTGTTTCATTTTATATCCTCTCAATTATTTGAATTTTGCTGTAATCACTACCGTTAGGCACTACGCGACTGTCCCCCACAGAAGCATCAACACAGCTCGCTCAACGTTTTATATGGAACTGGATTCCCCTATCAAACCCCGGAATTCCGTCAGAATCTGTTGCCATAACTCAGGCTGCTTCTGCGTGAAATCCTCGACCTGTTTTGGAGCAGACAAGTCTTCCTTCATGCGCGACTCATTCTTAGTCCCATTCAGCACCGCCACATCCTTCAAGCCCATAACCAGAGTATAAAAAGCAGCAGCCGGAGTTATGTTAACATGGTGAGCAAGTTGCTGCACTGGCTCAGAGCGCACGAGGTCTGGATTCGCTGTCAAAGTCCAAAAGCTTTGGTACATGACCTGATTCTCGCGGCAGAACGCGCGCAGGGGGACATCAAACAGAGTGTCCTCGTAGAATCTGTTCTGTACCACTGATGGCTTCACAGTTGTCTGGGACGACGTACACAATTCTCGGAGGATAGGCAATGTACAATTAGATATACCTAAATTCCGGATGCGATGGGGGACATAAGTCTCGAGGGCGTGCCAGGCCTCCAGGGTCTGGGCTAGAGTTGACAGTGGCGAATGGATGATCACAGTGTCGATGTAGCTATCACCCGCAGAGTCGGGGTCAACTTTTGAGCGAAGATTGTGCAATGATGATTTGATAGATGCATGGACCTGATCCGTCACCGTCGCTGACGGATCATAGGGCATATTAGCCAGGTCCTGTGCAGAGACAGGACTATATTTAGTTTGCACCTAATTAGGGTCAGCTAGCAAATCCCCAAATACATTTAAATTAAAAATAGCAACAGCTCACTCACGTATAAGTCTGCTCGGCCGACGATCTCATCGGCAATTGCTCTGCGGATGCCATCACCAACGAGATTCTCTTGGTAATGGCGGGGTTGGGCCGCTGTGTCCACAGCCCGGAAACCGGCTTTAATTGCATTATAGACCAGATCAGCGCTGCGGTCTTTCTTCCAGGCTGTGCCATAGACGAAAACTGGGATAGTGGTGACAGTGCCCTGAGTTGGACGCAGGCAGTACTTTTCCCACATCTTGCTGACAGTCCGAGTCATCTGTGTTTAGAGATGAACCGAGAAGGGGTTCGTGATTTACTTTGGGTGTAGGAATGAGAGCAGAAGTACGTTCAACTTGAGAAATCCATGGATGTTCTAAATGATGTTATGATTGCGGGGTCCACTTCAACGCTTTCTGACTAAGTAGAAGTCCTCACCTTGGATAGCTGGAGGCAAGGCATTCAAGATCGAATCAATAGTTCGCCGGGTACAATATACTGGTGAGACTAGAATAGGTCCACTAGTTTTACTCAAAATACGGCAAAAATATCGCTAGTCGCGTTAGTCTGGACTGTCTACCAAGCCACTTTGGGATGTCAACGGTATGCCCGCTAAAATCATGATTATCGAATAGTGCCGATAGACTATCGACAAGCATTAATTCGGGAACTTTGAGAATCATGAAGTTTAGAGATTAACCCACTTAGATAATATTTATGGCTGTACTCCGTATACTCCAGAGGGAATCTATATATAGCAGAATGGTGGACCGGATGAGCTCGGCTATCGGCAACCCGCATGAGCAGCTTCTTTCATTCGATATAGGTTTAAACATGATTTTTATTCTCAAGCTCAGAGTTCCATACAGTACTCCATACAGCTACAACAAAGAATGTCGATTAACCTATGGTCCAGGCTGCAGAATTTCCTGAGTGATATGCACCGATTCGCCGCACAGCGTGGCTTAGACTGTGGGCTTATATAGGATCTCCGGGTGGAATAAGACCCTTGCTTGGCAAACGGAGAGGAGTGTGGAGTAATTGAAGAAGAATTATCCAAAGTTAGGTCAAAATCAGTTCAGGGATTAGAGCATAGCCATAGTGCCTGCATATTGATAAAGAATTATACAGAAGACAGAACCCAAATGCACGATATTATTAGCACTATCTCGTTAGGATTTCAATTTAGGCTCTTGGCACAGTCTTGGCTGATGGCATAAACTAGGCAGCTGCTTTTGCAGAATCAACATTGGCGGTACTCCGCTGATCGGTGCATCCAAGTTGTATTCTTTCAAGTTGATCTTGTGCTTGACAAGGGTGGACACACTTTGGGGGTCCCTTTTTTCTATTTCCAGAACCCTGACTATGCGGAGGGGATGCCAAAGAAGATCATTTCCTACGTATAGAGGAGGGGGGGGGGAAGCAAATATCCAGCTTGGAATAGGCTGAGCGAATATACCAACTTCAACATAAATATCTTTGAATCCCCGCCATTGATTTCAACCGGAAACAAATACACAACCAACATCCTCTACATTCTACAATCGTCAACATCAACAATCATGCGTACTCAGCAGCTTCTCCCTCTTTGTGGCCTCCTACTTGCCAGCGTTGCCATCGCATCCAAATTGGACCATGACGATGTCCCCAATCGCTGCTGGCCTGCCTGCAGCTCCGTCATCGGAATCGCCAAGAGTTGTGATGCCAAGCACGAACGGGATTTAGCTGAGATCCAATGCATTTGCGATTGGGATGCTGCCAAAACTCAAATCCCGCTCTGCTCCGCCTGTATCACCCAGTATCAAACCGACAGGCGCAACCACAATATCACCAATTACGACCACGACCACGACCACGATGACGATGATGACAATGATGACGACGACGATAACGGTATGTATAATGTGAATACTTCACTAAGATACAAAATAAATCTAATGCATTGATCAGAGGCCCTTGACCTTGTCCACTCTTGCTCGCTCACCCCGACTACCTACAACTCTGCCGCTGCCACTACTTTGACTGGCACGTCTACTAGCACTGGTGCTGCAAACACAGTCACCACCACAAACTCTTCTAGTACTACTACTTCAAACGCAGCCACCGGAACGGACTCTTCTAGCACCAGCGGAACCAACAGCCAGGACTCGACTTCGTCTGTCTCCTCGGGGTCATCTGATTCCGCTGGTGCTTCGTCGGGCTCTGCGTCTTCTCCCACTCCTACTCCCGATGCTGCAGCTGGTATTTCGGCTCCCGGTGCTGCGTCGATAGCAGGTGTCATGGGGCTGATGGCTTTTGCTTGGCTGTGAAACTCAACAGAGTCGGATCTCCGTCAGAGATGAGCGAGTGAAGATATACTCGATGGCTTTATGAATATGCCCAATGTTTTCCTTTACATTTGCAAATGATATCGACGAGTTATGTCTAGTTTTGAGATAGTCTATAGTACATGCAATTGACGACTTTGTGTTTCTTTGGACAAGACTAAATCGAAAGAAAGTATATTATGATCGTGTCCACTTGGTGAGGATCTGTCGGTGACTGGCTAGAGTAAGCAGAAAGTGGAAATAATATACAGCAACAGAACTAAGAAGCAATGATATTGAACATTAAGGCAAGCCCAGGTATTGATACATCCCAGAAGCTCTACATAAAAGGTTATACATAGAAAAGTCCATTTCACACATTAAGCCTTTTTCCACCTTTGGCTGCCGTCTAGCTAACAAACTGAGAAGGGGGAGAAAATATCCATAAGAACAGACTTCTAAAAAGACTAACTGAGAAGAATCTGAGAAGACCACCAAACAGACCACCAAAAAAAGACATTTGAAAAGACTATCTGAGAAGACTACCATAAAAGACTGCTAAAAAATGACTTGAAAAAAGCCGCATAAGCGGCCGACTATTCTTGTAAGTTTAAGTTATATAAATATAATCATATCTCATCCAGAGGTGTTGTATGCACAGGTGTTTCGTCCAAAGGTGTTTCGTCCAAAGGTGTTTCGTCCAAAGGTGTTTCGTCCAAAGGTGTTTCGTCCAAAGGTGTTTCGTCCAAAGGTGTTTCATCGTACCAATTGCCCCAGAAGTCATCATCAAAGAAATCCTCAGCTGGCTCCTCATAATCCATGGCATATACATCCTTGTAACACTGTGCCTTTGCAGGACAACTGTTCATGAGGGTTAGCATCCATTCCCTAGACATCCTTTATGTTATAACTTACAACACGGGATTCTGCCCGAAAATAATGTGCCATATGTATTCAAAGACACGGCCACTCGTCTCATCATCCAGCTCGGTTTTCATAAGCCAATGATGATACGACTCATAGGCGCTCCGTGGGCGTTGGACGACCTGCTCCCTGGTTACAGCAAACTGCGCACAGCAAGGTGTAGCAACAATCTCAGGCACATCAGTGTTGTTAAAGATACGGATCCAAGCACCTGCGAAGGCAAGCTCGGTGGTGCGGCCAGCCGTTTGTCGGAATGGCTGGACCTCATCGGGACATCCGGGATTCCAGTCGCAGCGTAGATTGAGATATCCAACTTGTCGGAGGTAGTCTAGTTGGAGTCTTTGGACCGTCAATACATTGTCCTGTTCCCAGAATTCGACGTGGCCGCTATATTGATGAGCGTGGAGGAAGACCATGTACTCGGGCAATTTGTCATAGTTGTCCAGAATGTATTGCAGATAGGCACTGCTTTCTTTGCCTTTGTTTTGTTCAACCTGCAGAGATGCTTCGGGGTCATCGACGAGGTAAATTGCATGCTGCCATCTAGAATTCGAGTTCTGGGTTAGAATTGCCACAGTTTGTGATTGATTAGTGATTTGCTCTATGGGACATACTCTGGCAGCTGATCCTCAAGCCAATCAGTGTCTTCGTACGACATCTTCCCCACAACAATTACACGATCCGACTTCGGAGTGACCTTTGGACGAGAAGGAGCAGTAGACGAAGGTGCCTTCACATCATCATGCTCTGCTGGAGCGAGTATTTGGGCATTGTCGAGTAAGTTTTTTGGATCGTAGAATTTGGGCGCTCCTCTGGATCTGAAGAATAGTTCTCCCGCCCATTCAGCGCCGGGGACATCGACGGGGATGCGCTTCGGTTCAGGATTGGCTATTACTAGACGGGGAGTTGGCCGGGCCGTGGGGGACCATTTCCTCCGGGTTTGGGTATGTGAAGCTGGTGTGGCGGGCGTCGCAGTATGGGCCGAGACCAGCTCGATATATGCATCGCCATTTAGGGCATAGAGGTCGGAAGTGATATTATCATTCTGCCATTGCAAGACTGAATCGAGGTGAAATTTGACCAAAAACAAGGTTATAATTAGCGCTATGGCTATAGCGGCTCGTAATGGAGTCCGCATTGTCCAGCATGCGGAGAGTTGAAGATCAGAAATCGAATCAATCGAATCGAGATCTAAGTCGAAGCGAAAAGCCGGAACTTATAAACTGTATGTTAGTCTCCACTTAAACGCCTTGGCTTCCAGCCCGTCAGCTTGGCCGCGTGGTTGCAGATATACGTACCCTGCCTGGACAGTATCTGCACATGTGCTTTTTTCCCCTAGAAAACACATTCAGACTTGGTATCTTTCTGGTTTCTGAGCACTTTTTATTTACTTTTACTTACTTTTATTTACTTCCAAGTGAAATAATCATCACTGTCCAGGTCTCAATCCCGCGGGTGCAACCTCTTTCCATGTGGGTCTGACACTCGTCACTGATTCGTGTCGAATATCTTTCATGAAACTGTCGATCTCTTGATTTTGGAATTATTTCAAGAGATGCAATATATGTTGTATGTTGTATGCAACATATATATATATAACTACGTGTGTTGTATAATATAAATACGTACATAGGTAGGTAGAAAAAAACTCTAGTTATATATTGACTTGAAGCGGGATTTAAGGACTGCATAATGCTGCATGCAATCAACTGAGTAGTTTAGAATGTAACCTTGGAACATTTCAAACGGGTCAAACGTGAACATTACATTGTAGACATGGATTGTACATATATAGTAACTAGATTTGCATTCCCTACGATGTACAATGTACGTCAGACTTTGACTTGGTCCTTGGCCTGATTTCTCGGGCTTCAACCTCATCTGGGCCTTTCCTGGTTTCTTCTTGAAACTGACAGCCTGTTGTTTCAAGGATATCTCTTAACTGTGACTCTGGCGTATCTCAGCTAATCCATGGCTGATTCAGGATGACTCGTATGGACACAAATTTGACTCAGGACGAAGATCAAAAATGGGTTGGTAGAAAGATGTCTCATTTTCCAGGGGGAGCCTGAACCTCGTTATCAGCCATCCAAATATTGTTTTTTTTTTCCCTGGCGCATCCCTGAAGCTGTCTCGTGTGCGGGTAGATCCTAGTATCTCGGAGACTATACTTTTGTCGTTTTGTCTTTCTTTTTTCTTTCAAATGCGATATTCCAGGTGGTCCTTTACTAGTTACAATTCAATAGTTATCTGTGGTTAATCTCTATCTGTCCTTCTATTCTTGGGCTTTTGGATAGTGCCCATGTCCAAGTGTGGGCTTGTCCCTTCATTCCAGTATAGATATGAAGTTTGCTTGTTCCCTTCACCTCAGGGGCTGATAGCCTCTGTTTAAGATCTACCCGTGGACACCAGGGCAACTTGTTAGGATTACTTGAACAGTATTTCCGTACCTAGTTAGAGATAGCTAGGGAGTCGCTCCAGTCCTGGAGGGCTTGCCCTCTGAATGACACATCTCTCCTGAAACACGTGGATGTCCTTTGCGACCCGACCCGATCCTCTGTAGATCAATCCACTACGTACCATGATTTCTTCCCTTGGTTTTGGGTCGTTGATCACAAACTCTCGTTTTTAGCAGGCTGCCAGGTTAAGTGGAGAGTAAGATCGGAAGTGCACCTGCGCAGTGTCATGTGCAATATATAATCCGTTTGGGCAGCGCCATTTACGAGACATCTCCCATACCTATTACGGGAATGACAAGGAAGCGGATCAGATTCTAGAGCAGAAAAGTTCCGTCTGTTCTAGCATCTTTCTCAATCCAGCGACCATACCCCGTCCGGAAGCCGGAGGAGTCAATTCCGAGTGTGATTGTGGTAGTAACCACAAGCCGGAGAGCTCCAGAGCTCCACTAAACCGGGATCTGACACTGCCACTAAAGGTTCTAACCAGCGTCTAGCGGGTTCTAGCTGGGCCACAGGAGCCTCTGAGAAGCTTCGGCGCATGCGCTAGAAACGGGGGATGCGCGGATCGTGGAGACCAGACGAAAGTTCCAATTTCGTGGAGTGGGACTGGCACAATATACTAGCTTTCATTGTAGCGTCAATCAATAGCTGCAACAGCCGGGTGGAATAAGGTGGCCTATCCGACTGGGCCGAACCATTAGGGAAAGTTGTTAAAATAACTTGGTGGCTCATAAGGTGGCGAGTCACGAATTCGCCTCGAGTGGCAGGATGGGGCAAAATGAAATTAGGGGGGAACTAACTTCAGGAGTAATAATAGTAATAATAATAGTAATAAGAAGTAATTATAGAAAATGCCCCTGAAGCAGAATATCCGGAGAATTCGGAGTAAGTACGAAGTACAGTAATTAAAATGGAGCGGAGTCCATGATAAATACTCCATATGCCCAAGGTGGTGTATCAAATATAGAGAATCACATACAGTGCCGTGCAGGAACCCCTTGCAAAGCACGAGGCAGGGCGCGAACCCCGACTTCTATACGTCAGGCAACCCGTGGGACTCGTGCGCATGCAAATAATAATGATTCTAGTATTACTCCGTGAAAGGGAAATATTTCCCTAAATCTGTTCAGGGATGAGAAGCTCCAAGCAGTGTCCACAACGGCGGGGTCCTCTAAATCGCCTAGTGAGGAGCCTAACGAGGCACCGGTGTCTTGGTAAAAGGCTAAGGAGCATTAGAAACTGGGATAGGAGCCGAGTGACTAGAGCTGTTGACGTCTCTCTGGTTTGGTGATCGTGTTGGGGGAACTGACCTATCTTACTCAGGGGATATCCCAATTCCAGGGGAAAGAGAGGAAAAAGGGGAATATAGGAAGATGTATACTCAATAGGACAAAAGTTCAAGGGAATATAATATGACGTTGCAAATTTAAAGAACCAAGCAATATCTTGTACTCTCCAGGGCTGTGCTCTGTACTCTTGTCATGCAGTTCAAAGATTAAATAGTATAATCTCATTGGTATATGGCGAGTCCACCTAAAGATCCAGGGGGGAATCAAAGTCGAAGATCTAATATAAAACTAGAACCTTGGAAGTACTATAAGTCTGCTATAAGTATGGCATTTCCTCCTTTTGATCCTTTTTTCTTACTGGTTTAATATCATATTTCGCTTTGCATATCTAACTGATCACCTGCTTTCTGCCTAAGGACTCTGGTCTCATCTTCTCATCTCTCTTCTCTCCCTATTCTCTCCCTATTCTCTCCCTATTCTCTCTCTCTTCTCTACTTAATCACCTCCTTACTCCCTCCGTTCTTGGCGGATTTGTGGACCGCTTTTCCTGAACTGCTCTATTTCTCTCTCTCTTTTCCCCCGCTCTGTCTTTTTCCAAAGTTGTGTTATTGAGATCTGTCAACTCTCGGGTTTCATTCATCTGGCCTTTTATATTGGGGGAAGTCAGTTCCAAGGGAAAATCCCCGGACCCAAAACAACACCCAAAAACTTCGGGCAAAAAGGAAAAAGAAAAGAAGAAAAGAAGAAAACGAAAAGCCCCCCTTGAAGGAAACGAAGTTAATATTCGTGTGATATTTGGAGATATTGTGCTTTGATTTTCTGTCTTTTTTTTTTTTTATTTTTTCGTTCTCCGCCCCAGAATCTCCCTCCGATCGGCTTTTAGTCCAAAGTTTTCCTCCTCCCAAAACATCCGCACAATCCCGTCCCTCGACGGTTTCTCTACTTTCAAGCCTTGCGTCGCTCTCATGGTGGAGTAGTGACAATTATTTATTAAACTGGTTTTGGTGGATTTTCACATTCCTCGTTGAATTCTCGAGTTATCAACATGTATCACGATCATTCTGCGCGTTCCCCTGGGTCTCAGAGGCATCAACAACCCCTACACCGTCAGCCTTCTCGACAGTTCGACGCATATGGCCCTATGCCAACCAACATGTACGAGCAAGATCAGATGCGTTACGAGTCCGCTCGCCTCGAACGTTTGAACCCGTCCCTGCAGAACAACTACGGATATGATATCTCCGGCTCGCAGACTTGGAACCCCAACGGGTTTGCCAATGCACAGACTCTCGGAGGAATTCGCTCGGCTTCCGCCAGTTTGAAGCCTAATGCCCGTGGACGTGCCGGCCTCCCCACGGTATGTTTGGTCTTATCCGTCGATGGATTCCCCTATCTTCCAGAGGTAAAAAAAAAGACGAAAAATACTAACAGGCATCTCAAGACATGGTTGGATCAGCAACCGAACATGCCCCAAGCATTTTCGAACCTAGGCCCGGGTCCCATTCAGAGCAGCGCCATGCGACCGGAAGCCTCCGCTTCGTCTGCCGACGACGACGAATTGATCCCAACTGCGATTGTCATCAAGAATATCCCCTTTGCAGTGAAGAAGGAGCAGTTGGTGCAGTTGATGACGGAACTCAACCTCCCCCTGCCCTACGCATTCAACTACCACTTTGACAATGGTGTCTTCCGTGGTCTGGCCTTTGCCAACTTCACTTCCGCTGAGGAGACAGCAACCGTGATCGAGGTGCTCAACCACTTTGAGCTACAGGGTCGGAAACTGCGAGTCGAGTACAAGAAGATGCTTCCCCTGCAGGAACGGGAACGGATCGAGCGCGAGAAGCGGGAACGCCGTGGCCAGCTGGAAGAACAGCACCGCCCGATGGGAGGAGGTCCTCAGCTCCAAACGCAGAGCTCGATGTCTTCACTCACCTCGCACATCCCGGCAACCTCCCCTTCGCCCGTGTCCCAGCGTGGCCAGAAAATTGGTGGGTTACTCGTTTTGAAAGTTATTGGAAATTTGACCTGTCGCTAACCAACTTTTTTCTTATGTACAGATGTGGACTTGAACGACACCCAGACCCTTTCCTATTACTCCCAACTACTCCTGTTCAAGGAAGATACTGTTCGCGATTCCGTGATCTTCCCCCACAACCTCACCCCCTCCCAGCGTCGCACGGTTCACACCCTGGCCCACAACATGGGCTTGGGTCATGCTTCACGTGGCAGCGGCGAACAGCGCCAGGTGCAAGTCTTCAAGATCGCCGCAGGTGCCAATGTCAGCCCCCCGACGTCCTCAATCCCGCCCTCTGCTCAGTCGGACAGTGGTCGTCGCGGCCTTAACCGTGCGGCGACCATCGACTTCAGCGAGGCTCGCCAAGAGGCTGGCCCTGGCGCTTTCAACACGTTACGTGGACAAAACTCGGGCTTTTTGGGCGTGATGGACTCTCCTGGCAACTTTGCCAACGGCCAGAACCTGCGGGCTGCCAAGTCCTTTGCCGACCTGCGATCTTACACCCCTTCGCCCGTGCCTTCCTCCGCTAGCTTCCCCGCCGCGTTGCAGTCCAACGGTGCCCGCCTCCAGTATGAGGGTGCGCCCACTGCTACTTCCAACACCCCGACCCTCACCCCTGCCCAGACTGGTTCCTCTCTTGGCATGCAACGTGATGACAACCTGCTGGTCAACAGCCTTGGTGGTCTTTCCCTCGGCACCGGTATCGGTGGCCCCAACTCGAGCCCCCGCCGCTTGAGAGGCATGTTCTCTTGGGAACAAGACAACCAACAATCTAACGCTGGCGCCATCGGAAGCAACCGCGGCATGGGTATGGGATATGACGGCCAGCAGGAGCGCATGCCCGTCCGCCAACCCCGTGGCCCGACCCCAGACAAGGGCACCGGCTTTCGCCGTCAGAACGGCCACCAAGCCCGCGGAAGTGATGAACTCCGCACCAACTCCGGAGTAGAGATCATCGTGGAGTAGAACATTGGACGAATTTATTGAAGATGGCGACTCCCCTTTTTATTGCCAGCATCCGACTGATTTGCCGCGATACGAATACGACTTGTATTACGAGTCCCTGTTCTGCGAATTACCGGCTTACGATTCGATGAGGGATGACGAGATGACAACAACACAAAAAAAAAGACCAGAAAATCCTTTGTTTCGCTGATCTAGCCAAGTTTTAGACGTTTCTTTTTTTTGGGGCAGCCCAACACGCGGTTTGGATGAACGCTTTTGAAATTTTCCCCGACTCACAGTTGCAAGAAGACTCTGGACTTGTTCTGGACTGATACTTTTTATTTTTTATTTCCAACACTTTCTGATATTGCGGGCGCCTTGCATGCAAATCCATGGATTTCTATTTATGCTGTGTCGGAACGAACTCCATGACCCCGAACGCCTCCTGGTGATATGGGACGCATACGAAGAATGACACAAAAGACCTTTTGCCGATGGCGGAAGAAACGACAATACGAGCATTTTGCATATTCTTGTCTGTTTTAGTTTGTACATGGGGTGACTCGCATCCGTTTTAATGTTTCTGGCCCGTCTTATCCTGACAACCGCTTTCCTCTAATTCGGGGAAATTCATGTTCGGTCTGTCCGGGTAAGATGGTTGTGACATGCCTGTTTCTTCTTTTACTTTTTTTTTTACTTTTTGCTTTCTTTTCCGCGTGCTTTGACTGCTTTCCCCTTGGACCGGACGTTGTTCATCTCGCGGAATGGTGATCAGGGTGAATCCACAACTCTGGTTGTTTTTCCAACACTGAAACAGCTATATTGTGATTCTGCTACGTTCGATTGCGCCGATTCTACAGATCTACCTTGCGCGGTGTGAATGCATCTTCTGAATTCCTGTGTCAGTGATGTTGATATATTTCCCAGCCCCCATTCTGGAGGGTTCTATGTCTCTTTTCATGATTGGTATCTTGCAGTCCGGGAATCCTTTTTTTTCCATTGCCTTTTTGCCTTTGTACTCAGATTTTCACAGTTCAATCCATGTACCTTCTACATTACTTCTATCCTGCCAGTAGGTGAGTCGAGATCATAGTTGTGCGTAAATATTCTGATAGAATCTCTATATATGGACTCTGTACCTCTAACCTGAATTCCCGGGTCTTATCACCACAGTAAAAACGTACCTAGGTACCTCATTTCCCTCAAGTCATCCCATATAAGGGATAAACCCAAAATCTAGATGCCAAGAACAACACGGTGCCATCACGTTCCAAGGTTGTTTATATCTCGGAGTTATGCACGTTTGTCCCTGTCGATCCCCCGTGGAGCCAAACAAAGTTCCTGATTTTATATGCAAGGTCTTTAGAATATTCAAGTACACAATCATACATAAATATTCGACCCCTCAGGAATGTGATGTGATAATTCGGGCCGATCACGGAAGAATTGGTCCCGGGACTCTACATAGCCTCACTTCTACTGTACACACTTTTCTGTACACGGCTGAAGGCCTACAAATATATAATCGTACAATTACTACATAGTAAATGAATGGTGAAGCACATCGAATCAGTAAAATTCCCACTACCAGGATATCCCCATTTTCCCATTACAGCGCCCTATGAACTCGAATGAAAAGAAACACGATTGAAAGCAAAGACCGGGGAATATCAGAAAAAATACATCAAAGTAGAGCGCCGTGAAGAACAAAGACGAGAGGACCGAAAAAAAGGGCAGCCGGGATTGGTCGTAGGTTTAGGAGTCAAGGTCTTGACGTCTGGACGGTACCTCCTGCGGTGCCAGCCCATCTTTTCGGAACTTTTCAGATGTTGATTTAGAGCTCGATCTTGCCACCCTTCTTCTTTTGCTCGACCTTCAGGAGCAGCGCCCGGTTGATGCGGGGCAAGACACCACCGAAGGCGATGGTTGCGCGGATGAGGGTGTCCAATTCTTCATCACCACGGATGGCAAGCTGGAGGTGGCGAGGCGTGATACGCTTGACCTTGAGATCCTTGGCGGCGTTACCCGCGAGTTCGAGAACTTCGGCAGTCAGGTACTCAAGAACAGCGGTCACGTAGACGGCAGCTAGAGGACAGAAGTGTTAGGGACGGGGTCGTTTGGGAGATCAGTTCAAGGGGCATAGCATACCCTTAGCACCGACACGCATCTTGTTCTGAGTGTTGTTCTTCAAGAAACGCTTGACACGACCACAGGGGAACTGGAGAGTGAATTTGTGTTAGCAGTCGCGTCATCTTACATAGCTGGCGATCGGAGGAAAACATGATCGAGAGAGAAGATATGCAACGGCATGGGATGAGTTCCATAGATATCGAAAGAAACTGCCCCTTATCGAGCAGCAACGAGGGACCGAGTCGACGCGTCTTCGACGGGTAGTTTCATCGAGTAACTCATCGCCCGTATCGCATTACCACTCTCAGACAGAACGATTCCCAACCCAGCAATTAGACAAGCAATGATCCCACTAACCTGCAGACCAGCCTTTGCGCTGTGAGACTTCTGGGCCTTCCCCGCAGCATCACCCTTTCCGCCCTTTCCACCGATAGACTTTCCCTTTCCGCCAGGCATTGCGAAATAAACGTGCAAAGACGGTCGCAGAGGTAGGTATAGCAGATAGAAACGGAAATCAAGACGATCAGGCAGTGGTGTGGATGTGGAGACGATTCAGAGTGCGGAAGATACGCGCGTTGTTGATGGATGGAGAAGTCAGAATGTGCCAGCCGCCGGCTGTGCCAAAAAGACACTTGGCGCTAGTCCCAAAATGGAACCGTCCTTTCTCACAGCGTTCTTTTTCTTGCCTGTATATATGGCCATCTGTAAGGTCATTTGGATGATCTAGAAATCAGTTGCTTGAGAGGTTATCACTTCTTTCTCCTTCTCAAAAAAAATAGACTAAATCCATGTTAGTTTTGGGATGCGAGGAGACCATGATGGAAGCCAAGTGCGCCTTCAGCCATCTGGTTGTAATGGATGTCTCCGGCATCTATGGCCAGGATTCACACATGAAACTCCTGTGGTTGCCATAATATACACCATTGTGCAACTCCAAGCCAGAATGGAAGTCCACTGATGTGGTGGTTGCTGACGTTTTGCTGACCAGCAGTGGGGGGAGGTCACATGATCTCATCACCTCATATATCAGGCGACAAACTATAATGCCTCAGGCGGCAACCAGATGGCGTATAACTAGATAGCGCCGGGAAAACCGTTCTTCCGGCTCCCTGACCTTCCAGAAATGCCAGGTGGCCCGCGAATTTCAAGTTTTGTTCGCGTTGTACTCCCCCATACTCAACGATTTCCCCATATCGAAAAGTATCCGGCAAAATGGTGTCTGCTCAAATGTATGCTTGATCGACAATTTTTTGATTCAAATCCAAGATCTATCTTTACCGAAACTGACAATGGTCGCACAGTACCAACCTCGCCATCATCTTGGTGATGATGCAGCTGGCCAAGAAGGTTGCCTTTGAGGATCCCCAGGTCCTGATGCTGGTGCGCGGATGCTATATCCTGTCTAATGTTCTCATCCTGGCTGTCCACCTGTACACCCAGCTTAAGATCAACCAAAAGAAGGGTATGTCGACCGATCGCGTGCTCCCCACAACCCCAAACCCTAACTAACCCGCGATATCTCCAGACATGACAACCCTCAAGTACGTTGAGCCCGCCACGATGGGTAGCACCGAGGAGCCCAAGCCCGTGACGACCACCAACATGGACTACGATAAGGCTCAGCTGCGCCAGCTGCTCCGCAGCCAGCTTATGGGTGTCGGCATGATGGGTGTGATGCACTTGTACTTCCAGTACACCAACCCCCTCCTTATCCAGTCCATCATCCCCCTCAAGGGCGCCTTCGAGTCCAACCTGGCCAAGATTCACGTCTTTGGCAAGCCCGCTACTGGTGATCTTGCCCGTCCCTTCAAGGCCGGTGGTGGCTTCATGTCCCAGGGCGGGCCCAAGAGCGACAAGGCCTCTATTGAGGCCGCCGAGAAGAACTGGCGCGGTGGTGTCAAGGAGGAATAAATTCAAGCGCTCGGTTGCTCTGGGCCATCAAATGATTCCCCCAACCTATGGGTATCCAGATGGCCGACCTGGATCATAGCACACTGTTCATTTCTCCCCATTGTACCATAATCCATAATTCATCCTATCAAGTTCGGACCCTCCTTTTCTGGGTAGGGTCTGTCTGGACTATATTGTTAATCTTTGTGAATTCTGTGGTCATGCCATTTCCCCTATATTGTACGATCTAAGTCCTCAAAGGACCACGTTCAGTCATGGCACCTGTGGAGATTGCGCCACTGGTGTATCGGCTCCGAGTTCGCATGCCGATATGGGCTGATGAGGTCTGAGGTCTCACAGTTAACATGGCTCATGGATTACCAGTGAGGCCTCCAGGCTGTTGGGTCTCATTTCGTGATTGGTGCCGTCCCCGGGTTGGGGCAAAAGGGATTTATAATCCAGTTCTTCCAAGGTTGGAATATCGGAATATTGGGGACCCCAGTAGTTGTTAAACCCCTCAAAAGCTCAAATATTCCAATAATTCAAACCAAAAACAAATGAAAAAAATCTGCCAGATCCCGTGGCCCCCATGTGTTGAGATACCGGTGACTCCTTTTAGGGAGGGTGCCACCAAGCTATAATCACCATACTCGATCCGTCCACCGCAGGAGTTTGAGGAACACGGTTGGTCCGCATAAGTGGAGGAATACTGCATTTATGTAGTTAGAAGGGTTTGAAGAATAATATAACAATATTATCTTTAATTCTATGAGTTTAATTGGATGATTTTTCTTGTACTATGTGTATACCTACAGTACCTTATGTTCTTGCCCCTCATCGACTGCCCCTCCAAACCGTCATAGCTTCCCCTTAGTCAACCTCGGGAATCACTTCAATCCTGTACCTAATATTATCGTGATCATCTCCGTTGTACCCGAGTAGACACCGAATAGGCAAAATATTCAAGAGAAAGCTCCGAAGAATAGTAAAGAACCCGAAGAGCAGTTGGGTTTGCCACATTCCTATTGGTAGACGGGAGCTACCGAGGGGCAGAGTAGGGCCCCAATATCGTGACTCTTCCTGCTTTCCCCGGTGTATGAAACCGGAAATGCGTTGCTGGGCAAATGTACATGCGGCAACAGTCGGGAAATCTAGTGCAGTCTGATCTTCTTAGAGGGGTGTGGCCGTGAAAGTCAGAGTGTCCCCGTCCGTCTCTTCGGTGAGGGGTGATCTGTCCATTGCGTCAGTCATCCATTCATTAATCCTCCCCCTCCCCCAGATCTTTTTTTTTCTTCTTCTCTTCTTCTCCATCCCAATTCCCTCCCTTTCTTCAATTACTTCACTATTACAGTAAGTTGATCAAAATCATTACCTTATCGTCTATCCCTCTATGCATGAGCTAACGACTTCTAGTAAACCGCAATCATGGTTGTCCAAGTCGGTATCAACGGTTTCGGTCGTATTGGCCGCATTGTAAGTGGTTCTCTTCATCATTACAGCTTCACATACTAACAACATCATAGGTCTTCCGCAATGCGTAAGTTGAACACTGAAGAAGAAGAAAAGAAAAAAAACCCCCCCCCGGGAAGCATTCTAACCCATACTTATAGTGTTAACAACCCTGACGTCGAGGTTGTCGCTGTCAACGACCCGTTCATTGAGACTCACTACGCTGTATGTTTCTTCAAATCAACTGGTTCTATAACCTGATATTAACCTCCCATCTGCGGGATAGGCCTACATGCTCAAGTATGACTCCACCCACGGTCAGTTCAAGGGCACCATTGAGCACGTTGAGGACGGTCTCATTGTCAACGGCAAGAAGGTCACTTTCTTCGCTGAGCGTGACCCCGCTGCCATTCCCTGGGGCAAGGCCGGTGCCGCCTACATTGTCGAGTCCACCGGTGTCTTCACCACTCAGGAGAAGGCCTCTGCCCACTTGAAGGGTGGTGCCAAGAAGGTCATCATCTCCGCCCCCTCCGCCGATGCCCCCATGTTCGTCATGGGTGTCAACAACAAGTCTTACACCAAGGATGTCAACGTTCTCTCCAACGCCTCTTGCACCACCAACTGCTTGGCTCCTCTCGCCAAGGTCATCAACGATAACTTCGGCATCGTTGAGGGTCTCATGACCACCGTCCACTCTTACACCGCCACCCAGAAGACCGTCGATGCTCCTTCCTCCAAGGACTGGCGTGGTGGCCGTACTGCGGCCCAGAACATTATCCCCTCCTCCACTGGTGCCGCCAAGGCTGTCGGTAAGGTTATTCCCGAGCTCAACGGCAAGCTCACCGGTATGGCCATGCGTGTCCCCACCGCCAATGTCTCCGTTGTCGACCTTACCTGCCGCATCGAGAAGGGTGCCTCCTACGATGAGATCAAGGCCGTCATCAAGGCCGCTTCCGAGAGCGGTGAGCTCAAGGGTGAGTTACTTCTTTTTGGTCACGTTTACTACACATATTGACAAACTATTTTAGGTATCCTCGGCTACACTGAGGACCAGATTGTCTCCACCGATCTTAACGGTGACGAGCGCTCCTCCATCTTCGATGCCGCCGCCGGTATCGCCCTTAACGCCAACTTCATCAAGCTGGTCTCCTGGTACGACAACGAGTGGGGTTACTCCCGCCGTGTTGTGGACCTCATCTCCTACATTGCCGGTGTGGATTCCCAGTAGGAATCAGGACAGCGTCCTGGGGTCAGAAGTGTTCTTTAAGGTGCTGCGTTCCTTGTTGCACAGCCTACGAATATGGGTGCATGAGGGCTCCACCTTGTTGAAAAAAAACAAGATGATAACGTCATTTAATGAAACAAACCATTTTCAATTCATTCTTCTCCTTGAATTTGCTATTGTAGGCTGTACTATATACTCCTTTTGGTTAGAATGACTACCTTTCTATGTACAATCAATCTATTAATCCCGAGGCATGTTCACACTTACCAAAAGGAGGTTTTTGCATGCATTGGTTAAAAGACCATTGAAGGTGTCCACGGGCGTACTGTATAACTATGCCTCACAAAAGAACTACCTATGTACAATATCCACTTCTGCATATGTAGGTACATCACATGTCGTACATGAAAACGTCATCTTGTATGTAGGAATTGTGCTTTTCACTGGCTTCTACAGTCTACGGTCAACTATTATCCTTCTGGCGCTATATTGAGTGGAAAAAAAATACACAAAAATATAGAAAAAATATCTAAACAGCATGATAGTGGTATCTTAAATGTAACCTCTCGAGTATTATTTCTAGCCAACCTTGGAACTACTATATAAACACCTAGCATCGTCAACAGAGCCCGTATAAGAGGCCGACTGTTCTTGTAGATATTATTAAAAATCACCCATGAATACAAGTCGATAGACTTTGATCCATAAGTTATTTGAGATTGAAAGTTAAACAGTTCATCGTACATATGTACCTTGCAAAGTACTTGGAAATCTTTCAAGACATAGATGATAAGCCCTCTAAACCGTGTGAGGCCGATAAGTCGGCACATACTAAATGCTCACCGCCAATTATAATGCATCACGCCAATCCATTCCTAGCGGCGGTCAGTAGGGCGGTGAGTATAAGAATGTCTGGCAATAAGAAAGACTGGCCCAAAAGGGATCCAACATGCACATTGATCCATTCCCATTGTCACTCAGTGGACTTGGCTATTCTGTTCTTCATTTCTACCCACTATATGAAGGTCTGAAATTGAATTTCTTTCTGGAAATTACTCACTTGAACATCAGTCTTGCTTAATTATACTGCAGGTGAAGTGCAGTGTCTGTCCAATCTACGGCAGGAGACGATTGTATACCACCGTATGCTTGCACCAATCACAGCTTGAGACACCCCTTCAATCTTTGGTGAACATCAAAGCATTGTCCAGCAACTGGAACATTTGACCGATTGATCTATTTCACACTCTGCTGTGCAAGGTACATTCGACAGCGTGGACCAGAAGCATCAAACGAATCACTAATAGTCCGATATCAAGCTCCAAGATTGCCACACAAGCTCAACACCTCTATTGTGGTAGTGCTTGGTAATGAGCCAATAAGAGCCAAGCTTGAATTAAATCAAAGGGCTTCTCGTGGCTTCCACTTTCATGATGGACGAGGACGAGGATACAGTCATGGGTGATTCCCATACCCTCTCCACCTTGACTGCAAACCCATCTTTCACTGGAGTCCCCCTCCCCACACATCTCAGCAATCACCCCACCCCCAGTCTTGCTCCTTCTTCCATCCCCCAAGCGGCTTCTGCGTCCCTATCACCCGGCTCTGAGCAATCTCAACCTCGGGAGGCCACAGCCTCCACTGGAATGGCCCCTCCTGAACGTTTCACCAAGACAAGTGACGGTGATAGTTCCGCTGCTGAACAGTTGCTAAAACGTGATAGCCTGATTGAGCCTGAGTCTGACTGGTCTGACGACGAGGTCATGGCTAAAGCGGGTCTTCCACTGGCATCGCTTGCCACAGGACTTTGTTATGATCATCGCATGCGTTACCACTGTGAGGTTCGTCCACAGAGTGACGTTCATCCAGAGGATCCCAGACGCATATACTACATCTACAAGGAGCTATGTCGCGCCGGTCTTGTTGATGACCCAGAATCGTCTCGACCTTTGGCGCCCAAGACCTTGGAACGGATCAACGCCCGCAATGCAACCGAGGAGGAAGTTACCCTCATCCATAAGGATGCCCACTACGCATTTGTTCGAAGCACGAAAGGTATGTCTTTGCTACCACTGGAAAAGCTGGCTTTGATAAGATTCACTGACTCGATCAATAGATATGCCCAACGAGGTGCTTATTCAGCTGGAAAAAGATCGCGACTCCATCTATTTTAACAATCTGACCTTCGATTCGGCCCTTTTGTCTACTGGAGGCGCAATCGAAACGTGCTTGGCCGTCGCCCAGCGTCAGGTGAGAAATGCCATAGCCGTCATTCGCCCACCCGGTCACCATGCTGAGGATGATGCCGCGATGGGATTCTGTCTATTTAACAATGTGTGTGTTGCAGCACGCGTTTGTCAAAATACACTAGGAGACGCGTGCCGGAAGATCATGATTCTTGACTGGTCAGTACCACACATCACCATTTGGCCACTGCAGCAATACTGACTTGTACTAGGGATGTTCACCACGGTACGCTTAACCCTCAGCACGGCATTTGAAAATAATCCAAAAATAATCCAAGCTCACCTATCATAGGCAACGGCATCCAGAAAGCATTTTACGATGACCCTAATGTTCTTTACATTTCCGTGCATGTATACCAGGACGGTCGCTTCTACCCTGGAGGCCCCGAGGGAGACTGGAATCACTGTGGCTCAGGCGCCGGAGTCGGAAAGTGAGTTTGCTTTTAAGCACATGAAATGACTAAAGCCTCACGCTTCTTAGAAATGTCAATATTCCATGGCCCGACCAGGGTATGGGCGATGGCGACTACATGTTCGCCTTCCAGGAAGTGGTGATGCCCATCGCCCAAGAATTCGATCCCGACTTGGTGATTAGTAAGAATACCCTCTCTTTTTATTTAGTATAGAGTTATTGACCATCACAGTCGCTGCTGGGTTTGATGCTGCCGCTGGTGATGTACTGGGTGGCTGCTTTGTCTCTCCGGCTTGCTATGCCCAAATGACCCACATGCTCATGACTTTGGCCAATGGAAAGGTCGCTGTCTGCTTGGAGGTATGTGGATTGCGTCTCTAAATTGTTGCTTGTTTGATCTGATCTCGAAACAGGGTGGATACAACTTCAAGTCTATCTCGAAGTCGGCTCTGTCTGTGACCAAGACCCTTATGGGCGAACCTCCGGACCGTTTGCTTAGCAGTTCTCCGACTGACTCTGCGGTGGCAGCGGTCCGCCGGGTGAGGAGCATCCAGTCCCAGTATTGGAGTCGCCTGTACCCCAAGACATCTGATCACCCGGTCTACGCGAATCGCCTTCACGGTAAGATTTATAGGTTACCTCCCACTCAACAGAGCTGATGAATCGTCTAGATATCCTCCGCGTTCACCAGTCGAACCAGCTATATGAAAGCTGCAAGCTCACCCCGCTACACATTTATCGCACCGCCATTTCCAAGTCATTTGACAAGCAAGTTCTGGCAAGGTAAGTTGCACCACTGAATCCCAATCTTCTAACCTAAGACTCACCATCTGGCAGCACGAACTATCACCAACGTGTGCCGCTTATTGTCATCTTCCACGATCCGTAAGTGTTCCCAACAATAACCCGCAAAACGTATAACTGACAGTATGTAGACCTGAGATTGTGGGACAGCCTCATCCCGTGACCAATAAGTTGGAAGCGCACAACGTTTGGCTCGTACGTGATCCACGATGGTTGGCCGAGATTGTCTGCTAACATAATAAAAGGCTGATTCACTCACGGAGTATGTTAAATGGATCGTGGGTAAGGGCTACGCAGTGATCGATGTCAACATTCCCAAGCATGTATCTCGGGAAGCGGTAAGTCTAGCCGTGCACTCCTTCGTACGGACCATCAACTAATTTGAATTATTTTAGGATGCCGGCCGTTACGAGCCAGATGACGAGGACCGCCCGTCTGCGACTGAAGAGCTTGCCGGATACTTGTGGGACAACTACATTGAGTGAGCCATGGCCAGCCAAGAACATTGGTTAATATTGAGCTGACAAGTTATCAAAGTGCGAACCAGGCAACCGACATTTTCCTGCTCGGCGTCGGCAACGCTTTCATCGGCGTGGCGAACTTGTTGGTGAACAGGGGTACGTTCAGGCCAACCGGGTATCAGGCTGCGTAACTTTGCTAATAACTAAGTAGAAAACCTTTACAAGCGTGTCAACGGCGTGGTCTCCTTCGTGTCTGTGCACCCGGTCCGCGCGATCGCATCCCACACGCAGACGTGGCTATCGAAGTGGTATCGCGAGGTAAGCCAGCCACAAATTATTTGTCAATGATATGCTTTACTCATACGATTCTTTTCATCTCAGAACTCCCTTGTGTTTGTTTCAAACTCCCACGGTGTTTGGGGTGACCCAGCCCGACGGCTTTCCAAGCGCTACGGACAGCTGGTTCATTCCCCGAAATCGGATCTGAACGAGATGCTTGACCAGCATAAGGAGGAAGTGTACAAGTGGATCTCCGAGCGTGCTGACCGGACAGAGGAGGACTCGGATGAAGATTCTTGATTTCTTTGCTGATTCCTGATCGATTCGGCGAGCGTGAATCCGTAGAATTCCCAAGGTTGTGCATGGAGTTATGCGGTCTATCATCGAAGAATTCTCTTTTCATACCCTAATGACATAAAGTTATCTTGCCAGTTACAGTATTTGCTTATATTTGCTTAACCGTGAGGAAATTCCCCCGCAGATAAAAATAGGCCAGGGAAAACCTGTCTCTCTCCGATCTTTGTCGGCTCTAATACCTTCTCGTCGCACCGACACCAGGGAAGGAAGATGTCAGGTGCGAACCCCGGGGCCCCTCTGGAAGAGTGATATCAGCATGTTTTTTGAATTTGAAGATTTAAGACATTTGGGACTTCACAGCTGTGACACACCACCAACCATAGCTCGAGGTTTTCCAAAGTTAGCGGTCCATATGACAAAGAAGCGAGTATGAGCTGATTCCCGGTGACTCTAGATACATACATCGTATAATTACTTTCCCAGTGTGGCGTTGATCTGCATACCGTCCCTGGGATGTAACGATGTCTCACGATGTCTCACTTTTTACCCCAGAAACCCCGGCGTGGCACAATACGGCTCTAATCGCTTCCATAGTTATGCAAGACAGACCCTTGGTTATTCTTTTTCTCCACACTTGGCATGCATGATCGGAAAGATCACGTTAATCCAAATGGTTGCTCTCGCCTAGGAGGGAATACATCCAATGATCGGGTCGGAGCGCTCTGAGACATCGTATTCTTTTCGCTACACCCACGTACTCTTTTCTTTCTCGTATCTCCACTGACATCAATATTAGAAAATTCTTTGACCATGCGACGCGGGGATTTGGCAAGATCCTACGAACCATTCCTATTCTCAGTCCTGTGACGGATGGCCTGACCGCTGCCCAAGTGGTTAGGGCTTCAATAGGTTGGTTTGGGATGAGATGTCTTGGATTTGGCGAGTAACCACCATGCTTTCCATTAGCAACCGTCAAAAGGGGACCAGGTAGGCTAGAAATTCTTTGCTCAATCCACCAGCAGGGAAACTATATAAGGGGCCTCGAATCCTACCTAAGAGAGATACCCTCATCACTTCCATCAGATTTCATTACTTGACCTCAAACCAACTCAATCTGCCTGCCAAAATGCAATTTTCTACTGCCGTTATTGCCTTCGTTGCCGCTCTGGCACCTCTTGCCAGCGCCGTTGGCAATGCTGTCGTGACCAACCACTGCAAATTCCCAGTCTACCTGTGGTCCGTTGGTGGCAGTGTTGGCCCCAAGCAAACAATCCCGGCAGGCGGCAGCTACACTGAAGCACTGCACCACGACAGTGCCTCCGGAGGAATCGCGCTGAAGATCACCACCGTCGACAACGGTCTGTACAATGGCAGCCCTCAAACCAACTTTGCCTACACTCTGGACCCAGGCACAGTTTGGTACGACCTGTCAGATGTCTTCGGCGACCCATTCTCCGGCAAGTCGATTGTCGTGCGGCCCACAGACACAACTTGCTCGAACATCTGCTGGGCGCAGGGTGTCAACCCCGGTGGCAGCCAGACTAAGAATTGCAACTCGAACACTAGTATCAACCTGAACCTCTGTGCCGCTAAGTGCTAAGCGCCCAGCTCTATATGTAGGTGATATAATGGTGGGGGCAGTGTCCACTAGCACGTGTGAATTGACCAGCCGAGCTGCGGGGAAGGAAGAGCTTCGACGTGGGACCAGTTAGGACCCTGACATGCATGTAGCTAATATGATAATGGAAAATATGTTATATTTTTGAAAGTCCAATCCTAGTACAACAGTAGACACGAGCCTGCCTTGGATAGAAATACTTATAGAAATACGCCACCGGTAGGTCCACTGATAAGGGCGCTTATTAGGGCTACGAGGCCTATCACCGCCTCGGCAGAGCAGCTGGGCAGTATTTCCACCAGGCCCGGCTTGATCAACATCGCCTGTCCCTCAGTTGACTTTACAACATCCTTCCCCCCCTTCCATTTGGTGTATAATCCCACACAATATATATCGAAACATATATAAACGCGTCTCATTTCTGGGCTCCCTGGAATTCCTAAGTGCATTGACCTTATCAGTCACGTCATTGGCCTCTCCCCTTGGCAACTGAATGCCTCCAAGGTCCTCTGCAGCAAACCTGTGTCACAAAGGTCTCATTCGCAGCTCAACCCGCCCTTATCCCGATTTGTTGTCACGCATCACTGTGACCAGTCCTCGTTCAGTACGGCCCGTACCTTTACCGATTCTTTCTTCCGTGCATTGGACCCGCCGTTCATCCTCCCATTCAACCCCTAACTTCACCGCCACACCCCCGATCATGGCTCAAATCGAGCGTATTACAGAGAACTTGGAGAGACCAGAGCTTGATGATCGTTCTTATCGGGTGATCCGTTTGCCAAACAAGCTTGAGGCCCTCCTAGTTCATGACCCGGACACCGATAAGGCCAGTGCCGCCGTGAATGTCAATGTTGGCAATTTCTCCGATGAAGATGATATGCCAGGAATGGCTCATGCAGTAGAGCATTTGCTATTCATGGGCACAAAAAAGGTAAATGAACAATCTACAAACCTACCACCGCCACCACCTTCCCTGCCGAGGTCAATGCTAACCTGATCTCTGTTGTTTAGTACCCGAAGGAAAATGCATACAACCAGTACCTTGCGTCCCACTCCGGTTCATCCAATGCATACACGGCCGCCACCGAAACGAACTACTTCTTCGAAGTGTCCGCCACAGGTGACTCCAGTGCCCCGAAATCCAGTGGAGACAGCACCCCTGCCGAGACAACTGATAACAATGGCGTGGTGTCGAATGGGAATGGCTTAGATGGAAAGTCGCCCCTCTATGGTGCATTGGATCGGTTTGCCCAGTTCTTTGTCGCTCCGCTTTTCCTAGAGTCAACCCTAGAACGTGAGCTGCAGGCGGTGGATTCGGAAAATAAAAAGAACCTTCAAAGTGACCTGTGGCGTTTGATGCAACTGAATAAGTCGCTTTCAAACCCTAAACATCCCTACAGCCACTTTTCGACCGGTAATCTGCAGACCTTGAAAGAAGACCCACAGAAACGTGGCCTGGAAGTCCGCAGTGAGTTCATCCGGTTCTATGAGAAGCACTACTCAGCCAACCGGGCGAAGTTGGTTGTCCTGGGGCGGGAGTCTCTGGACACGCTGGAGCAGTGGGTCTTCGAGCTCTTTTCCGATGTCGAGAACAAGAACCTTGCTCAGAACCGCTGGGACGATGTTCAGCCCTTCACTGAGAAGGACATGTGCACCCAGGTGTTTGTGAAGCCGGTCATGGATACTCGATCCATGGATATGTACTTCCCCTTCCTTGACGAGGAAGATTTGCATGACACCCAGCCTAGCCGGTATATCAGCCATCTGATTGGCCACGAGGGCCCGGGCAGTGTTCTGTCTTACCTCAAGGCCAAGGGGTGGGCCAATGGTCTGTCTGCAGGTGCCATGCCTGTCTGTGCTGGGTCGGCATTTTTCACTATTTCGGTGCGCCTGACCCCCGAAGGTCTGAACCAATACCAGGAAGTTGCAAAAGTCGTTTTCGAGTATATCGCGATGATAAAGCAACGCGAGCCCGAGCAATGGATCTTCGACGAGATGAAGAACCTTGCCGAGGTCGATTTCCGGTTCAAGCAGAAGACCCCAGCTAGTCGGTTCACCAGCCGATTGAGCAGCGTTATGCAAAAGTCGCTACCTAGTGAATGGCTGCTGAGCGGGTCTTTGTTGCGACGATTTGACTCTGACCTGATCAAGAAGGCGCTGAGCTATCTGCGGGCTGACAACTTCCGCCTAGTCATTGTGTCCCAAGAGTTCCCGGGTACATGGGACCAGAAGGAGAAGTGGTATGGTACCGAATACAAGGTCGAGAAGATCCCACAAGAGTTCTTGGGCGGTCTTCAGAAGGCTTTGGAGTCGACTGAGGCTACCCGCACTTCCAACGTGCACATGCCCCACAAGAACGAATTTGTGCCGACCAGACTCTCAGTGGAAAAGAAGGAGGTTGCCGAGCCAGCCAACACCCCTAAGCTGATTCGTCATGACGACCGGGTGCGCCTGTGGTTCAAGAAGGATGACCGTTTCTGGGTGCCGAAGGCCACCGTCGAAGTGACGCTCCGCAATCCCTTGGTGTGGGCTACACCCGCCAATCTCATCAAAACAAAGCTATATAGCGAGTTGGTGCGAGATTCGCTAGATGAATACTCCTACGACGCCGAGCTTGCTGGCTTGGACTACCATCTCTCGGCGAACATTTTGGGCTTGGACATTTCCGTGAGCGGGTACAACGACAAGATGTCCGCTCTATTGGATAAAGTACTCAATACCATGCGTGGCCTAGTTATCAACCAGGATCGGTTCGACATTATCAAAGAGCGCTTGACGCGGGCATTCCGCAACGCCGAGTACCAGCAGCCTTACTACCAGGTCGGAGATTATACTCGCTATCTCCTTGCTGAGCGCAGCTGGGTTAACGAGCAGTATCTTGAGGAGCTGGAGCATGTTGAGTGCGCTGACGTGGTCAACTTCTTCCCCCAGTTGCTTGAGCAGACCCACATCGAAGTCCTGGCCCACGGAAATTTGTACAAGGAGGATGCTCTGCGCATGACGGACTCTATTGAGAAGATCTTAGGAGGCCGTCCTCTCCCTCCGTCGCAGTGGTACTTGCGCCGTAACATGACCCTGCCACCCGGTGCCAACTACGTCTACCCCCGGTCGCTTAAGGACCCGGCCAACGTCAATCACTGCATTGAGTACTATCTCTATATCGGACTCTTCTCCGATGATGTCCTGCGGTCGAAGCTCCAGCTATTCGCGCAGCTGACTGACGAACCTGCATTCGACCAGCTGCGCAGCAAGGAACAGCTTGGATATGTGGTGTGGAGTGGCGCACGCTACAACGCCACCACCCTGGGCTACCGGGTCATTATCCAAAGTGAGCGCACGGCACAGTATCTCGAATCCCGCATTGAGACTTTCCTCCGCGAGTTCGGCTCCATCCTCGAGAAGATGCCCGAAGAGGAATTCGAGGGTCACAAGCGCAGTGTCGTGAACAAGCGCCTGGAGAAACTCAAGAACCTAAGCTCCGAGACTGGCCGGTACTGGTCGCATGTCGGATCTGAGTACTTTGATTTCCTGCAGCACGAGACCGACGCGGCCAATGTGCGCACTTTGACCAAGGCGGATCTCGTTGCATTCTACCAGCAATACATTGACCCCTCTTCGGCAACGCGTGCCAAGCTCGCTATCCACATGAACGCCCAGTCAGGCGCGCAGGTTGAGGCGCCCAAACCAGCCGAACAGAGAACACGCCTTGTCGAAGTAGTTACCAAGCACCTCGAAGCCGCTGACTTGATTGTGGATTCTGCCCGCTTCGCAACGGCATTTGATGAGGTTGACACGACAGCGGATAAGTCCCAGGTCGTCTTTGCTGTGAAGAACTTCCTGGCGACCGAGACAGGCCTGTCACAGCAGAAGATCGAGCCTGTCCTTGAGACACTGGAGGAGAAGCTCAGTTCCCAGTTGAAGGAGCTGGGTCTTGGCTCTAGCAGTGACATTCAGGGTGCGGCTAATGGCAATGGCGAGGCTCAAAAAGCCGTCGTTATCACCGATGTCCCGACCTTCAAGGCACGCTTGCCTGTTAGCACTGGGCCTGTTCCTGTGACGGATTTGAGCGAGTATGAGGATTTTGATGCCAAGCTATGAATGGTATACATGTGGAATAGGTTTGGTGTTGGCGGGATGGTTGCATGAATCCGAGAGTTGGGGTGTTTGTCAATTGAAGATATAGTGAAGTTCCAGAGATGGACAATAATCCAACAAGCTACGCTCAGGCAATATTTCTTATAATACCCATAGCCCTTGACAAGGGACCCCATTCCCTTCGGGTGCACTCCATAGGGTCCCCACGGCTCAACAGAAACCCTGGCTCAATGTCAAATGTACCTTTTGTTAGGGATTCACATATAAAAGGTACACACGGTCAAGCATCGGTTTCTTCACCTTAAGGTCCAATATAAGTTAACTCAATTCGACATTGCTATTTTGTCTCTATGTAAAATCATCTAGAGTGTTGGAAGTCTTCTGACCTCGGTTCTTCAGATATCGAACTTGGGAAGGCGGTCAACGCTGATAAGCGATAAGTGACATCGGAGCTTGGGGAGGAGCTCTCGCCGTTCTTGCAAGGTTGACCACAATAACAACCATTGCCCCCCTCAAAATGGCTACTACTACGCAGGACGTCCCTGTCAGTGGACTTCCGTAAGTATTCTAGATGAAATTACGAAATGACAATGCAATTTTCGAATGACTTGACCTGACACGATAACTTCTAGGCCCATTGTCCCCAAGGACTTCACCGCACAGCAGCCGGAGACTATCCGCCTGTACCCCCTGTCGAACTATACCTTCGGCACTAAGGAGACACAACCAGAAGAGGATCCTTCGGTTCTGGCACGGCTGAAGCGCCTCGAAGAACACTATGGCCTCCATGGAATGCGACGGACCTGCGAGGGAATCCTGGTGTGTCACGAGCACAACCACCCCCATGTGCTGATGCTGCAGATTGCCAATGCATTCTTTAAGCTGTAAGTTCTATGGTTTAGTTGCGCATATTCACAATTCACCGCTGATAGTCTTCAGGCCAGGCGATTATCTGCACCATGAGGACGATGAAATTGAAGGTTTCAAGAAACGACTGAATGAGCGCCTTGCGCCTGTGGGATCTCAGTTCTCTGGCGAAGGTGTTAATGATGACTGGGAAATCAGCGACACACTTGCGCAATGGTGGCGACCCAACTTTGAGACTTTTATGTACCCGTTCCTTCCTGGACATGTCACGCGCCCCAAGGAGTGCAAGAAGTTGTACTTCATCCGCCTCCCGAAGAAGAGTGAGCTCTAACTCCCCAATGAGGTCTTCCCAGCAAACATTGCTTACACATACCCCACTTATTATAGAGGTTCTCTCGGTCCCGAAGAACATGAAACTTCTCGCTGTGCCGCTGTTCGAGCTGTATGATAACACAGCTCGCTATGGCCCTCAACTTTCTGCCATCCCCCATCTCCTATCGCGATACAACTTCGAGATGGTCGATGAGAATGACAACATTGTTGCTGTGACTCCTGGCACTCCGCTGCCTCCTGGCTACACTATTCCTCCCAGAGTTCTCGTTAACGGTGATGGCGCAGACGCAGACGAAGGACAGGACACTGGTATGACTGGCGTTGAGGAGGGAATGAAAATCGAATCTCACCAATAGTGGGGAGTGATTCCAAGAACAATGAAACGCCAACCAAGCCTACTTTAGGCCTGAGCACCGAGTGTCCCGGGTGGGCTAAGGTTCTTTTCTGGCAGCAATGATGAACAAGATACGGCTCTGACTGGTATCGAGGACGGGATTCGCCAATAATGGGATTCTTTTCGAGACCTCGAGAGAAAAAAGGAAAAAAAGCCCCCAAAAAAAAGCCGCATTGAAAACGGAATGGAGACAGCCAGTCAAATCAATTTTACGCTTCTAATGATCACACATGTTTAATAATGCCGTAGTTCGATATTGCCCTCTACAACATTCGTATATAGATACGATCACGGGTGGAAGTGAGTGGCTGGAATTTCTTCTACACCGGACAATCAATATGAGATGAGATAAGATCATCGAGTACCTAACACCTGCCAAGCAGAAACCAATCAAGAACCCTGCAAGCTACTTCCACCCGACATGCAAAGAGCCCAAAATGTTCATCTTCACGGCACTTATATCGCATGGAGAAATAATCATCGTGGGAACAACCCCGTCCTGCACCACAAGGCACAGCGAGCGCCCCGCCTCACAGCCCTAATCTCACATTGGACGGAATACACGTGGACTCCGCTAGCTTACTACCTAGGTATGTATGTAGACCAACTATCCAATCGCCCGATATTTCTCCGGGGTTACATTCCCGGCGACGAACTCATCAGTTGCATCCATGGATGAATTCCATGTCGATCCCACCGGAATCCCACCGGTCACGCGTGAAATATGCGCCATGAACCCGGAGATAGAGCTGATTCGGGAAACGATTTAATCTACGAAAGAGTGGGCGCTATACCCCGCTCCTTGAAGATGTTTCGGACGTTTCTTGGTATCTGTACGGATCCATATGGATTCGCCATACATAAGGAAGCCGGGTCTGTATGGCTATCTCCAGGTGTGTGCATACTCGCCGTTGAGAAAGCCCTACTCCACAGGTCTTCATAATGCTTCTTCTTGGTCTGCTTGGGGGTATCGCTGCTCTTGCGGTGCCAACGGTTGCTGCTCCTTCTCGTTCTGTTCCTCGAGGTATGGATATACGTTCGCTTTTTGTTCATGTCCTCTGGTAACGGACTAACTGACGCAAGCAACAGATGTGTCGACTGATGTGCTTGGTCAATTAACCCTATTCTCTCAGTGGGCTGCGGCGTCATACTGCACGAACAATAACAATTCAACCGGCGATGCGCTATCCTGCGAGGAAGGCAACTGTCCTTTAGTGGAGTCCGCTGACACAATTACTCTATACGAGTTTGATAAGTATGAGACCAAATCACAAACGTCATTCACAAACTGTTCGCTAATACAGTGACACCTATCAGATCCTGCAGCTATGGTGATGTCGCCGGCTTCCTCGCGGTCGACAAAACAAACAAGCTACTCGTCGTCTCATTCCGGGGTAGCCGCACAATAAGTACTTGGATTGCGAACATCAACTTTGGCTTGACCGATGCCAGTAGTATTTGCAGCGATTGCGAAGCCCACAGCGGGTTCTTGGAATCCTGGGAGACTGTCGCGGATGATCTGACATCCAAGATCAAGGCCGCACAGACAACATACCCGGGCTACACTCTCGTCCTAACAGGCCACAGCTTTGGCGGAGCTGTTGCCACGTTAGGAGGTACTGTGCTTCGAGGTGCGGGATATAAACCAAACGTGGTAAGCACCATGTTTCGCAGTTGGCCTTAATAATAGTGTGTATACTCACAACGAGACTATAGTATTCCTATGGCCAGCCACGGGTGGGCAATAAGGCTCTGGCTGAACATATCACGAACCAGGGCAGTCTTTGGCGAGTGACGCATCAAGATGACTTAGTGCCTAAGTTACCACCTGCAAGTGTTGGGTTCAGCCACGCAAGTCCTGAGTACTGGATTACTAGTGACGACGATACGACGGTGACCTCGTCTGATATTGATGTCATTGAAGGCGTGGGTGCGAGTTCTGGAAATGCGGGGACGTTGAACCCGGATATTGAGGCACATAATTGGTACTTGGGACATATTGATGCATGCCAATAGGGTGAATATGATGAATAGGTAACAGGTCCTGGTGGCCCAATATCAGATGTATATATTTTGGTCAAACCAATTTGATCTATATATAACGCATCAATATAAGAACATATCAACCTACCCACTGTTAAGTAATTGGTAAATAAGCTTTATTTTATATATATTTTAGTTATTTTATAGCTGTTATGGCTATAATTGTGAGCTCGAAGCTATTAAGTGTAGCGCCAAAACATCGAGCTTGGCTGTGGAGAACTTTGAACTTGCGACACGTCGACCTCCCGATGTCTCTGACAATTGCAGGATTTATTACCCACCCAGATACTACATGGATTAGTATTTGATTGGTATCCCAAGTATATTCTACTTGTCTTCCCCGGATTTCTTGAGCTCCCCCGGGGCCTTGATTTTCCCGTTGACCGTTAGCTTTTCCCCCCTCAATGACTTGACCACCTGGGCAGACTGCCCTCCCTCCAACATGTTGTTCGCTCCTAGTGGGCCTCAGGGCCCCCGACGTCGCAGTCGGATGAAAGCTATCTTCCTTACCATCTTCATCGTTATCGCCCTGTACCTTTTATTCTTTTCAACAACGAAATCCCCCGTGAAGATCGAAACAGGCAGCTATGCGCAGATACATGAACATGAATCGACAAAACAACCAGACGAGCTGGCTCGTCCTTCTGTACCGAGACCCAAGGATATGGTCGTCGCCAGCATGAAAAGCGATGACACGTCATGGCTGTCAGAATACTTCCCCGACTGGACGAAAAGTATCTACGTGGTGGATGACAAGCACGCGCCGTTGACGGTGACGCGCAACAAAGGGCGGGAGTCGATGGTGTATTTGACGTGAGTCCGACACGCAATGTGTATTACCTCTTTTACCCCATACTGACTCGAGCTGTTGAACCAGATACATCATCGACAATTACGATAATCTACCAGACACAATGCTCTTCATCCACTCGAAACGCTACCAATGGCACAACGACGACCCATACTACGACGGCATCCCACCACTCCGAAACTTCCAGATTCCATACCTACAAGAGCAAGGATACGTCAACCTACGATGTGTTTGGACCCTCGGGTGCCCGGTAGAAATCCGTCCCCTCACCGATACGCATCGCAGCAACGTACATGCCGGCGAATACTTCAAGAATGGATTCATGGAGCTATTCCCTGGGATACCAATCCCCGAGGAGGTAGGCGTGTCTTGTTGCGCGCAATTTGCTGTGTCTCGCGCCAAGGTGCTGGAACGGCCGCGCAGTGACTACGAGCGCTTCCGCACTTGGCTGGCGGACACGCCGCTAGAAGATGATTTGAGTGGACGAATTATGGAATATTCATGGCATAGTATGTGTTTTCCAGGCAACCTACTCAGTTCCGATCGAAAGCTGACATTTTCTCCAGTGATATTTGGAAAGGACCCTATGCATTGCCCCAATGCGAAGGAATGTTATTGCAAAGTGTTTGGACTGTGCAATCTAACCTGCCCATGGGAAGGTGGCTGTGATGACCGCTATTCCCTGCCACCATTCTCCTCGCTGCCCAAGGGGTGGCCGGATATTGGATGGAAGGGCCAAGCACAAGACACTTCACATGGATTGCCGGAAACTTGAATTGATGAATTGAAGAAATCAGCCACATAAGCCGACTCCCCTTTTTACCGTCTTGGGTTAAGCGTCTTGCTCTGCGTATATGCGCACTCATATTGCAGTGCTCTAGGATGCATCTATAAGTGCACGAGTGCACGCCGAGGATATCTGTCGGTCGCAACTGAGTCGCAACTGAGACTGCAAGGATTTCCCGAAGATTGATAAAATCGCATATATAGCAAATTAGTTACTGGGAGCAGATTGTAATTTAGAGAATCCAGAATCTCCTACTGCATAGCTGCATAGGTGACCTGACGTACATGAAAAACACGCCCAATGCGGAGCCGAGGCTAATTTTATCTCCCCGCATTGAGCAACTTCAACTTCTACAACTCTGCAACTCTGCAACTCATTATCTTAAAGCCAAAATGCTGATCATCGGGCTTACCGGCTCAATAGCAACGGGCAAGTCAACCGTCTCATCCATCCTCTCCACACCACCCTACTCCCTCCCAATAATCGACGCCGATCTCCTCGCCCGTAAAGTGGTCGAACCCGGCACCGCAGGCTACAAAGCAATCGTTCAATATTTCGGCCCCAGCACTCCAGACCTACTATTGGACGATGCGCCCACAAACCCGAACGGGAAGCCACTGAATCGGCCAGCCCTGGGGCGGCGCGTCTTCGGCAGCACGGAAGAGCGCAAACGCGACCGACAAGTCCTCAACGGCATCGTCCACCCCGCCGTACGGTGGGAAGTCTACAAAGCCCTAATCTACCACTACCTGCGTGGCCAATGGGCGGTCGTTCTGGATGTACCGCTCCTCTTCGAGAGCGGTATGGATCTCATCTGCGGAACGGTGATTGTGGTCGGGGTTCACGATCCTGAAATCCAAACGGCGCGGTTGCGCGCCCGCGATGCGCATCTTACAGCCGAGGATGCGGAGAACCGGGTCCGGAGTCAGGGGGATGTGCGGACGAAAGCGACGCAGGCGGAGTTCCGGGGGACGACGACGGGGCGCGGGGTGGTGGTTTGGAATGATGCCGATAAGGCGGAGCTGGAGTTTGCTGTTAAGGGGGCTATGGCTAGTATTGCTGCGTCGAGTCCGAGGTGGTGGGCGTGGGCGTTGTTGGTTGTTCCACCCGTTGGGGTTGGGGTTGCTGCTTGGAATTTGATTGTGAATTTTGCGACGCAGAAGGGGTGGGAGAAGAAGAAGCAGGAGGAGAAGGCGAAGCTTTGATGGTTTTCTTTTTGCTTGTTTTCGAGGAGAGCCAGTTGCTACTTGGGTATCTCTATGTATAGTGTCTTTTTCCACTTCACAATGCTTTTATCAGCGCAGAGTCAGGTTAGGGTCAGCGCCTTAGACTTGGTGAGGCCCTTAACAGAGTTTAGGGCCGAGTATATATACAATGTACATTGGTTATTGTTTGGGATTAGTTGGCCCAGGATTACGAGGAAGGTGAACTACACCAAGCAAACTCTTATTATTACTTGGTATGTCTAGATAGTATGTTGTGTATTAGGAGCAGAATGCGTGCTACTTACATCGATTCCTCTGTAAAAATCCAGAGGCGCCTTTATATCTTTTTACTTATTTGTTGTATGTGAAGAATGTGACCTTTCGTATTGTGGCATAAGGAGAAATGAGAGAGTTATTGTTTTATGAGAATAACTTCAAATCTTCACGCAAGACCTTCGAAATTTACCAAGTCCTTCAGTAAAGGAGAGACAATGTTATCAAAGACACGTTCCACGAACTTTTGCTCATTGGACAGTGAGATTATGCCAGACCAGTAGAGGCAGCTATGAACTGCTTCTGCATAGTGCGTGCCACTTTCCTGGTGCACATTGTCGACAAGCCTTGAAGCGACCCGGAATTTAGTGACTAAAGGCTCCTGGTGCTCATCCTCCGGAGTAAAGAATACACTTAGGGATTTCCCAAGTGACAGTTCCACCAGTGCAAGCCCTAAAGGCAACAGAAGATTGCCTCGTACATTGGGATAGTGCGCCGAGTTGTAAGTCTCTCTCCCAGTATCAAGAGGGAGAAGAGGCCATGAGAGATATAGATTGTCCAGCAATACACTGTAACCGTCGTCCGCAGCAGCCAGATGGACATCGGAGCTATCCCATGAGGATTTCAGCCAATTGCCACAGAATTGAACCACACCACATGCTAGGCCGGTAGCAATATAGAGCCGATCACGACGACTGATTTTTGAAAGAACTTCCCCAAGAGGCTTTTGTGGGACTCCTTTTGGGAGTCTCTTCACTGCATCCATTGTGTACCGAAAAGAGGTATTCATCTCGTTGGAAATGAAACCAATGGTCTTTTGCTGCCCACTGTTCATTTCGGCAATATGAAGAGATGAACAAAAGTCCTGAATGGGCTGGATAGATGGAGGCTCAAGAGTTATTTCTGATGCTTCCTCTATGAGAGTAGAACCGTTGAGCTGAGCCCTAGATCTCCTTGGGACCTTGTGGAACGTGGAATCGTCGCAAAGGGTGAGAGTGGCAAGTTCCACGACCTCTTCAACCCGCGAAGGCTTAAAGACCACTTCTGTCCAGGTCAATAAGCAATCTGGGTTCGTATTACTTGTTGCCGCTGCCTTGTTGGAAAAGAGCATCCGGAACTGAGATTGAGAGTTGCTGAGAGGGTGATCCTCGGCACTCTTTAGAGGATTGGTTTGTAGTTGAAGCTGGACACTGTGTTGCTCTTTACAACTACAGCGCCAGTAATTTCCTTCAATAATGGTTTGAAATAGCCCTTCAGCATTCTTGCGTGCCTTTTTGTATCGCTGTAGGAGGGGGCTCCAGGACTGCCGCCTTTTCTTACTTGTTTCCCGGTGATCGGACTGGTCAATCAGAAGCTTCAATATTGTATTTGCCGCGTTGATCTTTGTAAGGAGATCGTCGTAAACCGCCTTGCTAAGGATCTTACGGAATTTCCATAGATCCCAGGTTTCGGGGGCTGACTGATAGGGTCACTCCAACGTCAGTACAAAAATAAGAAGTAGATCAGTAGAATAACTCACGTTCGTCCGGTCTTCGGTAATTTGTAGCTTTCGAGATAGATATTCAAGTAAATCCGAGAGAGAAGTCATATTCTGTAAGAATATATCGTAATTTCGGTTCAGCTTTCTGCGTAGACGACCTTGCAGAGCTGCGTTTGCCCATTCTTTGCCTTGTGGGTTGTTAATGAGTTGGGATATCTCATCTTCGTCGTCGACGACACCTTCGAGGGCTTGCTCTAGCGTATTCAGCAAGATGGTGCGCTGGGTTTTCAGTCCCACCGAATATCCTTTGAAGTCCCGTCGGTATCGCCTTAAAAGTTTGATCTTCTCGATGCCGAGAGCGTAGGCGTCGACTTGGTTTATAAGAAGAGGAAGAATGGCAAGAGCGAGACCCGCCGCCTCGATGCCAGTCACCATCTTCCAAGGCTTTTACCTGTTGACGAGTCAAGATGAGGTTTCTGTAGGCTGACTTGTTGACCCCTCTAGGTGCAATACCCCGCACTATAGGGGGGCCATACTTCATACTCCAAGGACTACATCAATAAACCTCGCGTCAAACCAAATAAGATGGCAAATGTGCCAGACCTCCTCCAGGGCTGTCTTACCGAGTTCAACTCCTTGATTACTTCGGATAGCCTCGCTAGATATATCCCCGAAGTCCCCCTGCAAGCATGGAATGATGAATTGGGCCGATTACGAGTATGGGCCGCAAATATCGCTCAGATCGGACAGTCTTCTTTGGATTACCGCCTGAGGGATGCATCCCATATAAAAGACCAGATCTTGTCGCTTCTGAAGAGAGTCAAAGAGCTGCTCTTAGACCTCGCAGAGGTCCTGGAGGAAGATGCAGACACCGAGAATCAATATCCACTCGAAGGGGTTGAGGGTCTGGGAGACTACCCCGAAGACGACGACAGCATAACGGAGGTTCAACAAATTCATCAAGGCCTCCTCGAAGCAATAACCGATCTCTACCAGATGTCTATGATGATTCCCCAACCAGCACATCATGACCGGCTGATTGGAACACGAAAAGTGGACGCCGAGCCATTTGTATTCTGGGCTAAGCAGCATGCTTCCAACAAATATCCTCACGCAGATAAAGTGGTGATCGATCGACTCAGTTCAACGATGGCGCGACAAAGAGCCATTTTGAAATACCGTGAAAGACACCATGCGAAGTTGAGCCATGGCATTTATCCAGAAGATGAGAAGTCGACGATGCCGCCAGAACCTCCCCTTAACAATGCATTTAAGGAGAGAAATCAACCCGACGAGTTGGCCTCTGAAGATGGCGTAACCGAAACCTCATACAATGACTACCAGTCCGACGGAATATACGGAGGCACAGATATACCACTGATTCCTCAAAAGGGGCACCAGCAAAACCCGTTCAAATGTCCGTATTGCTTCTACACCATCACTGTTCGAGATGAGCAAGCATGGGCGCGACACATTCTCCGCGACTTGATGCCGTATGTGTGCGTCTTTCCCGAGTGTTCAACGCCAAATAGGCTATACGGAAGTAGTCGACAGTGGTACGCCCATGTCCAGCAAGCACATCCGATCACTGATACTTCTTATCAATGTGCCATTTGCAACCAAAAACACCTTCCTTCTGTTGGGTTCCAGCAGCATGTGGCTGGGCATTTACAGAAACTTGCCCTCTTTTACCTGCCACAAGTGAGAACAGACGAAGATGAAGCCCCGGAAACAAGACAAGAAGAGGAAGCTCAGAGTGCGAATGCAGAACAACGCCTGGGGTTGAACAGCTTTGACCTGACCGAAAAGAAAGATATCGAGAGGAAGATGCCGAAGGGAAAGTTAAAAAAGGCAGAGTCAAAGGTGCAGCGAGAGACGGAGGATGATGAGAGGGAGAAGTTTATATTGGAAATGACCGAGAAGGACAGTCAAAAGCCATACCGGATCTCGGAGAAGTCTGAGAAGCATATTGCCCACAAGGAAACTGCAATTGAAAGATGGAAGCTCGAGCAAGAACGCACCAAGCAGAAGGAAAAGCAGTTTAGAGAACATCTGCGTAGCATTGGTTACACCGAGGAGGAGATTGAACAAATCAAGAACAAGAAGAACAAGAGAAATAAAGAAGGGAAGGACGAGACAGAGAAGGAGGAAAAGGAAGAAACGAAGACCACATGGATTAAGGTAGGATATCTACATCCATCATCGTATAGCCCTGGAGATACCAATGCTGATGCTATTCTCTAGGTCCACCGTAAGCACCTGATACCAGATACATTGGTGGCATATAATCTGCCTTGGGATTGGGATGAGGTTAGTACTACACCGTAAAGGATATGGTATATGTTTAGAGGCTAATGTTGTCTGATATAGCACGACGCCAACTATATTATTATCAAAAAGTGGATAACCGACGATTTCCAGGAAGAGCTCTTCTTGCACACTCGACGTATACGCGAGGGAAAAGTTGTCGCCCAAACATCCACCTCCATGGCCGGACTGAAGGTCGATGACCGCAGCAAGGAAAATATGTTCTTGGTCCGGAAGAAGAGCCCTAGCGATCGATTAAGGATATTTGAATAGAGGTGTCGCCAGGTAGATAGTCACCAGTAACAACCACGTATTATATTGATTGCTAAGCATTTACCACCAGGGGGTGATACTGAGAATGAATTGATTGATAGAACCCCAAGACGCCATACATGCTATGCTAAAACGCCAATCAAAACATCTGAGTTGGATATCTCGTGGAAAATCTTCTGTTTAGTAACTCTTGCGCTTCTTCTTCTTCTTGTCAGAAGACGGGGCTCCCAACAAAGACCCCCGGCCAGACCCAGATATACTAGTGAGTTCAGACAGCTTCGTCTGTCGTGTGTTTCCCCTCGCTTTAGCTTCTGCCTTGAGTCTGGCCTTTTCCATCATTTTGGTGACCTCTTGTGGATTCGACGGGTTGATTAAAGCGTCTTCATCTTCATCGTAATCATCCTCATCATCCCCATTGCCCTCCTTCCGTGGTGTAGTTTGTGGCTAAGAAGAAATGAGTACAAAATATCAAATGCGAGAGATAAAAAGACTGACCTTGCGCTCTTTGCGCTTGAAATTGCCATACGCCCGCCGTCCACCGGAGTAGTCATCGTCATCTGCATCTAGCGAGTCTGCTGCCAATACCATAGGCTGTTGAGTGGATTGTGAAGTAGCAGGGACATCCAGAACCCAATGTGTCTCGCCCGCCTCTGCAGCTGCTCGTGCGACAGCTTGCTGTCGCTTTTCTTCTTCGGCAGCAAGCGCAGCCGCGATTGCATCCATATCTGAGGTGTGGGGGCTCTCAGCCTCGGTGGAGAGACGGGGGCGTTTGGAATTGTGCGGGCTGACATCAGAAGATGGGCTTTGAGTTTCTTTTGCAGCTGCGGCGCGTCGCATAAACTAGGATATAGTGTTAGTTGCATGGCTGTTAATCAGGAAACTGTCATTCATACCTTCATGGTCAATAGATTTGACGACATGGTCTTCTCAGGCTTTCCAGCCGGGGAGGAAGAGCCAGCCATAATGAGTTGAAAGTAAAATCTCAATGGATATGAAACCCAATTTGAAAAACAAGAGGAAGATGTCAAACCACTTTCACTTGGGGAAGCGCAAAATAAAATGACGCGGCAGAAAATCCAAAGTGCAGGGTGGAGCTATCTCAAACCAGCAAGCGGTGAGAACCCACCAAACCACACCTCGCGGATTATTCAGTGCCGACTTGCACCTGGTCCCTTGCCAACGCTCTTTGTGTCCTCCGTCATAACCAACCACCCCGGGGAAACTTGCCCAGTATGATGTCCTGTGGCCGCAGACTTGCGACCTTTGCGTCGGTCCGCCCGCGCTTCGTTGTCCGCGCATACTCCTCAACCGTGCCCCGTCTGAACGAGAACCCTATCCAAGTCAACGACCCGACCCCGCGGAAGCCCGTGCCGAATGTCTCCGCAACCAATGCCGAGCCTACTGAGGAGTTTGGACGTCAGCGTAGCGACGGTACTCTCCAGGAGGCTCCCGAGGTTGGCGAGCGCATCCGGAGCATGCAGGCCCCGAACCGCGCTACCACCTGGGCCGCCAACCAGCAGCCGCGCGAGAGAGCCATGGTTGGACCTCGCTTTGAGCAGACAATCATGGAGACTCAGGTGCGAATCCATTGAAAATAGCAGTGCTTATGCAATTGCTATTGGCAATGCATATCAAGAACTAAGACTAACTTGCTACTCTTTAGCCGCAACCATATGCCGCTATCGAGCTCATTCACAGACAGCCCGTCCGCTGGACAAAGTCCAAGGTTGTCAGCTGTGATGGTGGCGGTGGCCCTCTCGGCCACCCCAAGGTCTTCATCAACACTGACAAGCCCGAGATCGCTACCTGCGGATACTGCGGTGTTCCCTTTGTATGTCCACTTATATCCTCCGTCTTCTCACCGGCTACGATTGGATCTTTGCTAACATCTCTCTAGGCCCAGGAACAGCACCGCGCTTACTTGAAGTCCCTGCCCGCCACCAGCTACCCCCTCGAGCCCACCGGTGACGCCGCCGAGGTGAACGAGTCGCAGCGTGTGACAGAGGGTGGCTTGGAGCAGCGATAGACGGCTAGCATGAGATTTCCTTTTATCGGCGTTGCACAATTTGCGTTTTTCATTTGGTTTTGGGCCTGAGGCCGTGTACAGAATATCGATGAATGGATCCGCTGCTCCTCGATCGTGTGTGATGATGGTATTGTCCTCAAAAATGTGTGTACTACTTCGACTACCTGCATATGATGATCCCATACAATCCGGGTCATATGTCGACTCTCTTGCCAACCTAAGTCCCTATTTTTTTTTATATCTTGCATCAGTCGTAGCCGGGACATCCTAGATAAATCACAATGGCCCGCGCTCAGCCCCATCCCGTCAAGCCTTTTGGCCCTGGATCGTCGCCACAACCTTGCGACTGTGTCGACTCGTCCGGAACTCCAGGTACCAAATGCCCTGCCATGTTCCTGTTGCCAAGCGACCGTTCGTGATAGGGATATTGACCGAAGCGCCAATGAGCGCAGATTTGATGTGAGCCTGTGGTGAATTAGTGCCTGATTTCGAAGAGAGTAAAATGAACCGGGGAGGATAGTCAGAGGTAGCCTCTAGACTCTTGAAACGAGCATAGCGATCTATCCCCAATCCCCAATCCCCAATCTCCTGCTATTTCCAAACACATACCGGCATATCATCCTCGCCCTCGGCGGAATGACGATACAGATTTCCCTTCTTATCCATAGGCGCAATGCGATCCAGGGCGTCACTCATATCGGCGCGAACATCGTCATCCCAGTTCTCATTCAGCGAAAGCGCACAGCTGGTGTGTTGCACGAACAGATTCAGCATGCCGACTTTGTAGTCTCGGATCTCGGGGACCTCCTGGAGGACATGGTCGGTGATAAGGTAGGAGCCGCGGCTGCGAGAGGGCAGACTAAAGGTCTTCTGGGACCAAGACATGGTATATAGAATTGAAAGATGTGATGTGTTGAGAGTGAGAATATAGAGGGGCAGAAGAAAATAAGAGTGTTGTGATTGGGTGGGTTCTCTGATGTCATTGGATCTACTCAGTACATTCTACGATACATCGGGCAGGAATACACACATGTATGTATCTTCATCTCTCTTGAAGCAATTTGACTGTATATTTTCAAGGAGTGACAATGTTAAATGCAGGGTTGGGCACCGCAATCCAGAACGTGATATTAGCCCAAGCGGCCACACCCCCAGAGGTGGTCAGCCACCGCAGCTCCGACAAGCTCCATGAGTTCCGTATGCTTAAGCCAGACAGTCATGGTAGCATAAGTACTCTCCACAGCTTGAGAGGCCACATAGGGAGCTACCTGCCCAGTCAAGGCAACATTGCTCAACCTTAGGTGCCAGCCAGCACCAATCCCTTTGGGTTGTTCCAAGTCCGTGACCATGAAATCAATGGTAATTTCTTTCCCAAGATACTTTTCAGGTTGCTTGAATGCCTCAGATCCATTGATACGGACAGCGATTGTGTTGAATAGCTCGTTCAGACTCAGGGCCATCAATGACTCAGGTGCCATTGCGTTGGTCACTGGCTAGGGCCCATTTTCTAGCTCAAAAGCGCCGGTGAGGTAGATGTTCCGCCAGGTCGCATTCTCTGAACTGTATCCCAGCTCAGTGTACATAGCTGCCAGCTCCTTCTCATCGGGGTTGCTTTGAGTTGCGAAGGCAAGATTATCTGGGATGGTAGCAGCGAAACGGAGGTTCTTGTTTGTGCGATACTCCTGGGCCTTTTCGAGAACTGCTTCGTTTCCGCCCATACACCTGACAAATCCAGTGGCTTCATCGACAGGCTTGAGCGGCCAAAGATGAGCGGGATTCTCATCGAACCAGCTCATATATCTGTCATAAATGGCTTTGACATTGTAGCTGATTGAGCCGTAATAGTCACGCAGGTTTGTGCGCTCTTTCAGATTTGGAGGCATTTGGATCTCTTTCGCAATTTCCACCGGGGTTTTTCCGTCATTGAGCTGTCGAAGCGTCTCATTTGTAGGTAGACGTAGTAATCGCGCTGTTCGGGCTGGAACTTGACCACCAGTTATCACCTTGGCTCCACAGGTGGGCCAGTGGTGGGTAGAGAATACCACGTCAATCTTCTCACCGAACAAAGCAATTGACTCATCCAGGTATCCATTATATACTATACTAATATTTGCTTTTTTCCCCCTTCTCTCTTAGTCTTCGAACAGGTCCAAACCCTCTTTCGCAGTGACGAACTCCATGTCTCCGAGCGTCTACAGCTACAACGCTGCGATAAAGATGTGTAGCATGCATCGAGCTTTGGCTTCCAATAGCATTAAGTGGACAGCTCGGATTACCTCGGATTCAAAATGGAGCAACTCTCAGCAAGCCCCAGAGGCCTTCCCGTAGTACTCCACACGGAGTGATTACTTTATTATTTTACCTATGCAGGCAAAATCTCCAGGCCATTAGAAACGCTGACTCTGGACTTGGACAGACCCAGATACGCGATTCCAGTCCACCAAGAATACCAAAGTGACTGGTTGTACCGGCTCGAGTTATTTGGACATGCTTCGAAAAATAGTATATAGTATATTCTGCTGTCTATTCTCTTCATTCTCTTCAATAGGTCTTGCTTCAATGATATCACGCCAATATTGTATAATTCTCTCTGTTATCTTTGTTTCTGAAAGACAGCTTGTTTACCCCATTTATTTGCATTTGCCTCTTCCAGTTGTTACACTGCTGTGATATAGCTGCATGGTTTTCTCTAGATCGTCGGGGGGAACATGCATCTTTTTGGATTTGTGTGACAGCTGAGAATTGGAGTCTGGGGTGGACCAGCTACTTTGCTTTTTTGTGGCTATATATATTGATATTGCTTTTGTCAATCGCAGGACACTTTCTCATACGGAGTACTTAGCAGACCACAACTCCTGTAGTAATAGGGCGATCTCATTTCCATAAAGACGAGAACCGTCTTTTCCTTGGCAATTTAGCCACCTAAACCCTATGCATCCATATCATAAGGCTGCAAATATTCCTCATCTGCAAACAACTCCACTAGATGATATCGATGGTGCGCTGTGAAGAGCATAATCATTCCCTGGGTGAAATTCTTAATTAAAGCGAGCAGCGATGGACTATTCCGAAGCTGTTTATAAGCCGACTTTGTGACCTATAATCAATTGTCAGTAATCTAAACCAATGCAAGATCAAGAGCGTGAAACTTACACCAGGCGTATAGCTCGTGAGATACCGCAAGACATCCAAATGCTGTACATGATGCGTGTCGGCGAAATTTGCGACAAAATTGCCCCTTTCATCGTCGAGACAGAACTCTTTGTAATATGACAAGATATCATTGGTAAAATCAATGAAGAGGACAAGTTCCAGGGTGACGGGGAAATATTGCATAACGTATTCCTCTTCGGGAAAGACGGAGTTAGGATAGAGGAGATGGCCCATGATTTCTGCTCCTCCGACCTTGGTTCTTAAGAACATAGGCATGAGGCGGGACTCAGAGGAGAACTTGAAACTGGATCTGATCTTATGCTCAATGACACGGCCATTGATATAATCAAGCATGCCTTTAGTCATCACAGAGTGGCAGTATGGGCCGTAATAATGCGATAAGTTGCGAAGGTGAGAATCCAACCCAGTGAGAAGAGGATGCTTGTGGTGTTGATTAAGAACAAAGCTACGTAGATCAGCATGAAGTTGGATACTTATGATAGAGGCAAGCTGTAGACTTCACTTTTGACCAAATACTTGAAGTTCCTCTATGAATTCCTCCGCCACATCATCCAATAGAAACATATAGAGGAATTGAATGGCACATAGCACCCTCACCTGGAAAGGAAGAGTCGTGAACCCATGATATGCAAAGTTCACCGAGGGGTCGAGGGATCGTTCGACCGATCTTTCAGTCTTCTCTGCTAGGTCCAGACTTTTAAAGTATTGCCAAACAGCGCTCCTCATCTCATGATCGTTAGTTACCCGAATGCTTCGATCTAAGTCGATGTCCTTAAGAAAAGTCTTGATAAGCGGCTTGATTTGATCAGTTTGAGCCCTTCCTGGATTGACACCTGTTCCATCGGTATCAGTTGATTTCATCTGAAGTCCATGATAGGCGAGTTTGCTTTCTGCGAGAACAGGGTCCATATTGTCAATTCAACGGCAAAGATATATTGGAAAAAGAAGCAAAGGAAAACTCGTATAGCGAATATACCAGAGACTTAGAGTAGATAGTGTGGTAGAAAGAAGTTGGGAAGGCAAATATTCTCTCTCATCTAGCCTCGACCACTTGTGGCCGTTACACAGGCGACATAAATAAACTACGTTGTACGAGGCTGTGACTTCAATAGTGAACAATGACCTACAAAGTATATCACGGTTTTCTCCTATCTCAAGTTGGCTTTACGCTGCTATAGATATAGGATCAGTAGTCTACATATGTAGCAGTACGCACAGCCAGTCTTGAATATTATCGGCAATCTTCTGAACTCCGTTAGATGATATCATGTGCGATTCTCGTCCAACTTTGTGCGATTGAAAAACCAGTCATTCTGATAAGGACTGGAATTGAGCTTGGTACCAGGCAGATGTGTGTCCAAAGGAACTGACTTTCTCCGATGGGTATGACTGCGTATCTGGTTGTCTATACGGATTGGGTTAATTTATTATTTCTTTTCGAGGACCGGACCTACCATCAAGTCGAAGACTAAGCTTGCCGTTGAATACAGTGATAGTGCCTGGTTTACGGAGCTAAGTGTACATTTTATCGCTCAATTTTGGGCTATAGGATTCTAAATTCTCTGCCTCGCATCTAAATTTTCGAAGAGAATGTTAGACTAACGACATTTCTTTTTTTATTATTTGGAATTTACGGTATTACAGCCCTCAATATACCCGACGCACGATCACTCCCATGCAGACTTGGGGATAAATACTCCGTAGGCTATAGAGAACGGATTGGTGGATATGACCTACCTGCAGGCTATTGGTGTTATTGATGCCATTGATCGCCGTAGCCGCCTCGTGGATCGCCACGACAATGCCCCGGATGCATCAATCATTTGGATGCCACCAGGCTGAAAATAGTAACTCTAAGCCATTTCCTGTGCTATCACAATGGCTTTTTGTCTCCATGGGGTAGTATGTCAGACAGATATGTGTATTATAAATCTTTAGAACCCATGGTTTTTGCAAGTAGCAATCCCTAGGCTCTGTCGCATCATTTGCCTACTTTGGGAAGTACACAGTCATTTCAACCACCCGTTATTCCACCACTGACTGAGATATATTGCCCAGTAATCCATCGACTCTTTTCACTAGCTAGGAAAAGCACGGCCTCCGTCACATCCTCCATAGTGCCAACCCTATCTTCAACCCTGGTCATGTCGAGAAGATGGTTCTTGATTTTTTCATATCCTGGCACAGGCTCTGACTTGTGCGTAGCGACAAGACCCGGGGCAATGGTGTTGATAGTAATGCCTTTCCCCTCGCGGCCAATCTACACCACGTGGGCATTAGTGTCTCCCCAGAAAATATCGTATGGATATCAATGATTCACTCACCTCTCTGGCTAGCGAAAATGTCAATTGGTCCATGGCTGCTTTAGCAGCTGCATAAATAGGCTTCTGGTAGAATCCTATTTTCGATGCGACACTTCCAATATTGATGATTCGCCCATGCTGCGACATGTGTTGATAGGCCGCCTGAAGGAGAAGCAAGGGGCCAACGACGATCACTTGGAATACTTTTGTGAGCTCTTCAGGAGGATTTCCAAACAGTCTTCCCGGCTCATAATAGACCGCATTATTGACTGTAAACAAATGTAAGTAAAAGAGTCTCTAAGATTTCTGTTCTTTCGATCCCCATATAGATGACCAGTTTCACGAAGAATGAGACTCACTGATAATGTCAATATGGTCAACCCCAAAACTTTGAAGGGTTTGTTTCACAAGATGCTCGACGCCTTCAGTGGTTGATATGTCCGCTCTGACCACAGCAACCCTACCCTCTCCTACCTCGGATTCAATGCCAGATGCAACCTCTGCAGCGCGTGTGGTGGTAGAATCAGAGACATAGTTTATTACCACGCTAGCGCCAGCCCGAGCAAGAGCAAGGGCAATCCCAGAGCCCATTCCATTCTCTCTGCCAGAGCCGGTTATAATGGCTACTTTGCCCGTGAGCATTATGCTATCCTGTGACATGTTTAAATGATAATGGGCTTTCAAAGATTCGAAGAAATGAGTGTTTTCCCAGCGTGGTATTTATGTACTCATGCCAGGATGAGAAAAATAAATCATTGCTATCCTAAAGTATAGATAATATGGATATTCTGCCTGTTTGGGCAATTGGGGGGGTTCGAACGGGATTCGGGTTTCGGGGTTTGAGCGTTAATACGCTTAATACGCCCATGAATATCGGGCCACAAAGTAAAAAGATTGTTGACAAATCATATGAATTAATTTCGAAAGCGAAATCCTCATAGGTGCTTATTTGATTATTTCATAGCTGCTGGGCGGCCCAATGGTGTCGGACCCGACATTTCTACGAGGTTCACCCGCTTGCCTTAAATTTCGGCTTGCATTTAGCACATTTTAGTACATTTTAGCGCTGATAGTCTTGTTAACTCCACTTTATTGCTTCCCAACTGCATATTCTACTATCTCTTACTTTGTAGTCGAAAAAAAAAGTCATGGTACGGCCCGAACAGCAATAACTGGGTACCGTGGTATCCATATATCACCCCCTTGAACCCCACGCCATCCCCCAAATGTGCACGGAGTAAGGCGAACGACGTCAGATCGACCTCTTATATACTTTAAAACGAACAATTGATTGGTGGGCAAGGCCTAGGCTTCGCCAAGAACACGCAACTTCGCTGGTGATGCTATACTCTCGGTTATGCGGTTCACAAGGCTGCGGTCAATGATCGACAACATGGTGGGGTATTGTCTTGGAGAATAAGCAAAATACTCACATGTATCGAACTAGATTACTACTTTTCGACCTGAGATAGAGGTCTCATGCCCTAAATGTGCAAAAGGCTAGGAATGTGACCAGTCACTGGGCCCCAATGTGACCTCGTTTCTCCAATAGGGCTCATTCCCATGAGGTTCTCAGTACATGCATCCTGCAATATACCAGATACAGCAGGTAAGTAGCAGCTGGCTCACGGGAACTGTCTCAAATGCGGATCCTTTCTCCGGACTGGTCTCGGCTTGTGTCATCGTATCGTCCTAAGAGAATATCATTTCTGTGTGGTCAGGGGCAATGCAGGATCTTGAGTTTACGGCTCATGCACTTTGTTTGAGAGAGGAATACTGACTCGACTCTGCGTGTGGTGAGACTATTTGATTTAGCCGGGTTACCAGGCCTGGGGGCACTGGCTGGCGAGGTGTGGGGGTCTGCAGCATGGCTGAGTGAAGCATTTCGACTTTTGAGGATTCTATAAAGTTAAAAGGCAAAGCAGTAATCTTTCAATCTTATAGTTCGAAACGGCGCACAAAAGAGTGATGTTTGGTACTTTCCGTTACAACAAGCAGACGAAGAATCATGAGCATGTAGAGATTTCTACTGCCAACGGCGTGGAGGCTCGCGGATATACGTCTGTCGCCTGTGACTACTGCCGTTTTCGCAAGGTGAGTCACTCGGCTTTTTTATTTATATTCTATTTACATTCCTTCTGTCATAGGCCCCGGATTTTGGTCAGGGCATGTATTGACCTCTCTAAGCTCAAATGCAGTGGAGAGAAAGGTGGCTGTGATAGATGTCTCGCAGCGTCCAACACTTGCACATACAGACGGAGCTCGAGCTCAAGAGACGACAGAAGGCAACAACGTCGACTATCTTCACACGAGGTCAATTCCCATGATTGGTCCCCTGAGATCTCAAACCAACCTGCGGTTCGTCGATACTCACAGCAGTCCCAGTCTCAAAAGCCAGCCAACAGGAAAAAGCAGCCGTCCAGATTAGATGGTGCTGCTATTAGTGCGGAATCTTCTCAGTCTAGCTCTGATGGTGTCGTTGTTACCTCGCCTTCAAGTTGGCTAGACCCTTATTGGGAGCTTCCATCATTCAACGATTATGCAGACAGTGACAATCATGGACTGGACGGGCTGGATGGACTAGTCGATATTCCCACATCAGTACCACTAGACGGCGGAGAGGACGGATTTTTTGAAAGCGAGCTTCTCAACGAAAGAACAGAGGCAGCGGATTGGACTGAATCTTCGGCGACGATCCAACCCAATCATGAGACACTGTTATTTACAAATATCAACACTTGTTCTCACGAAGGTCAAGGACCCGGTCGAACCCCCAAAGGGAAGCGAAAGTCCACATCACAACCAACACCGACATCAAGCCCTACCTCTCCGCCTTTGTCGGTCGGCAACAAATATCCTTCTAGCTGCCGATGTCTCAGCACTATGGCCCAATTCCTCGAGAGCACAGGTTCACATGGAGGTTCAGGCACAGGTATTGACACCCTTTTGGCGTGCCTGGGGCACGGTATAGTGACGTGCGAACATGTTCTCGCGTGTCCCAACTGCAACGCCTGTACAGATAACAGCATGCTCCTTTCTACCCTTGTGCAGCAGCTTGGAGTTGCAGCAAAAAGCATGGCTGACACCCTCCTGGCTCGCGATGGGAATGGAAACATGGAGTCTGAGACCGTGACTAGCGACACGGTTATTCGATTTGGTAGCTACATGATTGAGATGCCAAATCTAAGGCTCCGCCTCGTCTACAATGCCATCCTATTGCATTTCTCACGACTTCGCGGTCTCCTTGTGAAAATAATAGATGATGTTCGACCGGATGGCGTTGCTTGGAGGCAGATTATTAGTACTGAACAGAAGGTTGGCAGCATCTTTGCTATGATCAAACGATATCTACAGAGGGAAGGACGAGTTGGACAATAATTCTCATCCGATGAAATATCTCGTTTTTTTTTTAACTCTTAATATTCAGCTCACAATACTACCTGACTTTCAAGCTTGATGGGGTATTGATTTATGCTCTTTAATCCTGATATCCTTGTATTATCCCAGTACAAAGCATCCAAGGCATGCAAAAAGTACAATATCCCTCCAGGGCTACTCCATACTCTAATATGCGTCATCTCTGTCCAAGTCGCCCCATACTTAAAGTGGGAGAGCTCATCGGCCACTCCCTTTAATAAAACAATAATAGCCGGCCGCTTATGCGGCCTTGTGACGTCTTTTGGTTAGTCTTTTTTGGTAGATTTCTTTTATAGATATTTTGTCCCCTTTCTCAGTTTCATCGATAGACGGCAGAAAAAGACGGGAAAAGGCCTAACTTTGTGAAATGGATTTGTCTATGTATAACCTTTAATGATCCGGACGTCTCTCAGGTTCCAGGGGACGTGATACTAATCATCGAAAATATACCTGATCTATAGAAGTTGTACTCCTATGTATGTCACCAAAGCCGAAGTGATAATCAATTCAATTATTCTCGTGGTATAAACACTCATGCCTTGAGATCCTTAGACTGCAATTCCTCACTCTTGCTCGCCACCAGGGCACCAAATTCATTCAGAGACGCACTCTGAAGAATCTCAAAGACACTGATCCTAGCCTTAGCACCGGTACTCAACCAGTTACGCAGTTCCACGGCAACCAGGGAATCAACACCGTAGCGTGACAAAGGTAACTCAACGTCAACATCAGACAACGGAAGATTGAAGATTTCAGCCACCTTAGCTGAGATAGCTTGAACCAATAGCGTGGTGGCCTCAGTCATAGTAGTTGCTTTGGATAGAGCTTTGGTCAATGCGACTGTCGATGTCTTGTTGTTCGACGCAGCAACTGTCTTCAGACCCCGCTGAGCCGCAATACGGAGCGTTCCAAAGCGCCGGTCGTGTCGCATGGCTGACTCTGTTGAGAGAGTTTGGAAGCTGGGACCAACGATCACCTGGCTTTCTGACAGGGACTTGCGCAGTGGTTCGCGGATTGCGGACTCGACAATTCTGAGAATAGCCTCGAGATCGACAGAGCCAAAGCCAACATTCTCAACCCGTGCACGGAGTCGCTCATCACCGCTGGCCTCTCTATCGGCTACGTAGCCAACCGATCGAACAGCACCAAGGTCAATAGTCACAGCAGGCTGGCCGAGCGCGGTTCGGTGACGTGCCATAGCATCCTCGAAAGAATTCCCGGCAGCATAGTTGGCCTGAGACATGTGTCCAGCCACACCAGCCACCGATGACAGCATAATATAGAAGTCCAGGTTTGGCAGGTGGTTGTGCAGGTTGCGACTGCTGTTGATTTTAGGCCGGACACCATTGCTCCATTGATCGAATGTCATCCGCTCCAGAACTGTGTCATCTAGCACCATGGCACCGTTGATAACACCACTGAACGGAGGCAACGTCTGCGAGCAATCACTGATCAGCTGCAGCAAGCAGCTTTCATTTGAAATGTCACAATCATGGATTTCAAGCTGGCATCCCGCCAACTTTGCTTCCTCGTGAAGCGAAGAGGCTTTGGGGTGGGTTGTGGCATGGCGCGAGACAAGAACCATGTTCTTAGCGCCCTTCGAAATCATCCATTGTGCGATGGCACGACCGATGCCACCTAAGCCACCGGCAATCAGATATGTTGCATCGGGATTATCTAGTGACACTACCGCTGGGCGAGTGACAACCTGTTTTGAACAAAGTCATGAGCCTCATTATGTTCTCAAAATAGGAGGAGGAGATCTCAGCACTTACCTTGACAGTATCTCCATCGCGCGGAACAAGGACGAGCTTGCCCATATGAGCACCTCCTTGCATCTGGCGCATGGCTACGGCCATGTCTGAGATCGAGTACGGGGTGATGGGATAGACAGGAGTAGCACCACGATCTTGGCAGATGCGCAGGCTCTCAACGAGGGCCTTGTGCGTCATGCTGCCCCTATATTCGGTAAGTTGCAACAGATCGAAACTAGAATATGTGGCACAGCGGGTAAACGGTTCTGTCTGCAACCACCGGTTAGCCTCAATGTCGACCTTTGTCATATCGACAAAGCGACCAAAGCGGGCCATGCAGTCCCAAGTGAGTTTGAGCAGCGGCCCAGACAATGAGTTGAGAATGACATCAACTCCCTTGCCCTCGGTCTTGGCCATCAGCTCAGGAGCAAAGCTCGCGTCACGACTGGAGAAGATGTGATCGGGTTTGATTCCGTAATGTTGCACAAGCAAATCACGTTTCGCCTCGGTGCTGCAGGTAGCGAAGACTTCTGCGCCGACACTCTGGGCGATGACGACCGCTGCCTGACCAGTTCCGCCAGCTGCAGCATGGATCAAGACTGATTCGTCCTTCTGTAGTCCTGCAATTTGAATAAGACTACCATAGGCCGTGGTATACGCAGCTGGGAACGACGCTGCATTCTCCCAGGACATATCCACATCCTCTGGGAGTTTTACAACTGAAGTCCAATGCGTCCTTCCCTTGCTTGCGAGGCGACCCTTGCACAGGGCAGCAACACGGTCGCCAACCTGGAGTCCACTTTTCTCCGTCTCAGGTCCCAATCCCGTGATTACGCCAGAGCATTCATGACCCGTCAGAGGCTCTTCAAGTTGACCAAGAGCAACCATAACTTCACGGAAGTTGAGACCGAATGCTTTGGCCTCCACTTCCACCATCCCAGCTGGGACCTCGGTGGTTGTGATGATTTGATTCTCGACAAAGTACGGGTCCAGGCCCATGCTACCTGAAATTGGCGTTTCCCAGATCAGAGGTCGTCCCGGTTGGTGGAAAGGCTGCAGTTCAGGATCAGGGAGAAGCTTAAGGTCCCTCGCCGCGGCATCTTGGACCTTGTCAGGGTAGGTTCTGCCCACATGAAGCATTGAGTCTTTCACTGCGTATTCCCACTCAATGTCGATTGTCTCGGCATCGTTGTCGAATGACTGCTCGATAACGTGGACGATGTGTCCAATCTTGTCGCTTGTCCATGGATTCTGGTCATGTTCAAAGTCCAAACGGATCCATCGCTTACTAGAGTCCTCTTGTCTCATCGTTCGAAGCAAGCCTTCTGTCGCTGAGAACGAAGGATTCTGCGAGTCAACGAGACCACCACAACTGAGCCATAGCAGACCACTGCAGTGGTTGAAGAGCTCCTTGAGCCTTTCAAACTTTGTCTCATCCATACCATCCACGAAAGGATTCTCCATCTCAGCTGTCATGATGCAGACTGTGTTTTTGAACGCATCGACGTTGTCCAAGGCCACCAGTGTGGGCGGAACACCGGTCTTCGTCTGGATTGCATCAACTAGCTCTGATAGCCATGGCTGGGGGGATAAAGCACTAGTCTCGTCTTCGACAACAATTGAAATAGACTCTCGCACTTTTGCCACAGTCCGGGAAAGCATAACGCGAGCCGATTGGAACTCCACTTCCTCATAGTCGCTTATTTCAAAGTCGACACCTGTGAAGCCTGTTTGTCGAAGAACTCTGTCCCACATCTCGAGCGACGCATTGGGACTGTTCTGGCGCTCAGGTTCCTCCCCAAGCCACCATCCCGGCAGTGTTCCGAAGATCAGTTGCCCTTCTAGTCGATCTGAAGTGGCCTCAATGAGCAACAGTGTACCACCAGGCTTGAGTAGCTTCCGAACATGCTCCATGGTTCTGTTGAGGCTCTTGGTCGCATGGAGGCAGGATGCTGCCACGATCAAATCAAATGTGCCAGCAGTGAATGACTGTGCAAGAGGATCAACTTCAATGTCGAGTTTTTTGAAGTCCATCATTCCCAACCATGGGGCAAATTTCTCCCTCGCAGCCTCGAAGAACCCGGGTGATATGTCCGTGAACGTGTAATGGTCAAGTAAAGTGCCTGTTCCATCACCCCTAGCACCGAAGGACTCAAGAATTGTTGTAGTTGCTCCTCCCGTTCCTGCCCCAATCTCTAAGACCTTGGCCCCTGGATTCTTGACTGCATAGAGCTCTGCAACCTTTGCTAGATGCGCATAGGAGCGGGTTCTGAGGGCTTCATGCTGCATGTAGAACTGGTTCAAGAGGTCCCCCTCCATCATCAATTCAAGCGGCATAATTTCTCCGCGAACAATATTTGCGAGCTGCTGTCCAACCCGGACAGTTAGGCGACCGGCTGCATTGCCTGCACTCAGCTCATCTGCAAGGATTCTTTTCACTCCTTGGCTGGCTTGAGACCAGGCTCGGCTGGTTGGAGCGAGTTCTCCGGCTTCACCCTGGGCGACGACCTCTTTCATCCAGGTATAGAAGCGTTTGTGGTGCCACTCCCAAGATTCCGGGTCTTGCCCTTCCAACTGAGTAACGGCGTCATGGATGAAGTAGTAAGATACTCTGGAAAGTCGCTTCTCTTCTTCGATCTCCTTTTCGGTGAGCGGAATTACAAGCGAATCCCTAAGTGATGCAGGGGGGTTGTGTAGAATGTCCAACTCCCAACAGCTCTTCGAGCAAATACCTGGCTCTGCATCTGCATCCTCCGCCCGACGGGGAACCGCTTGACCGAAGAAGCCATGCAACTCTAAGAAAGAGGTGTCTTCAGGCGAAGCGTCCTCTGAGACTATCGTGATGTTGGATGTATATCCTCGCTTATCTGCCTTGACCAATTCAGTGAAAGCTCGCAGCTTCTCACCACCCTGTCTTTTCAAGGTCTTGGGGACATTCAAACTGCGGATGGACCTAGGCAAGACCATAGCATCGTCTCCCACATTATCCGGCAAGCTGCTAAACGAGGCTTGCAGGATAGAATCCAGTGTCGTGGGATGCAGCACATAGTCGTGTTCCTGGCAAGCAATGTCTGAAACCGCAAAGTTTGTCACTGCTTTGTCTCCTGCGGCACGACTATCAAGGAGATTCTGGAAGATGGGTCCGTGGTAAATTCCACGGTCGCGCAAACCAGCGAATAGCACCTCAATGTCGATCGGACTTGTCTCAGCACCTGGAGCAAAGAATGTTTCTTCCCGTGGTGGTGTTCCCGTATTCTTTACTTCCCCGGTCTCGACGAAAACATATCCTTTGCAGTTCTCAATCCATGCATCACCGCCACCTGCCAAGGAGCAGAGTTCGAATTGATACCAACCTTCATAGTCAAGCTCTCCTTCGCTGCAGCGACGCAAACAAAGCTGAGTTTCGACCCCAGACTCGGAATCAGGAATTATCAGAGCATTCATGATATCAATGTCTCGCAAACGATAACATTGAATTGTTTCCTCGGAAGGATCAACGATGAGCCGCATGGCCTCAATAGCCATGCTAATATACCCGGCTCCGGGGAGGACCACGGTAGAATCGATCTGATGATCTCGCAGCCATTGTATCTCCGAGAGACGTAGGAAGTTTCTCCAGGTGGGCGTGAGTGCGTTGGATCCATTCAGGGGAGTACCGAGCAGCTCATGGGGTGGGAACTTCTTGAATCTCTGTTCCTTGCTGGCTCTTGGCTCTACCCAGAACCGTGTTGTATGGTTCCAAGGGTATGTGGGCAGATCGGTGACGAACTTTTGCTGGGTCCCTCCGATGGGTGAGTTGACAGAGCTCAGGGATACGGGATAACCATGACACAAGAGATCACAGGCAAGATCCTGCATCGTCTCGACGGCATTAACCGACCGCTTGAGGCATGACACATAGGGTAGCTTGGTGTCCCTTTCCTTGAGGACCTGCCTGATCGGGCCGGCCAAGGTGCTGTGTGCGCCGATTTCGACAATGAGGTCCACGTTGGCAGTCTGGGTGGAAGTTTCGGTTGAACTAAAGCACATTTTGTCAAATGCCGAACTGAATTGCACGGGTCTTGTCATATTATGAACCCAATGTTCAGGACCCAACGCCTTGGCCGAGGTCACCACTTCGCCAGTCACCGGGGATGCAAACAGGCAGCCATTCCAGCTATTTTTAGTGGAGGAAGGAAGTAACTGGTGAAGCAAATCAGTGTATTTGGCTGCCATTGGTGTCATGTGGTGTGAATGGTAGGCCATCGGGACCTTGAGCTTCCTTGCGAAGACTCCATCCTTGTCTAATATGGAAGCCACCTGGTCAATAGCTTCTAAGTCACCAGAGAGGGTAACGCTGTTAGGGCTATTGATGCAAGCCACAACGACACGCCCTGGTACGGCTTCATTAATGTATTTCTCAGCGCTCTCTTGACTAAGTCCAGCGGCAAGCATTCCGCCGCCGCTGGGGGCCACCTTGAGCTGGCCGTGAGCGATGTCCCCACGGTGGTAGGCAATGCCAAGCGCCTCCCTGAATGACAACAGCTCAACTGCATAAGCCGCAGCAATCTCGCCACTAGAGTGGCTGGAAACGGCCGACGGAGTAATGCCCCAAGACTTCAATAGATCGACAAGAGAGAGCTGAATGGCAACGCTGATGGGCTGACTTAAATGAACCTCAGATACACGGGTCGAAGTCTCATCGCGCATAAGCTCATCTGTTCTCGGCAATTGCCAAAAGTAAGCATCTAAAGCATTAGGTCGACGTTTCATATTTCACGTACCAATCAATGACCAAGACGCGCCATACTCCTTCAGTATCGCACCGGCTGCGACGATGGCGCGGCAAAAGACGGGATACGTAGTAATAAGTTCTCTTCCCATCGCGTACCACTGTGCGCCTTGACCGTTGAACACAAATCCAAGTCGCGGACGCTTGTACGCATGCAAGGCCTTGCGTTCCGGCTCTTGGAGGCGCTCAGCTAGCTCCCCAATTGATCTTGCACGGACAGCAGTCACCCATGGGTGTCTTGATCGACGCTCGGAGAGCGTGTAGGCAAGATCGCCTGCTGAGGGCAATGTCTCGGTAATATGAGCCGCAAGACGGCGCATCATGGACTGACACACGACCGAGTCCTTGGCACTGACCACAAACACTCGCTCTTGATTATCCCAGTACATTGATTCTCTGATTGTGTGGTCTCCGTTGGAACGATGCAAATTTGCAGTGGAAGGTGCAGGCTCTAAGATGGCATGCCCATTGGTTCCACCGTAGCCAAAATTGTTGATTGAGGCACGCAGTAGCTTGTCCTGGGGCCAGGGCGTCAAGGTTGTTGGTACCTCCAAGTGCCATTGATGAAGTGGGATGCTTGGGTTTCCGTTTTTGTAGTTGAGGTTAGGGGGAATCGTTGCGTGCTTCAGAGCATAGGCTGTTTTGATAATGGCCGCGAGGCCGCTGACAGGTTCTGTGTGACCAAGGTTCGTTTTGACAGAGCCGACTTGGATGGGGTTATAGGCCTGACGACTCTTTCCGAATGTCCTGGCGATAGCCTCAGCCTCGACAGGATCTCCAGCAGCTGTGCCAGTCATATGGGCCTCGACGTAACCTGTCTCTGAGATGTCAAGTCCAGCTCGTCTGTAGCATTCCTGGATCAGTTTGACCTGAGCGTCAGCGGATGGAGATGTAATTGTAGTCGTTTTTCCGTCCTGGTTTAGGCCAGTGTCCCTAATCACTGCGTGAACTTGGTCACCGTCTCGCAATGCTGCACTCAGTGGTTTGAGAATGAGTGCCGCCACACCCTCGCCTCGACCATAGCCAGCAGCACGATCATCCCAAGCATAGCACTTGCCCTCGGCACCGATCGCGCTATGCCATTGTTAATCATATTTTGTGCTATCAAGCCTCGTATTGTAATGGGTCCAACATACCCGATAGTAGATGCCGAAATGAATGCGTCTTGGCTAAGAAGAGTGCTGGCAGCCCCAACAATCGAAATCTCACTCTCCTCTGTGCGAATGCTTTGGCATGCCTGATGCACAGCTACTATACCCGCTGAGCAACCGGTATCAATAGACATACTCGGCCCTTGCAAGTCATAGAAGTGTGAAATGCGGTTGGACAGCATCGCGGTACCGGTGCCCGCAAGGAAAGAACGAGATAGCACCTCGGCATCTTTGGTCTGCATCTCATGGTAATCTTTGTTGAATGTTCCGGTATAGACCGAGGTGTTCGACCCAGCGAGCTTCTCCAGAGGAATGCCGCCTATATAATCCAGTCAGCTCCACCCACTTGGGATGCAATATGACAGAATTGACAAACCATCTTCTGTTGCTTCGTAGACAGTTTCGAGCAACAATCTGGCTTGCGGGTCAAGGCCACTTGCAGCATCCGAGGGCAAATTGAAGAAGGCAGCATCAAATCGAGCAATATCTTGATCGATAAAATAACCTCCAGTCACGTGGCTCTACATGTCAGTCAGCAGTTGCGCGGGTCTAATTTTTCTTCTCCTTCCCCCGGGTGATCTTCACCCCTTGCAGGATCCGAACTGAGACAAAAACCTGGGAGACTTACTCTACCGGCTTTTGCTTGATCCGCATGGTACAATGACTTCACATCAAACCTCGACTCGGGAACGGAGGACCAGCCATCCTTCCCGGCAGCGCAGAGGTCCCATAGCTTTGAGGGGCTAGTCACATCGCCACTAAAGCGGCAGGCCATGCCCACAATAGCAATAGGGATCGACGGTGCACCTGGTTTGAGATCGGTCCGTGTATCCTGTCGGTCGAGACTATTGGCACCATTGGGCAGGGATGTATCTGGAAGAGGCGTAAACGATTCCGCTGGCAAAGTCGGGCTAGTACTGTGAGGGGCCATGGTGTTTGCAAGTCAAGATTGGTATACTTGGTACGTTTTCACGTATGTTGAAACGTGGTGCCTATCACCGCACGCCTTCTATGCCAGGTTTATATGCCATACCAACTACAGCGTACTTCACGCATCCATCAAAGCTCGGAAGTGTCAATACGAATAAGCCGTACGCTTCCCCTCATGCCTCCGCCTGTTTACTCTTTTGGTCAGGGGCGTCTGGCCCAAAGTAGCTCTCCCGAACATGCATGGTCTTCGGATTCTTCGGATCTTTCCGACATGGGGAAATGTCTACCATGTCCGTCGATCCCTTAGGGATCAGGGAAATTCCGAGTTGATTGTCCAGTTGAAGTCCCCTTGAAATATATATCTTGAGGAACACAGTCTATTCAAACCAAAAGAAAACTAGTACCAGTTATATCATGTTACCCCTTTGTTGTTATTGAGACAAAAAAAGTAAACACGTCTAAAACGGACTTCGGGATTCAGAATGTCCAAATCCGATTTTCATTGATCGACATATAAACAGCGATCATCGTAGTTCGTGGGATTCCTTGAATTTGTGTACTTTTGTGCTGGTTTTGTGTATTATTATATTCTCTTATTACCCCCTGGGATGATATAAGGCCATTTAAATTCCCCGCCAAAATTCCAGTCTGGTACTAACGCGACTTGTACATCCCTCTTGTCTTCCAAAAGTCACATCTGCGCAATATGGACCATGATGACAATATCCCACTGCGTGCAGTCTCTATTAGGCAAGAGTCAATCAAAACAGAGCCCAAAACAAACAACCTCGCTCAACATCAAGGAGACTTCAATGGAGATCAAAAAGACGTGGAAGCATCTGCCAATCCATCTGGGCCTGGAGTGACTGCGACAACGCCCGATTACCCCTCAGGAATCAAGTCTCATCTGGCAGTCGCGACTCTATGTCTGGCAATCTTTCTCACGACATTGGTAGGTCATTCCCTGTGTCCTGCAATACCATGATTCTGGTCATAACAGCTGAACTCAATAGGATAATACGATCATTGCCACCGCTACACCATATATCACCGACGAGTTCCATTCTCTCAAAGATGTCGGCTGGTATGGAAGCGTTTACACCATGGTAGTCTGCGTTACCCAGCTCCTCTTCGGCAAGCTAAGCGCCCGGTACTCAATTCAATGGCTCTACAGCATCTCCATGGTTCTTTTCCTGGTTGGTTCTGCCGTTTGTGGTGCTGCGCCCAACTCCCCAGCCCTGATCGTGGGTCGTGCGATTGCGGGTTTGGGGTGCGCGGGTCTTCTGGTCGGTGCCTTTTCCCTTGTTCCATTCATCGCACCGCCGGCAAAGCGCCCTATCATGCTTAGCCTCATCTCGGCCTCCCGTGGACTCGCAACAACATTTGGTCCTTTGATTGGAGGTGCCCTTACCGAGAGGGTCTCCTGGCGTTGGAATTTCTACATCAATCTCCCGCTTGGTGTCGCTATTCAAGTCGCCTTTTTCGCTTTCGTACGCCCACCGAAGCGTGAGAGCGAAGCCTTTACCTCCTGGGCAGATCTTGTGCAGAACCTTGATCTTTTCGGCCTGGCGTCCTTGCTTCCCTCGGTTGTTTGCCTTCTCCTTGCGCTGCAATGGGGTGGAATCACATATCCATGGTCGGATCCTCGCATTATTGTGTTGCTCGTCCTCTGTGGGGTTTTGGCTATAGTGTTTTCCTTGACTGAGATGTGGCAAGGTCCCAAAGCACTCCTGCCGCCTCGTGTCTTTACCCAGCGAACCGTCTCAGCTGCGTCATTCTATGGATTTTGCACGACAGGTGCCATTTTCGTGCTGACTTACTATCTCCCTATGTAAGTGCCGCTTTCCTTTGTTCTCCTTCCCCCTCGTATTATCATGCAGGTGCTAATCACGACTCCACAGATGGTTCCAAGGAGTTCGGGGTGCCAGTCCAATCCAATCTGGGCTGTATACCCTTCCCTGGGTTATCACTAGTACCATCGTGTCGCTCACAGTCGGAATTCTCATTGCCAAAGTGGGCCATGCTGATGCATTCATGGTCATCGGAACGGTTTTCGGTGCAGTTGGGTCTGGTCTCTTCACCACCTTTACCCTAGAGACGAGTGACGGGAAATGGATTGGCTACCAGATCATCTTCGCGGTATCGTCGAGTCTGTCTAGTCTCACCCCCTTGATGGTGGCACAGGCTGCCCTTCCTCTCAAGGATATTCCCATCGGCTCCGGCATGGTTATGTTCTTTCAAACTATCGGCGCGTGAGTTTGAGATTTTTTCTCTTGTGTCAGCAGATTCGGAACTAATCCTCCATCATTCAGTTCTATATTCGTCTCTGTGGCCCAAGCACTGTTCACGAACGGTCTTGTTAATGGCCTAGCACGTACCGGAATGACTGGCTTCGATGCGGGCACTGTGGCGTCACAGGGTATCACCAACCTTACCAAAGGCTTGTCCGGCGACATCAAAAGGAGGGTTCTTATCGTTATTAATAACGCTCTCACACAGTCATGGCACCTTGCTGTCGTTCTAAGCTGCATCGCTCTCCTCGGTGCGCTAGCGGTGGAACACGGCAAGATGAAAAAGAGGACGTAATTTTGAGCAGTTTCCAATGGCTCTGGGGATCCATTCGAGAATTCATGAATTCCTCAAGATGTTATAGGACTTTATGGGCACTCAAACCTAACTATGTATAATATGTATGTTGATATTTTTTAGCCTAGATTTCAAGCACCTGGGCGTGTTTCCCCAACGTAACTGCGGTAAACGTTTAATTGAATCCTCCAAAGATACATAGTCCCTAATGCTTGTGAATGATCAATTTGAGCGACTGGTGCTCTGGGTAGAAATTTCTTTACATGCCGTTATTGGTTCATCTTCAGACTTTGTATCTACTAGTTTAGCTAGGTAGTAAGAGGCAACTAGTATCTTGTTGCTATTAATAAAAGCTACGTTAATCTTAAACCATTGAATATTCTATTTTCTTGTCTAAAAAGGACTCTGGAGATGATATGGTGACCTCACGCCCCTATGTGATGCTCTACCTCTGTGCCTCCTAGAGACTACGCGTCTGATCGAAGAATCGCACTTGAATACCTCTCCCCGGCTACTCTCCAGAAATACCCTTTATTCTTTTATCGCCAAGTCATCATTCAACGGCCCTTTCCCTTCTAGGTTATATCCGGTGTGCAACTTTCCTCCTTGCGTGAAATCCGGGAGCCAATATCATCCATGTGGAACGGAAATCTCAATGTATTCACGGATGTATTACCTCTTTACGCTGGTAGTTTCGCATTGAGGCGACATTGACTCAATACTCCTGAGTCGTTTTTGACTTGCAAACATTGTGATCAAGACCCAACCAACATGTTTTCTCTTCATGAGCTGTTAGGGGCTTTACCACATGTCCTTTCTGGGAAGTTTCTCCTGGGTGTGATATTTTTATATCTTCTATATGGACTCTCCGTCTGCATTTACCGCGTAACGCTTCACCCGCTCGCTCGTTTCCCTGGCCCCAAGCTCGCAGCCGCAACCTTTTGGTACGAATTCTATTATGATCTGTTTCCACGGAAACTACAGTACCTATGGAAGATTGAGGAGCTACACAAAAGATATGGACCAATCGTTCGCATTAACCCAATTCATCTTCACATCAATGATCCCGACTACCTGGACGAGATATATGCCGGAGGCAAGCGAAAGCGCAACCGGGACCCGTGGTACTATCGCTCGGAGCCAAATGGACCTCTTGGCTGGTCCGTATTCCAGGCCGTCGAGCACGATGTCCACCGAATTCGTCGGGCGGCGTTGAGCCCTTTTTTCAGTAAGCGCTCCATCCAACAACTCGAGCCCATGGTGGTAGAAAAAATCGAAGCTCTTTCCAATCGTTTCGGAGCCGCTGCGCGCACCGGTGAAATCGTTCCTCTCACATACGCCTGCGGTGCCTTGACAATGGATGTTATCTCGGCATATGCATTCGGCGCGGAGACCGGCAACATGGAACGCCAGGACTATGGCGCCGAGCATCTCGACGCCTACAGTCAATTAGGTCAGTATGGGCCTTTCGGACGCCAGTTTCCTTGGATTGCCAAAATGTGTCTCACGGTTGTTCCGCCGAGCCTGATGCAGCGAATCAGCCCCGCCGCCGCCCTCATTCCAAAGAACAGGCTGTTTTTCCGTGGTATGATTAAGGATGCTATAACCCAACAGGAGAAGGAAAAGAAGGACGATCCCGAGATCATGACACAAGAGAAGAAGGCGAAAACTATCTTTCAAGATATTGTTCAGAGCAAACTGCCCCCCAGTGAAAAAGCTCCAGCTCGCTTAGCAGCCGAGGCGAATTTGTTGCTCATCGCAGGCACTGAGACTACCGCCAGAACGCTTGCCGTTGTGCTCTTCCACATCTTAGACAATCCCACAGAGTTACAGCGGTTGCGAGAGGAGTTGGCTCCGCTTATGCCTTCCCCTGGCGCGCGACTTCCCCTAGCTGCGCTAGAAGCTCTGCCCTTTTTTGTAAGTCTTCGTGTTTGGAAGTTAGAACCTGTATATGACGATACCTTTTAAAAGCTAACCAGGCAAAATTCTCATTCATTAGTCTGCCATGATCACCGAAGGTATTCGGTTGGCTCATGTGGTTTCAAGCCGGATGCCTCGATATGCTCCAGAGGAGAACCTACAGTACGGCGAATGGTTTATACCTGCAGGCGTAAGTTTATGTCGCATCATTCCCATGATTCCAGATAAGCAGATACATACTAATCCATTTATTCTAATGCATAGACTTGTGTGATGCAGTCACATTATCTCCACCATACAAACTCCAAAATCTTCCCCGATCCATACTCATTCAAGCCTCAGCGCTGGCTTGATGACCCCGAACTACGGCCACGATACTTTTTAGGCTTTGGTAGAGGCTCCAGAATTTGCCTAGGCATTAAGTAAGTGTACCACTTCCTCCAGGTTTAGATTGAACTAACATATCAAACAGTCTTGTATATGCCGAGCTTTACCTCTCCGTTGCACTTATTTTAACACGATTTGATATGGTCCTGCATGATACAGTCAGGGAACGGGACGTTGATGTGAAGCGAGACTGTATCATTGGGCTCCCGAGTCCGGAGAGTCGAGGCATTCGTGTGAAAATCACGCGTGATAGAGCAGTTTGAGTGATTTCTATGAAAGGATAATTTTACATTTATTTTCAGTGGGAGAAGCTACCTAGAATATCCTATATCACGTACAAGGTAAATGTCTACTAGTAGTAATTTCGCACGGGTATTTCGAATTGCAAATGGAAAAATTTCAAGTAAGTATATGTACATCATTCCAAGGTTGGTGTATGTCCAATTGCCAAATACAGAAACATCCGGCGACCCAAAGTGGTTATTGCCGGAAAGGTTTTACTCCGTTGACTGGGCAGTATACTCGTATGAGATAGTGATTATAGTAAAGCATTTGTTGAAATGGGTGCTTGTTCAGATAGTTAGTCATGTTTTAGGCGAGTAGCTCAGGATTGGTAACTAACTAGCTAACTAACTAACTAAATTGATGTTCTGAGAGTTTGTTTCTTCTTCCAATCAACAACCCCTTTCCTTCTCCTTCTGCCCCTTTTGTCCTAGCAGACTTAGCAGTATCCAAAGAGAGCTCATTGCGCACAGCCGTTGTGCTCTGACATCGTCGTCATGACTTATACTCCCACTAATATCCCACTCGGTCCTCTGGACCACATCGCTCCGTGGAATATCCCTCAAAGCGTCATCTACCTCAGCTTGAAACATGGGGTAACCACACAAGACGCATTCTCAACACTCCTGGAAGGCCTTCGGCGAACCTTCTTGCAGATACCTTGGCTCAATGGCCGCGTCCACTGGCAATCTGAGAATACACCAGGATGGCGCCCCGGCCAGCTTGAGATTCGGTATAGCGCCTTGACCCAGAACCCGCCGCAACTCCGCTATAATGAGATGAAGACAAATCTGACGTTCCCGGATCTTAAAGACCTTGCATTCCCGCTGGATACATTCAATGATGAAGAATTGCTCTGGACGAATCCATTTGAACCCAACTTTGAAACCGGGCTTGAGGTCTTCACAGCTCAAGCAAACTTCTTACCAGGAGGCTGTGCTCTAGTCTTATCCGTGGCTCCACCGGCTTCGGATGGCACTGCTATGCTTAGCGTGACACGTCTGTGGGCAGATCATTGCAGCTCTCTCATGCATGATGGGCACCAGCCGAATGACGGTCCAGACTCCAGCAGCTCTGCTTTGGGTCCTCTAGCTTATGCTAGCTCTGAAAGGACGGTGCTAGATAGCACAGGCAAGCAACTCAAAGGTGCGACATCTTCCGGTCAGATGAACCCGGAAATATATCACCTGGTGGGTCTGGATCCAGAACAGGGGTCTTCTGACGAAGGCTCCCATGTCCCTGCCAATGCAATTTCTGAGTTATCGAAGGAAATGAAGCCTAGCCTATTTTACCTACCACATGCGGCATACACAACTCTTCGAAAAGACTGCGTTGCTGAACTTGGAGTCACGGAGGTATCAGGAAACGATCTTGTCTGCGCCTTGATCTGGAGATCCGTCAGTCGGGCATATATGGCAGTTCACAGCGCACAATCTAGCAATATGGAACCATTTGAGCCACAATCAGAGCTTTGCATACCCTTCGACGCTCGGGTTGATCTCATGGGGTCGTTGCCGTCCAATTACCTCGGAAATCTCAATTTTGAACACAAACTCGCCTGTTCTCTAGATCACCTTGTGGCGAAAGAAACAAGCATCCCGCAACTAGCGAAGATGATAAGAACGCACGCATCTGAGTTTGCGTGCGGTGCAAATTTGCTGGAAGCCTATAGCCTCCTTGGCTCGGTCTCTGACTACAGACAAGTACCACAGATGCGGGCACCGCGTATGAAATCAGCTTCGGTGGGCGTTCTGTCTCCAATGATGCTGCCTTTCAACGAGGCTTGCTTTGGGGCTCAAGTGTTTGGTAATGGGGGTCGCCCGGAAGCATTCCGTCCCATGATGGGGGCTTGTAATAGTGGTTTCCGGACTACCTTTGTTGTACCGAGGAAATCTCATGGAGGCATTGAATTTGTCTTGACATTATCTGAGAAGGAAAGGAACTTCCTTGCCGGGGATTCTGAGTTTACTAGCTATGCTCTACACCTAGCCTGAGAGCCAGATAGTATTGAAGTACATATATTTCGTGCATACATTTTCTTCATTTAGAATCATCATGTGGCTAAAGACTTCTATGAGTTGGTGTACTAGCAAATATGTAAAACGAGAGATGAAAAACACACATTGGTATTGAAATACTCTAAATAGCCGAGTGAAATTCAAAGTTCATACAAGTCTCGAATATCCCGACCCTCCTTAGCCGTTGCCTGGATGGAGGAAACAATATTCTTTACGTCCGATCTCTTGTACGGCACATCATGACCTCCGTCATGTTCATGAACGCGCATAATTGAGGCCGAACATAGTTTTTGAGCAATTCGTGACTGCTCCCCAATGTATGGCGAGTCCTTCCGACCAGTAACATGCACAGTGGGTATTCTTATACGCTCATGAAGCAAATCAGGATGTACCAGTCGTGGAATTCCCGCGACCTCACCGGCCCCAAGGAAGTCGATTGTAGTATTGGGTAAGATCATCCCAACTCCCATAGACTGCATCAACAAAACTACCCGTAAGTACTCGGCAAGTGTCCGCTCACTTGAATCATCTAGCAGGGGCATGAATTCGCCACCTGGGAACTTGGACCTGAACACTGTATGGTCATCATCCAGCCATCGCTGGAGAAGCTGTTCGCAGTAGCTCTCATCTGGCGAAGCTATAAATATGGGCGAGAAGAAGACGGCAAAGGAAAATGGTGCTGGTGTGTGTTTGCACTGACGGTCCAGCATGTAGGAAATAGCGAGAGCAGCACCCAGGCTGAACCCAAAGACGCCATCAAAGGGACCATGTTCTTGAATAAAGACTTCTAGCCGGTCGAGTGCCTCACGAACCTCGAGTGGGGTGAAGCCTGTCGCGTATGAATGGAAGGGTCCTGAGACCCAATTTGGAACGCCTATTAGAATCTCTGTGTCAGTCCTATCCAAGTAAAAAAGCAAAAATATGGAAAACGAAATCTATACCTGGCCCCCTTCCGCAGGGTATTTCTCCATCAAGAAATGTGAATTGGTAGCTTGCGCCGAGATCTCTCACGAACGGAGCTAGCTGCTGCTGGAGCATCGAAGTCGACGAGCCAAGACCGTGGAGAGCAAGTATCTTCATCATGGAAAGACTTTGAGTTGTGCACAATGGTGATTCGCGTTGGCATACGATATTGGAGATCTTGCTATCTTCCATGTGTCTCTGAATACCTTGCATGTCAACAATTTCCCCATCTGGTGCATTCGGCTCTTTCCAAATTCAGAATTATCCGATTTGCGCTGTTAGGAGAATTGCCCAGGTGGATTTCTCCTTTTTGATTTGAGACATTGGAGATACCCCCTTTGGTACAAGGGGGCAAATGGCACTTTCATTTAGGCCGCTGATGTTTTTTTATTGATTTCTCTGTAGTGCTCTCTCTCCATCGCAGTCTACCGCCTCATACAAACCACGTACAGGCAATGTCTTCGACGCTCATCAAAATATTAGCAGTTTCAATCGGCATCTATTTTGTCTGGAGAGTCCTCAACTCCGGTAGTCACCTACCCAAGGGTCTTCCTATTGTTGGCGCCAAAGAGGGTGACTGGTTTCCCTATTGGCAGGCATTGTGGCGCAACTCATTCGATGTCAAAACAGCCACCCTGAAAGCCTACAGGGATCATAAAGGCCAGGCAGCCATTCTCCCAGTCGCCGGCCCTGGAGGACAGACTTTCGTGTTGCTTCCGGCATCCGAAACCAAGTCGGTGACAGAACAGCCTGAAACGGTCCTGAACCTACGAGAGGTCATTGTTGAAGGGCTTCTCTATCGTTATACTGTATCCGACAACTTTCTCATCTCTCATCCAGTACACAAGAAACTCATCACAACGACATTGACGAATCAAATTGCCAATATCCTGCCAGATCTCGCCGAGGAGACAAGGTGGAGCTTTGAGCATTACTGGGGCACCAATACGGACTCATTTCGGGATGTGACAATATGGGAGAGTATGGGCCGAATTGTGGGTAGCGCAACAAATCGCGCCTTTGTTGGACTCCCATACTGTCGCGACCCAGCGCTGCTCGACGCCGGTTTTGGCTTTGCACAAGCAGTGCCGTTGAGTGCGCGGCTCTTGAGCTTCGTATGGAAGCCATTACGCTTTCTGGCTTCGCCGTTACTCACACTCCCTTGTCGTCTGTACGAGTATCGATTTGCTCGGATACTCTTCCCCGAAATTGATCGTCGAATGCGAGAAATGGTTGATTCATCATCACCTCCTTCGTCTTCTAGGCTAGATCCCAAGATTCCAGAAAAGAATGACTTCTTACAGTGGAGCATAAAGCAAGCAATAGATAGCGGTGACCCTCGGATGTGGAAACCCAGGACATTGGCAGGTCGCATACTTCTCCTGAACTTGGTCTCTATCCACACATCCTCCCTGACTATCACAAACGTCATCTTGGATCTGGTGTCATCCAAGCCTGAAGTTATTGAAGAGCTCCGCGCCGAAATCAAAACGATCTTGACCGAGACCGGCGGCGCATGGACAAAAGCTGCTTTTGTCAAGATGGAGAAACTCGACTCTGTATTTCGCGAAAGCGCCCGTCTCAACACGTTGGTTGCCATCGGTCTTCGTCGCAAGGTCGTAGCCAAGGAAGGATTTACCAGCTCAGCCGGTGTTCACATCCCATGTGGCAATTTCTGTGCTGTTCACAACGTAGGCGTTGTCCACGACGCAAGCGTGTTTCCAGATCCGGATACCTTCCAACCGTTTCGGTTTGTTGGAATGCGTCGTGATATCGAGACCGATAATTCCATAGATGATCATTTGCAGCGTGCACGCCTTACATTTGCCGCCACTGGCACTGATTATCTTGCGTTCGGAAATGGCCGTCAGGCTTGTCCTGGTCGTTTCTTTGCTGCCAGTGAGCTGAAGATGATGTTAGCCTATGCCCTCATGTATTACGATCTCGAGATGATGGAAAAGAGACCTTCTGAGAGATGGCTTGGTATATTGCGGATTCCGGCGCCAGACGCCAAGATTAGGATTCGAAGACGAAAGGAGAGTATCTGATGTGAGAAGGTAGATGGAAAATAAGGCTCTATAACACATTGCTATTTGTATTAAGTTGCTTTCTTCAAGCAGCAGAAAACCGAACGACCTTTGTATGTCAAGGAAAGCTTCAGCTATATCTCCTCTAGGTCTTCCTTGTACCCCTGTTTGTTAGAACAAAGGGGAACTGGACAAATTGTCATTAGTATGCCAATTATCTTAAGTCTTAAGGAACTGTATACTTTAAATCAAATGCATCATTTGTATTGCTAGCTAGGAGCCACACATATACCAGTCCAAGATAGTACCAGATAGATTAAAGTGGAGATAATCGAACATAGCAATGCCGTGGCACTCGAAGAATACGCTGATGTGCCTCCAATCCCGAAAATTCCTCCGGAAGTGCTTCGAATTTGAAGTTCAAAACGAGTATAGTGAGCATAATGCGGAATTCTTGAAGAGCAAGACTTCGACCTAATGGATAATCAACCCAATGTACTGTCTAGGAATGGAGCGGTATAAATTCAACATACCGTAACAGACGCGAGGACCAGCCGAGAATGCCAAGCGAGGGAACATGCGTGGATTAAAGCTCCCGTCTTCTTCAAGCCACCTCTCAGGAATGAACTCGTCCATGCAGTTCGGATCCCAATGAGATTGAAAGTTATCCTTGGATTGTCGCGATGTGTTACTTCGCAGCTCTTCAGGAGTATATAATGGCTTTTCTCCTCCGACGTACGGGTTGCATACTACCTGCGCGCCTTTGGGAATGAAATGGCCTAGAACTGTTGTATCGGTGGTAGCAACACGGACCAGCCGAGAAGAGACATTTCCCATTCGTAGCGTTTCCTCAATCCACGCATCCATATAAGATGTTGACTTGGTGAGGATACTCTCTACGGATGGTTGGATGCCTTCGGACTTCTGAGGGTGAATGCTTAACAGCGAATCGCGTAGTCTCGTTTGTTTTTCAGGGAAATGTGTTAGAAATGTGATGGCCCATGAAAGTACCACTGCTTTTGTCTCGTGGCCCTGTCGCGCGAACATATGAGCAATCAGTCACATTATAACCTTAGAAGTCTTCCCGGAGCACTTACACCAATCAATAACATCAAAAGCTCATCACGGACTTCCTCCTCATTTGGAACATTTTCAGCCTGGGACCTACGAGCGAGAAGCTCCCGTCGTGTTCCTAGGACCACAGCAGAGGTTTCTTCCTGTTCACTCAGCTGTGCATCAGATAGTTCTGACAGCCGCGACCGCGTGTTACTCATAATCTCGTCAACGATCTTGTTCTTCACAGCCACCTTTTCCCTGTAAGCTGTTCCCTGTCTCAAAATCCAATGATGCAGCGGTTGAGAGAAGGAAGCGAAGGTTTTTTCCACCGTCTGAATGAGGAGTGCAATGTATTGATACATTTCAGGTTTTGCGCCCACAGTCATAACAGCTGGGGAGTCCTTTGATGTTGGTTGTGTTATGTCCTTTGCTCCGGATACAACTTGCTCGCGCTCACCACGAACAGCATTCAAATCGGTTCCAAAAACCACCTTCCAAATGACGTCAAACGCGGCCAGGTCGATATCGTCGAAGAAGTAGAATGGTCGACCATCAGCGATGGAAGCCTTTGTCTTGAGCAATTCAACCAGATCGAGACCCACTTGGTGCATTTTGGGTGCAGCAACACGGCGCAGGAAAGCCGCTCCCATCACTCCTTCCCAGAGCCGTCTCTGTGCCTTCCATTCTGGAGTAGTCGCTTTCACCAAACTGCAGTGTGGGACTATTGGGCGAAAGGCGTGACGGGTTCTCGGTGCTCGGTCGAACTCCTTCGTTCGGGTGCTGAGAATGTCCTTAACTTCTCGGACGTCATCAATGAAGATAATAGGCTTCGCAAAGGGTCGCATGAAAAGTTGGATCACGGGTGACTTTAATGCCCTGCATTGCTGGAACAGAAACTTTGCGGGATCTTGGGTTCTCTTGACTGCTTCAATCAATTCCGGGAGGTCTCCCCATAATCGCTTGGATGCTGCTTGGTTGTATGGAATTTGAGGATATGGCTGAGGATAGGCTGATCTGTAGATGCGAACGAGCAGGACTGAGAGTCCGAACAGAACAATGTATAAGCCTATCATGTTGTGAAGACACAATGATGTATGATACTTCTAAGAAGAAGTCGTCGAATAGTTTCTAACTTGGAAGAAAATAACCTGCAGGATGAGTTGACCCTAACAAGTAACATCCGAATATGCTTGCTTCTTGAAAAGGACATATCCGCCCCCATGAATAATGTTTTGCTCCAGTAATTTTCTGTCTTTATCTTCCACTTTTAAAGCCCTTTACTCCAAACCTGGGTCCATGCGAGGTGTTCGGGGCTCTTTGAGGTTATGAATTTCAACGTCTCTCGTGTCCTTCCCGATTGGGAACATCCGATGAAATAATCAACTCACCTACGTTCTGCACCTAGTTTCCCCCTTTATTCGGCATCATTTCATTTCGTTCAAGGTTCTACAGGCTGATGTATATCACCATGTCGGCCTACGATCTGAAAGGCAAAACTACCATCGTTACCGGCGCGGGCTCCGGTATTGGCCATGCCCTTGCAGAGATGTTGCTTCAAGCCGGGTCAAATGTCGTTTTTGCCGACCTGAACCTGCGACCGGAGGCTGAGTTGACAGTTAAAACCCATTCGGTGTCTACAGGAGAAAGCGGCCCGGTCGCTCTTTTTCACAAGACAGATGTGACGGACTGGGCTCAATTAAGTAACTTATGGAAAACAACGTTGCGGACGTTTGGGCAAATTGATGTCGTCGCCAACATAGCGGGCGTATATGAACCACCATCAAGCAATTTCTGGAAGCCACCGGGCATCTCCCCCGAATCAAAGGATATAATCGATGCAAATCATGGACAATATGCCACAATTTCAATCAATTATATTGCTCCTGTCCGACTAGCCCAGATGGCCATTGACTACTGGTGTCGAAACCCCCATATCAAAGGAAACTTTCTTGCTGTGTCAAGCATGGCTGCCTACTTGCATTCTATGGAAAGTCCGCTCTACATGTCAAGCAAAGCAGGCCTCGTAAGCTTCATTAAAAGCCTTGGCGAGCTATATGACGCTCTTGGAATTCGCGTATCGGCGGTTTGCCCGGGGGTCGTCCTCGTAAGTCTAAAAGCTGCCTTTCCCTTGTTGCTGTTGGAGTAAAAACCACTGACTGGAGTACCTGAGATAGACTCCCCTGCTCGAGGCCAAGTTCGGTGAGAAGTTGGAACAAGACGACACGTCTCTTACTCCTCATGAATGCGCCGGAGTAATTCTCCGTGTTCTCATAGAACCACAATGGGGCCGAGGTAGTATTGTCGAAACGAGTAAGAATTTCAGTAGGGAAGTGTGGGAAGTCACAGTCCGTGACGTTCAACTTGAGGCATTGTATCCATCTTCGGGGTCAATCAGTCGCTTGGGAAAGCGGGTTACTGAAGGTAAACAGAAACTTATAGCTCGGCTTCAGGAGATGGGCACCCAGCCATGAGATATGTAATTTAGCACATTGAGATTCTTTTGGGCAATAATTTCCTCTATATGCACAAATAATCCCAAGAGGAGTAGATGGTTCTTCATCATAACCAGACCGTTACTATATAGTGAGAGTCACCTCAGTCAGATCTAGGAGGCCGAGGCTAAAAATAAACCTGGAACGTCTTAAATCCAAGATATGCTATTCAGTATCATCAATTGGCTAGGTGGGATTAAGCTTGTATAGCTATACGTTATATTCCCTCAAATGTTGGTAGAGTAGCTCCTTAAGAAGCATGAGACACACAGTACCCACCAGGGATATAAGATACCTACCTCCCTGGTATCGAAAGGTGCTTTAGCCGAGTTTCCGGGACAAGTTACGAATACCAAGTCGGCCATTGCCCCGTTCTGTTTCATCATTCGTCAACTCCCTCTTCCCCCTGTGGATTTTGTGGATCGGTAGATCTGCCCGAGGAGAAGTCTTCGCACCAAAACACAGGGGCCCTGGACCATTGGATAGGCTTGAAAATCCTAGCTCGAAGCCGGGGTCCCATGTATATACATTTTACCCTTGTCAGAACTAGAGGGAAAACAAGGCTACAAACCCCAACAGATCAAAATCTTAACTAGGTTGTATGTGAGACAGCCCCTCTTTAAGTAGTACTTCTGTCATACGAGAGAATATATTGCGCGCACTAAATTATCGGACTTCCTCCGTCGCTACCTAACATGCGGAGAAGCCTCCGCGGTTATGACTTCACCTTAGTGACAACAATTGCTTTTTCAAGTCATTTCCACTACAATTGGGTTTTTTTTATCTCATGAAACATGAGTTCCTCCGTTGACCTTGCCTCTCTGCTGATATCCGCAGCGGTCCCAGCATTCAAGTGTCCTGCTGGTACAAAGATGCACATTCTGAACTTGGGCACCCTCCAAGCAGATGAATCATGGTTTGTATTTGCCAATGGGAGGTGAAGTCGTGAGCTTCTCACTAATTTTGCGCAGGATCTTCCGAGGTGGCAATACAAGCTCCTTGAGCAACCTTAATCCAGTGAGCAAACGTCGAGATTTAGTCCTCCTTTCGGCTCTCATTGAGTACCCGGGAGTTGGCCTCATTCTTTATGAGACGGGCTGTGCTGAGGATCTAGACGTGGTTTGTCAGATCCTATTGCAATGCCCATTATGTATAACTAAACAAAATACAGAAATGGCCAGCGCCAATCACGGATGTCTTTCCGCGAGTTGAATACTCGGACAACCATAAGCTTCCGAACGCTATCAAGGCCACTGGGAACGACATCAAGGACGTGAAAGCGGTCATCATTGGTCACCTGCACCTTGATCATGCTGGAGGACTTGAGCATTTTGCGAACACAGATGTCCCAATCTACGTCCACGAAGAAGAGTTCAAGCACGCTTGCTGGGCGGTAGCAACCGGGGCAGACTTGGGAGTCTACTTAGGACACTATATGCTACTGGAAGAGCTGAAGTGGAATACCTTCACCGAGTCACAAGTTGACCTTTTCCAAGGCATAACCCTTCACCATTCACCTGGCCACACACCTGGACTATGCATTATGCAAGTCAATCTTGCCAACGACGGACCATTTATTTGGACCACAGACCAGTTTCACGTTGCAGAAAACTATGAGCTAGGTCACCCTCACGGGGGATTAGCTAGGGATCACAATGCGTGGTATCGCAGCCTCAACATGATCCGCAGACTTCAAAGACTGTACAATGCAACGTTGATTTTCGGTCATGACAAGGAGGTTGCCTTCAGGCTCATGGATGCAAAGCCGTACTATGAGTGAAGGTCCGCACTTCAAGCTAGCTGTCGGCCTGCCATTTGATCAAATGAAGACGTGGTTCCTTTCCGAGCCGATCTTGTTGAATGCCAGCTTGTAGCTTTAGTTTGACCCGGACTGTTAGAGAAGCGGAAAAAGAGGCGGAAATTAACATGATGCGTTAGAACAGGTATTTGATTGAGCTTCCCAGATCCTCAATGACAAGAAGTTGATTAAACATTGAAGGGAACTTTGGAAGTGAGTCTTCCCGAATAGGAAGGTGGGACCAATGCACAGCTTTGACCAACCACAAGCGTTGTTTTGAACCTTATGGAGTGCCGTCCATGGAGTGTCACCTATGGGTCCATGGTTTTATAAAAGAGCAATTTAGCGAAGAATCAGATGCTCGAGTCCGCTTCGTTCGTATTCACGAAGATATGTTTTGTCAACATAATACTTGGGATGGTAGATGGATATGGGAAGTAGAGACAAAACAAATACTATGCGTAGCATGTGAACTAATAGCCGTTTCTGGTTTCTTGTTCTCTCTCTCCCTTGATATTCTTGTGCCACGCTGAGTTCATCCCGTTGATCCGAAGCCTGACATGCTGGGTTATTCCATCCATCGAGACAAGCCACGCTTCAGTTGCATTTCCTTCTGGGAATATCTGAGCTGTCAAAGAGACCTCTCCTTGACCACCCAAGACCTCAACGCTAGACCAATCCACGAAGATCTGCAAGTTGATACGTTTATCTGTGCTTGATGACAGTGGTGTGTGATACAAGTTTGCAAACGTCTTGTCAAAAGATACATCTCCTGAATTTCGCCGATCCACGAAGACCTCTTTGCTGGTAAAGTTGTACCCGATGAGTGTTTCTTGCTTGAAGTCAGAGCTAGCACGGACAGCTATCGCAAACGTAGATGCCAGAAAATCGTCGGAGTCATGATCAGAAAAGCTCAAGTCGATCTTGAATGCCTTGCCTGGGGAGTCAAGCTTGGTTGATCCTTTCGATACAGATTTCCAGGAATGTTTGAAGGTCTGATCATTGACAACACTCTGCCAGCTCTGTTGCGGTTGTTGAAGGACGGCCAACTTCCCATTAACCGTCTTCAAAGACAACTGACGGGGAACAGACATGGCGCTTCGCCAAGGGCTTGTCGGGATCATCGCACCATACTGCCAATTATTCATCCACGCGATCTGGACCACCTCTCCATCAGGAAGTCCGTTATAACTGGCAGCAGCATAAAAGTCCGGACCCCAATCCATCCAGTTGGCAGACTTGTTCTCTGGGTAGATGCTAGCAGGATCAGCCTTGAAAGTTGTTCCGTTGAAGTCGCCAATGAAGTATTGCGTGCCTGATCCGACTGTGCCAGGTGGCCCACCAGGATTGAGTCCCATAACCATTACCCATTTCTTGGTTGATGGGTGTCCTTTGATGGGCATTTGGAACATATTGGGACATTCCCATACGCCGCCGACAGCATTGTAGGGTCCGAATTCGCTGATGAAAGACCACTCTTTGAGGTTGTCAGAATTCCATATTAGCAGTTTGTGGACTGATGCCAAAGCTGTAATGGCGATCCATTTTTGTGAATCGTCATGCCAGAATACGAAGGGATCCCGGAAGTTTGCAAATTCTGCTTCATAAGGAGAGGGTGGGGTTTGAATCACGGGATTTTCGGCGTCATATCTTGTCCAGGTCTCGCCCTCGTCGAGGCTATAGGCGATTGACTGGGATTGCTGCTCTGCGCGAACATGTTTTCCGCTTGGCAGATCTTGAGAGACGGGATACTTTATGAAAAGCGGTTGTTAGTCTCCGTGTGTGGTGAAGTGAAATACATATGTAGTCATGCGATCGTACCATAGAAGTATACATGACGACCAAAGGAATATTTCCCTCAATTCCGAAGCGACTCGTGTTGTTCACATCTGCCACCGCACTTCCCGTAAAGTACATCTCGGTGACACTATCAGGATATCCGCGAGCAAGTAGAGCAACAGGGCGCTCTTCCCAGTGGGTCAAATCTCTACTCGTTGCATGACCCCACGACATATTCCCCCATTCAATACCACCGGGGTTATATTGGAAGAACAGATGGTAGGTGCCATTGTAATATAACAGTCCACTAGGGTCGTTCATCCAGTTTTCGGTGGGGGAGAAATGGTATTGAGTACGGTATGGTTCGGTATAGTTTAGGCCGGATGCCGATGCCGTCCCGGCGAGAAGACCCAGGGCCATTGTGAGGAAAATGCCCATCTTGGAATTTGACGGAAGTCTGTATGTAAATATAACCTATTTTGTTCCATCTGGAGGGAATTCGTACAAAATTTATATCTGAGAAACCCCCAATGTGTACCCCCCATCCCACATTTCATACTTCCTGGCATGCCCTATGGGGATTCCACCGCTCTGCAAATCTTCGGCAAAAATACAAACTCTCACCCCACGTTCTTGTGAGCATAGCGAAACAATCGGCACTCCCGGAGCCAAGTCGCTGAAACTCGGGAGGTAATCTCGGAGCTCAAGACATTCTATGTCTTATTCGGGCCGTAGTGTTCTCACCCCGCACATATCGCGGGGGTATGTGCTAACTTATGACGTGATAAAAAGGACTACAGAGTAATGCTCTGCAAATGAAGTATAATGAGATGAGGGATTTATATTATTAGGGTTTTACAAAGTCGACTACTCCTTGACATTAGAAGTCATAACCTGACCATAGTTGTTGCTTGGCGTAACGCGATTGCCAGGCACACAGGAAGTATCCTGCCCTACAATATTCTTGCAGGAGGGCTGGTGATGTAATTTTTCTCGTCAGTGGCACTGAGGTATTATCCTAGCCGGCTTTTTCTTCAGGCCTGAAATGTAGGGCACGGGTGCTGGTTTTCGAGGGTAGAAGGCCAAAAGCTAGTGGCATGAACTGGGTTGGTGTCATCTGCACTATCATCCTGCGGCAACTGCTTGAGTCTGTCGTAGGTCTGCTTAATGTTTTCAAAGATTGAGCCCATCATTGAGAATAGGTCTCCATTCTCCAATGATGGAACTTACCACTGCTTCTTTCGTATATTAACGCGTACCGTATTCTCTTGGAATCGTCAATTTTCCTATAGACCACCCGATTACCTAAGAACCCTATCGTCTCATATCCTCGTACGGTTCATGTCCTTATGCACAATCACCACGTGAACCCAGGAGCTCGATACTCCAATCCCAGTAGGTCGCAGCCCGTCTCACCTACTCACCCACTGCACACCCTCCGCTCACCTTCTCAAACTGCTTTACAACCCCACCTGTGCATTGATGTTAAATGTACCGAGCCCTTAGGTAGGCTGAGACTCTAAATATTCAAGTGGTTCGCCATCCTCCTCTCAGCCATATCGAATGCGTCCCAGTACTTGGCATCGTCTTCTTGATCGCTCTCATCAGTATCAGAATCAGGCTTCTGGATCTGTACCGTAACAGCATCCACCTGGTCATCTTGACGTGCAGTGACACCGGGTCTAGATACATCAGGGTGCAATACCAACTGTGGAAGGGTTAGAGTCTGGCCCTTCTGAACTTTGATGTAACTAGCATCGACCCGGTGGTACTGTGCCGCCCAGACGTTAGCATCAGGCATTACGGCAATTTGATTGACTGTATGATTTGAGTTGAAGGTTGTAGATCCTCCAATGGGTATTTCACAGAGCAAGGTTCAGTGAATGGCTTTGTATCATATCAGTAATGAGGTGTAGCTTTGATGGGGGTAGTCTCGCTGCCATGTTGCACAGAGATTCTAGTAGTTCTCAAATGGTCATGCTGAGAAGGATGGAGGGGCAGCGGAGGTAGGATTCATTGTATTCGAGTTTCGTGTAAGATAACGTATTATACGTAAAGCAGTTGTTCTGGAATAAAATAGGGATCTGTTCTTAGGAATGAATTATTTACGACATATCTTAAAGTGGATTAGCGTAGTTTCGGGTACGGCGAGAAACAAAGCGTGACTGCCCAGGGAGTAAGCTGTTTTCGAATTCTACTGTAAACGCTTCCTCTTCCTCTCACTTCTTTTGTTTCAGCCATTGTTATCGTCGCATCAAATCTTGGCTGATTAAGGAACCTTTTCCAGTGAAAATACCACTCTGCCGTCGTCCAATATAAAAGTTTGGATGATAGATAGCTTGCTAGAAGCCTGCGAAAATAACTCCATCCATTCATCCATTGATCGAAAAGGTCGTCCAAAACTTGCTATGAGATGCATATTAAGGCTGTTCGCTTTAGAAGAAAGTATGCCCTCTTTCCCTGGATCGAGAAAATCGTCAATAAGAAGGATGGACTCTTTTGGAGCCATCACATCCATGATCCGATCCAGAATGTCACGACTTTGCCTGTAGGTTGTTAATATTCGATCATACATAAATAAAAAGTGGTACTTGCCTCTCGGGTTGATCCATAAGGATATGGCTCAGGAAGTATAGACTAGCGCCTTTGACTGGCTGTTCGGATAGGAAGTCGCGGGCTTGCCAATCGAGCCGCTTCAAAACATTCGCGTCCATTTCACTGATAGTGGAGTGTTTCTTCTCATAGTCCTGGATGATGAACGACATCTGCGGATTTTGACCTGCAATCCTGATAGAGTGGTGGCCTCTTCCACCACCAATATCGACCACAAGGGCATCATGCTTTAGACTGTTGAAATCGAAGATTGTCTCTATGGGTCTTTGGGTAGAACCTTGGAAATACCGTTCCATGGCGCTGTCGAAACGCGCACCGCGCTTCTTATCGACAGAACGGTAGTACTGATAAAATGGTTCATTGGCTACAGACGTAAAATAAACAATCAGCATAGCTCAGTTTCCTTATAACGGGGTATCTGATCATACTCTGAAAAGCTATTTCAAACGCTGTTTTGTGTCTTTTATTCGGGATCTGAGAACAGTTCATGGCGACATATTCTGGTAAATGAGAGCCCGAATGAATCCCGTCATCGACACTTTTTTTTATTGTAAGTAGAAGCATTGAGGGGATTATGGAGGTGAAAGAACACAATAGATCTTACAGGTAATGTATCCACGAAGCGAAATTGTTATCCAAAAGAGATTTTGAATGGTTGTTGAGTTTGTATATCTCTGGCGAGGGCTCGTCGAAGATATAACATAAGATGCATTGTCTCATTATGCACCCTGCGTTTCAAAATATTAGATTGTTGTACATTTGTGACTGGAGAGAAAGGCGATATATACTTACGAAGAAGAGATGTTGAAGCACCAGAGAGTACGGCCAACCTTTCAATTGATACATGCTCCTCTACTGCATCGAAAAGGATCGTCGGGATTTTCAAGTCCAATGCTAAACAGATGGCAATGCTGTTATGGTATGCCCCCGCGACTTGACTCAGCCAAGCCTCGGGGGGATTCACAAGCGCTTCAAGCTTTCGACAAAGTTGCGAGATACCAGATATCTCGTCGGCAACGCTCTCGCCATCAGCAAGTCTCTCTGTATATCTCTGAGTGCAGTTGAGGATATCGGTGGCCAAAACATCGGCCTTGGTACTGCATTCCTTTGTAGCCAGCGTCATTTTTAAAAGAACGCTATTTTTGATGTTTGTTTTCTGTTAGGTTAATTTAGCAATTGATCAACCCTTTTTTTGTTGAGGGGACTAAAGGCTTCTTATCATACCTTGATCTTTTGGCCAATTCCGAATGACTAGTAATAATCTGGCAGAGTTTTTTTTTCCTTGTAATTATGGTCAATTATCAAAAATCTTAAAGTTAACGAGACTACACCTGAACTCTATCCTTGCAGCATGATAAAACATCGTTGTTGTAGTCCACGAAGGATCTATCGATTAATTAGCCGAGACCCAAAGAGAGCTGCGTAGATAGAGCGAAATTGAGACATTCAGCAAGCAACACTGCTTCAGTATCTTGGGCTGACCGACTTTTGATGTATCAAAAAAGCGCTATTCCTTACACGAAACACCTCATAAAGCAGATAGAAAGTCTTGCCTGCGTCCGTTCTTGCTGCCAAAATCTTTGTCACTAACATGTCCGTGCGCCAAAGAAGCGGTGAAGCACCGTAGCCACCTTCTTTTTGCTCGAGGTTTGAGATATCCGGTATTGCTGACAGGTGTAAGTTTGTCTCGAATACTCCCACTGCAAGGGAGGATTTTTCTCGGCAAATTAAAGGGTATGATTATTTTAATCACCCCAGACTTTCATATAAGATAACACAAAAATATCAAGGCGACAAAAGTAAGTGGCAATCGCTGTGTAACATTTATTCTTTAGCCCGGTTTTACAACTGTCCTTTTTGAATCACTGGACATCCGATCCTACTTGGCCTTCTTTCTCCTTTTACATCTCTGTATCTTTTTACTGATTATCTGCTCACTGTAGCTCACACGTGACGTTAATACCGTCCAACTGAGTAGTACCAGAAGAATGTGTGGACTGACTGCATTTTTGGCAAGCCATCAGCAAGATGGCCAGGGTGATAGCATGGAAGATTCCGCAGAGAGCACCATTGATGCTAGTTTGGACCTCGTTAAGCATCGTGGCCCAGATGCGCGCGGCAAGTGGCTGAGTCCGGATCGTCGAGTTGGTAAGTGGCGATGGTAATGTCCTCCCGGAGAGATTGTTATTAAACACAGAAATAAGACTAATCTAGTTTTCTTTCAGGCCTGGGGCATGTTCGTCTTTCTATCATAGATCTAAGTCCAAAAGGGAATCAACCATTCCACGACCCGGTTAGCGACATCCACGCTGTCGTAAACGGGGAGCTATACGAACATGAAAAGTACCGAGCTCAACTATCTCAGCACTATCAGTTCCAAGGGCATAGTGATTGTGAGATTGTAATTGCCCTTTACAAAGTCCACGGGATCTCCTTCGTCTCGCATCTTCGGGGAGAGTTCGCAATTGTGCTCTGGGACCAGAAAAGGCAACTTTTCTTCAGTGCCCGCGATCGATATGGAATCAAGTCACTCTATTATACCTTTTGGAACAACAAACTTCTGGTGGCCACAGAAATGAAATCATTTTTACCTTTTGGGTGGAAGCCTAAATGGTGTGTGCAGTCGCTGAGAGATAAGTCGTTCTTTTTTCACTCACGAACCATCTTCGAAGACGTCTATGCTGTTAGTTTTTTCTCTCTCTTAGCATACACATGGTTCTGACTTACACTGACTTTGATGTCCTGCTAAGGTCAAGCCCGGTCATTACTTAATAAGCAAAGGCTACGGGATGGTGGAGGAGAAGGTTTATTGGGATCTTGATTACCAAGACAAGGTTAGTAAGCTTATGTCACTGTCTTTGAGCTATCGTGGGAGACATAAAGACTGATATGGGTTTAGAACATAGCCGAAGTAAGATCAGAGGAAGAGCTCATACATGGCGTTCGAGAACGGCTCCTTGACGCGGTCCGTCTCCGAATGCAAGCAGATGTTCCGATGGGAGTTTTTTTGAGTGGTGGAATAGACTCCTCTGCAATCGCTGGGATGATAGTTTATCTAACCAAGCAGGGTTTTGATGCTGGTAATGATAATTCAAGAGACGTATCTAAGCTCAAATGCTATACGACTCAGTTTGATAAGAACAGTGGGGAGGATGAGTCGGGCAAGTTAGCTTGAGTGAAGCCATCAACACGGAGTCATCTCAAAAAACTAACTATATTATTAGACATTGCTAGACGTACGGCTAAGTTCCTTGGTGTGGAATTCCACCCTGTTGTCATGGATGAAGCAGCCATGGCCTCAAGGATGGCCGATGCAGTCTGGCACAGTGAAGCAGCTATGCCGGACACAAATGGATGTGCAATGTTGGCCATGGCAGAAATGGCCCATTCCCATGGCGTTAAAGTCGTGCTTACCGGGGAGGGATCAGATGAACATTTTGGCGGATATCCAGATCTTTTTGTTGACAACCTTCGGGAGCCTGATCCTTCATGGCCGTCATCATCTTTCTCTGATAAAGAGAGACTTCGACTACTTGACTCCCATACGGCCAACCAGAACGATATCACGGGAAAGGCTAATCAAAATACCCTGGAGGCGACTGACATACAAATGCAATCTCCCACTCGTCGGATGCTCAATAATATAACTATGGCGGATAAGCTTTCCAGAATGTGTCAGGCTCCATTATCCCCTTGGGTGAAATGTCTCTCTCCTATTAGTACCACTGAAACGGAATTCGCCGAGGGACTGGATGGGGTGACTCGCCATAAGATTGCAACCAAGTGGCATCCTCTGCACAGCTCGGAATACGTTTGGACCAAATCCATGTTGAATGCGTACATTCTGCGATATTGTGGAGATAATGTCCACATGCTGTACCAGGTGGAAAGCCGACCAGCCTTTCTTGATCATCACCTGACGGAATATGCCAATTCAATACCGCCCAGTCTGAAAATCAAGTATTCGCACGAGAGCGGAAAACACGTGGAGAAATACATTCTGCGAGAGGCAGTTCGCCCATTTGTCACCGATGAAATCTACCGCCAGCAAAAGAAGCCGTTCCTAGGCCCACGGCTCTATGCTTTAAACGGTCCGATGCATCGATTCGTTGTTGGACAAGTCACTAAAGATAAGGTAGCCCAGCTGGGCTTCATCGACTGGCCCGAGACCCAGATAATGATGAGGAAGGCGTTCGAGGAAGGAGGAGATCCCTACGCGATCAAGCAAGTGATATTAGTAGCGCAGTTTGTTATCCTGGCTCAGAAATTTGGGGTTGAAACTAGTCGTCTGTCTTGATGCTCTTGTTTCCGAGGCGCCGAGATGTAATAGCAGCCGCACAGCACTTGTGCGACAATGATCAGCTGCTATTTGAAGTCCCGTTCTTCCTATGTTCTCTAGAGAGTCCACTTGAATGCCAGAACCCTTAGGGATAGTAAATATATGATGCCAGACCACTGCATGTAAGAGAGACTGCCGTATTCAGATGTTGGGATAGAGAGGAAATTCTGAGCGAGCTGCTCCGCCGATTTTAGACAGAGAAAGAGCACCTCCAGGTGAATTTGAGACGTAAAAGATGAGCTTGTTGAATGTTTCAAAGAATCCGTATTTTGCCGCATTTTCGCTACAGAGATGACGAGATCCATCTCGTAGACATGCATCACAGCAACCTCGCAAGCCAGGTTCATCCCGTCTATGGCACATTAGCATCAGTTCCATTGGACTTTCGATCAATTTAACTTACTTGGTTGCTGATATATAAGTGGAAGCGAGTTCTTCCACTGTTTAAATTCGGCTTGAAAGGATTGAACCTTCATTTCAAGATCTAGGCCATTCAAGTGGTCACATATAGTGTTACCAGCAGTTGAAAGACTGCAGTGATTCACCTCGGCCATGTTTTGAAGCTGGACTAGTGGTAAAATCAATGCGTCCGTTGGATGCTCCAATTCTTGACCCAGCGATGTCGCACATTCAATCATATAGTTTTGAAATTGGATACCATTTGGCTTCATTGTCACCCAGCCGGTGCTAATAACGACAGCTTCAATTAGTCATATACTCTGCGTTCCAAGGGTTTGAAAGATGATGGATAGGTTCATCAGGAAAATGGGATTCTACCATCAAAGAGCTTTGTTTGGGGAAACTACTTACATGCTCGAAAGATAAAAGCATCCCAAGTATGCTCGGCGGGCTTCTCGGGTAAAAAATTCATCGTGGTTCGCTGAAGGTGTAGAGACTTTGCGATAATGTGTCAATCGAAGTCCCACCTTCCTACTCATTGCCTCGGCAGGTCTGAGGTTCAGTCCCATGTCATCAACCATGCCAATTGCGATATGGAGTAGTTGGTTGAACTGTTCTTTCTTGGGAATATAATAAAACTGATACCTAAAGTAAGCGTTGGTTATCAGAGTTGAACCAAGAGTGTTAGATGAACAAAGTCTACTCACCAAGCCAAGTATACAAGAATTCCATCCAGGAGATCTAGGCTCCTTTCATTGTGAACCATAATAGTGTGGAGAGCGCAGGTTCAAAATTTGTCACCAAGGGACTTTTGTAATTTCTTGTCTGAGGAAGTCGCTGCCGCCAATGCTGCCACTAGGACGAAGGGCCGTTCTTTACACATTGTCAAAACAGTCGCGTGAGTGGGAACCATGAAAAACGGAAAGTAAGAGGACATGGTGCGAAACCGTTCGAGGAATCCCTCAGCAGCATCAATAGACAGGCCACACTCAAGCAGTAGTTCAGGGCAGGATATGCCATTAATTTTAGGATAGCCAGTCCACTTATAGAGAGGCCAATCGAGGGGGGTTGAACTGGTGGTGTTGTTATGGCTGCTGCTGGGCGTGGAGTCTTGTTCCCCGTGGCTAGAAGATGAACTATAGGTAGACAAGCCATTTTCCAGAAACCCCACCTCGCGCTGTGCAGGTTCCTGTCCGTGAATTGGTTGGGACTGACTAGCAAATGCAATTAGGTTATCAACCTTCGACTCCAGCGCACAAATTCGGGCTTTTGAGCTATGCTTTCGCTTGTGTTGCCGTGGTTGCCGCGGTTGCCGCTCCAGAAATACACAAGTTTTGTTGGAATTCACACACTTTGAACATATGCCAGGTTGAGAGCTAGGAAGACAGCGGACCTTCAGCGAGCGGCATATTTCGCATGCTTGGAATGCCTTGCTCTTGAGCCCTCCACCCATTGAGTCTATTCCCTAATGGGGTCTTGAGAAAATCAGGGAATCCCTAGGTTGGGGGAGACCTATGCTCAGCTCGGAGGGAAGTGGTCCGACTGACAAAAAAAAAATGAAAAATTTAGTTAAAAATAAAAAATCGTATACTACTCATCTGTTGGGAGGTGAAGGACGGAACGGAATATTCAGCTTCTGTCTCCGATCCGCGATTTGGGTGACTAAGCCGTAATTAACCTTTGACCTATCCACGGGTGGAGCCGTGGATGGATCCATGGATCGGAACAAGAAACACAACTCTACCTCCGTCCCGCGATATGGTCAGAAACAGGAAAGAGTTGGAGATCGAGGTGGAAAATGTGTCGTTGGGGTAGATTTCGTTTCGATGCATTTAAAGAGTCGGTGTCATGCCCTTTTTCTAGCTTTTCTTCGTCTCTCATCTCTACTACCATCCTCTGTCAAGCAATCCACCAGCCATGGCACCCATCCAGTTTGGCGTTATCATGATACCATTTCAACTCACCGACGTTGCAGGACCCCTCGATGTCCTATCCAGCTCCTCGGGTCCTTATCTAAGGGGAATGGGCAATCTCGACCTAGCTGAGCATGGGATTGACATCGAATTTCACTATATCGGCGAGGGAATGGACCCTGTAATCCATTCCGCAGGTTTCAAATCTCAGCCTACGACCACTCTATCTGCTTGTCCTAAGCTTGACTATCTCCTCATCGGTGGGCCTGAGCCAAATTATCTCAAAACGATCCCGCCAGCGATAGCAAGCTTTGTGTGCGAACGTGCCGACGAAGTCAAGACCGTATTCACCACTTGCACCGGTGGAATCTTTGCGTCCGTGTTGGGTCTCCTGGATGGCCTGAACGCCACTACGAACCATGAAGTCATGCCGCTTGCGAGGGAACTTGCCCCCAATGTCAAGTGGACGACAGAAAAGAATTGGGTCGTTGACGGCAAATTTTGGACTGCTGGTGGTGCATGCGTTGGCATGGACATGATGGCTCATTGGGTCATCGAAAATTACGGAAGGGAGGTAGCCGAAGCCGGGTTTGCAGCTCTTGCTTACGAGCCGCGTGATGTGGATGGAAAGCAGGTTGCCTTAACAAGACATGTTTCAAAGTGATCGAGAGACAGTTATCTGGAGAGCAAGCAAATCGGAACATCAGAGTTGTGGGGAACACATTGGGAGGTTCACAATGCCAAGAAATATGTACCTAGTGACTAGTGCCTTCCTAATGCATAAATTGACTAAACTGTATTGGGCGGAAGCGAGCCGAGCCAGCCATTTTATTGTTACAAAGTACTTACTAGTAAATTGCTCCAATTGTGTTCCAAATTTGGCATATAATGCCGGCCCTAGGCCGGATGTAATACCACAAATGGCTCATGTACACTTAGCGACTGATATAATCCATAGCACACACGTGTGGGATATTTCGGGTTACTCCGGGGCTAATGCAGACCCGCATGCCACGATGTGACCCTTAGCAGCTCATCACCTCATTTGGAAATAGGTCCCTCAGTGGTCTTGTGATATTCCCGGCTATACTCCGTACTGGTTCCAATTCTGCATTTAAAGAGTGAGATATTGGCACTTCAAATGTTGAATCACTGTCGTAATCCCATCACATTCAAACAAGTCCAACCATGCATTTAAAGCTAGGAGCCAGTTTGGCTGTGCTGGCCGTCAGCCATGTGACAGCTCTCTCGCAGATAACAGATGATGAGATGGGGTCACTCCTCGATGCAGGCGGCGTAGATCTAGCAGACCGCTACGCGCCCATGTGGTTCTTTGGCCAAGCCCTGAATCAGCCACCTTGCTATCCAACCTGGGCGTATGGCGGCTCACCAAACACAGCGGATGTCTACGACAGCACCCACAGGACACCGGGTGCGCCGCAGTGTGAGTACCCAGATGTCGGGTGCAATTGCCGCAACCCTGGCGTTGATGCCGGGAATCCGGGTCCTGCATTTCCTGTGTATTATACATACCGAAAATGCAGCGATACCGAGGTGCGCGTCGTGTATAATCTCTTTTACGAGAAAGACGGCGCAGAGTTTGTTGGCATCGACACTGGACATGACTAGTAGGTGGCCCATTCTTCGGCGTAATGAAATGCCGCTTGTCCAGCCTACCTCTAACATCTGTTCCAGCGACTGGGAGCGAGTAGTAATCATTCACTCTCGGGATGACAGCAAGATGTGGGCGCCATCGCGCGCCCTGCTCTCTGCGCATAGCGGGTACCACAACCTGGCCTGGGGTGATATCCAAAACACCCTAACGACCAACGAGGTCAACGCCGGAAGTGCCAAAGACCCGAACGGTGTACGGAATAATGACCATCCCAAGGTGTATGTGTCGTGGTCGAAGCATGCTCACTTCGATACTCGCAATACCGGGTGGAACGACCCGGCGAGTCAGTCACTGGATAATGCATTCCGGAGCGATGATTGGTGGTATTTTGTCGAGCCACAGTACTATGTAAGTGTATTCGTTCGCAGGCGTGGGAGATACTCATACCTTGTTAGATCCGAGCCGATGATAGTACGGAGGCTGGTAAGGTTATTGGGGCTGCTAATTGGGGTAGCGCAACTAGTGACCCGGTGTCGGTGCACTCTGGTGTATGCAATGCCTCATAGTGGTGATTACAAGGTTGGATAGAACATCGTCCATATGTTCTGCTTCTATACTCATGTTCAATTGTTACCTATTTATACAATCATCAAGTCTTTTAGGTCCAGTTGGCTAGGTACTCCCCGTTTGATCCCATAATCATACATACCCCTAGCCTATTGAAGTGTGTTGTAATTACTGCTTGGCTCCAATCCGGTTACCGCGGTCGTCCATCAGGTCACTGGAATTCTCCATTCCACTCCACTTGGGAAGACCATCGGGAAAATCTAGCATGCGTGACTCATAAAAGATATGACATCTAGCGGGATCGTTAGTTTGCACTCATCGAGTAGTAGGATATGCACATACGTCGGCTTAAATGCCTCCCTCTTCTCTCTTTGTTCATCACTGGATCCCTCGAGCTCAATCAATTGAGGGAAGATCAAGCACATATTCCGGCCTTCATCCATGATAGGTGTCCGACAATTGGCACAGGATACCTTGGTAGGCAACATGTGCTTCTGATTTTTATGTGTCGAAGAATAAAATACCAGACCACTCGCACCACTGGTGAATGACATCTCGTCCTTGTGGAAAATAGCCGCCCACTGAAAAGGAGCTCCATGGGTAACCCGGCACACGCGACAATGGCAGTATTTGGCATTTAGTGGTTTCTCTCGCTTCAAGCGATAGGTGATCTTTCCGCAGAAACACTTTCCACGCCATTTGATTGGACCGAATTGCTCCTCTGGTTGCATCTCGTATGGTGGAAGGTGCTTCCAGTGTTCTTCGGGGGTAGATTCTGAGATCGTGTTGGTATGTGCCGGGCAGGGAAGAGGATCGGTGAAGTTGCGACTTATTTCAGCCATGATGTGTGGTTTGAGTATGTGGTTTGAGTATGTGAATTGAGTATGTGAATTGAGTATGTGAAGTGGTTGAAGTGTATGTTTTGCTTTTGCCAGTCTCCAGGTCTGTTCGAATATATTGACAAGAACCACGATGATGTCAGTCAATGACCAATCAAGTAATGGATCAATCCAGCTTTTTTCAGTCCAGCTTGAATTGTACATATGGTCCATAATTATTCCACTGAATTTCAGGAATTTTAGGAATTTCTCGAAAATGACGCTGTTGACTTTGTGATGTCATGGGCATTCTCCATTTGAACGTCGCGAACTTGAATCGTCTTTCTCCATAATATTTGACCTCTGAGAAGTCATTCCGTGTCACTTGTCTTCGAAGTCTTTCATCCAGAATATCTTCAAGATATTGTAGATGTGATGAAACCCGCTAGACTGAAACGCCCCGTGGGTGTTTCATGTTGGGGGCTGGGGGCTGAAGGGGGGTATGGTTGACGGACCCTGCATTAACGCGCTTTGTCCCTCTCATCTCCCCTCTTTAACATTCACATCCTTCCACACCTTTCCCAGCCAGAATGGGCCTTTTTGATAAGCTGCGGCGAAGCTCACGACGAAGCTCGCGGCGAAGTGACCGGGAAACGACCGACCCACCATCGCCCCGCGTTAACGTGCCCGGCCGAGATTACACCAAACAGCTACCTCGGCCAGTATTGGAACGCATTTTCTCCTTTGTTTGTCCTCACACCATCGACAACACATATGGCACCTCCGAGGAATCTGCTAGCGATGGATGTATGCTATGCGACATGCGCGACCTCGCACACTGCACCCTCGTGAACAAGCGGTGGTTTTTGAATGCGCGGGCGCTTCTGTGGGAGATCCCCGGCCTGTTGCCAAGTGAGAGACTAACACCAGTCTACTGCTAGTTATACCAACGTCCGAATCGACCCCGTCCATTACTGTGAACTCGAAATCGAATTAGCCGCCAAGCGAAAACGCCGCTCGTTCTTTGATCGTAATGGCGACCCTATTGATGCCCCGCAAGTCCGTCTGGAAATGTTTATGCGAACAGTGCGAGAGTCACAGGGGCTAGGGAACATGGTGTTGTCGCTCCGAATGCCATACATGACCCGCGAGGCCAACAAAGCCAACGTGGCCCGGACTATCTCCGTCCTTCCTAATCTCCGCTTTGTTGATCTGCCGGTGGGTTTGTACAGTGACGAGGCATCATGTCTACCCTTGAAACAAGAGTTGATGGCCCGATGCCCCGAGTTGCGTCGGATGGCCTATCGTCAAGGTGCCGAGGGCAGTTTTTCACGTCTGCCGGGATCCCAGCTATGGATTAATTTGGAGGTGCTCGAGCTATCTGGAGTTCAAATGGAGGCTAGTACTCTGCGGGGCGGACTCGCTTCATTCCCCCATCTTCGTGAGCTCACGCTCGAAGATCTCAATTGGCTTGACGATTCTGCATTTGCAGTGAACGTGCCGCTTCCGCCATTCCCGTCAGTTCAGTCTCTTACACTTCGCGATACCCCTAATGTCACGGCAAGCGGGCTTGCCGCGTTCCTTTCCATGCCAGCGAACCGAGCGACTTTGGTATCTTTGATATTATCTTCTACCGGCGTTGCTCCGTCGCAACTACATTATATTCTCGCCGCCGCTCCGCGGCTTGAGAGCCTTTCTGTCATCCAGGAGGTCTCTCGCTCTTTCCCCATGGAGCAGATTCCTCCCATGGCATCGAGGTCGCTGCACCTTCTGCACTATGAACTCACATCCGAAACCGATAATCATGGAATGCCACCAGTGGTATCCTCATACTATACCTATCTTATTTCGTCCTTGGTGTCCCGAACCTTACCAACCCTTCGAGAGTTATATGTCCGTGATTCCTCATTCCCCGACACACTGTTGCTCATGCCGCCACCACGACTCTTCGGCGGTGGTGAAAACGGGCCGCAGATGCGGGGCGGTCTTTCGCAACCCCTGAATGTGTACAGCAAGGGTTTGGATGAGTTCGAGTGGAATTTCACACCATACGACCCCAGCCCGGCGCCCGGACGCCGCGACTCAAGTACGCGCCCCGTAAGCTTCCACGAGGCCCAGCTGAACCGGTCTTGGGGTGGTGATGCTCGCAAGAGCGTGCTTGTCGGGAACGGCTTCGGTGGGTTCCTGGCTGTTCCGGCTGAGGAAGAGCGACCCATGAGTAGTCAGGGACACAACAAGCGGTCGAGTAAACAGGATATATGGCGGTGAGGTTCTTATATATGGATGGATTCCACTTTGTGGGATGGTTAGTATCTTGAGACATCTGGCTCGAGGTCAATAGTGCGTCTAGCGGGACGAGGACCGCGCTTCATGAAATGATGATTTGAGTACATAGGTCAGGTCTGTAAGGGAAATGTTCAGTTCATTCAAGCATAATCGGGCGATATACATGCGTCGCTATTCCACGGTTCCGCTCTGTTCTGGCCATCCTTTTGGCAGCTGTAAACCGCGCCATACCCACTGCTTCTGGATGTCGCTGTCGGTCATATTACAATAACCATATGTCTGGCAATAGCATTCGCGTTGGTCGAGACAATACTGAGCCGGTTTTCCAAAGATCACTGTAACGGCTGATGTTAGCAAGAGATCATCAAGAGATCAGCGCAAACGAGAGACCCACTATGCCATGAATACTCCAGAATACGCCCACTGATGCCCGCCTCCAAATCCGTCTCCATCAACCACCGCTGCAAACGAACATAATGTTCAAGACTCTGCTCGTGAATCTTCGTCTTGGACAAAGCAAACTGACTACAACACGGCGTTCCGACAATCTCCGGGACTTCGGCGCTCGGAAACAACTCCATAAACCGATCGGGATACTCGACCGCGGTGGGATGTCCTTTGTCTTCTGGTCTCTCGCGGAGATAGCGAGCGGGCTCAAGTTCTTTGGGACAGCCGACACTCCAGGCGCAGCGCAGGTTCACGTAACCGGCCTCTTGGACGAAGTCGAGGTTGAGATGGGAGATGGAGATCACGGAGTCGTAGAGCGGGTTATCGACGTGCCATTGGTAACGACCACCGTGGAGGAAGACTGATACTTCAGGAAGAGACCAGTAACGATCAATAATATAACTTATGGAGAGCTCAATTAGTATGACAACAATCTTGGGATTGAAAGAGTTGACATATCAAAGACGTACGTCAGATATACCATAGCCTCATTGCCATTATTTACCGGGACTTTCAACCCAACATCTTTGTGTTTCGCATCGGCACGATAGATATTTACCTGCCAGTCTGGCAGATGCTCCTCGACCCAGGACATATTGCTAGCCTGCATCGCCGCGAGAACCAACTCCTTCTCGGCGGGTACAGGATCCGGAACGAATCGATCGTCATCGCCGGCCACGATGATCCCCTGAATTGTTCTCCAGCTTGTGTTTATATTCGGAGCTCGGTCGAGAATCAGCTGGTATGATAGAATCAGTAATGCCACTGCCAGACCGAGGTAAAGGAAGATCCGCGACCGTTGTGAGACACTGGCATCGTGGGGGGACGCGCAATCCCGAAGCGGGGAATAGAAGCACCTCATCGCATTGTATTTATATAAAGGGACAAGGAAATACAGCAGGGAACGGACAATGGACAGTAGACGATAGGCAATGTTCAGGTGAGATGGGAACGAGAATATAACAGGGCAGACATTCTGACGTAGCCGGGTGCATTTCCATGGTTACATGAGATATCAACCTATACAACATTTTACTAAATACAAAGGCACTAATAGCACGAATAGCAATGATTCGATTGTGTACCCACAGCTATTTAAAGATTCGCAACTTAGAAATGAGGGGACTGAGACTGCAAGCGGACTTCCCAGGTCGAATGGTTTCGGTACATCGATGTATACTACGGAGTACATATACTTATTGTAGTACTGAGTATATCACACGCTAATTAGTTTGCCTCTGGGGCAAGTACATAGTAAACATTGAAAACAACTCAATTGGATAAACTAACACCTTATAGATGACCTCGAGCTAATTACCGGTTAATCGTCGAAAATGGCTACCTTCCGGTTTGGGCTCCTCAGGGCTCTATCAAAATATTAGTCATCCCTCACGTGTGCGGAATATCCCCCTCTTCACCCCGTTGGACCCGCTTTTGGTGCAGATCATAAATGTAATTAATGTGGTAATCTTTCATAACCATACATTCAATTTAAGTAAATATAGAATCATGGGTGCATTTAAGTGTATTAGTATTACCATATAGCTAGGCAGGAATAGGCAATGCGGAGCCTGAAGGAAGTGGGGCCCATCCCTATCAATCAAATCCCCAGGTTGGCGTAATGGTAACGCAGCGGGATGCGGCATGGTTTACCTATGTACGTACATGCAATGTATGTCCAAGCCATGGCCCTTCGGGGATCGTTTATCTGGGTTCGAATCCCAGGCCTGGGCTGCTTCTTTTTTTTCCCCTTCGATATTATCACAACTATCTATCTATGTACTGGATTAAAAGTGATGGATGATATCTATTTTTGCTATTATTGATGACCCTTGCTGGTGTATACCTTTGCATTCAGTTTAATTATTATCAAACTTCTTAGTCTCATAGCTTTTTAGTTTCTTCAACTATTCAGTTATATCCCATTCCATTCCACCATGCACCTAGACGTCTCTGTAGACCTCTCTCCTGACAAGTATATATAGAATCAAGATAGCCCTTGATTGGCTTGGCTTTACCTTAAGTGCATTTTCGTGTACTGGTATTACTAACTGGCTACTACTATGTACCTAGTAGGCGGCAATGTGGATCCTGAAGATTTAAGAAAGTGGGGCACACGCCTAGCAATAAAATCCCCAGGTTGGTGTAATGGTAGCGCGGCGGGACGTGACGTGGTTTATCTATGTACATACATGCAATGTATGTCCACGCCATGCCCTTCGGGGATCGTTTATCCGGGTTTGAATCCCGGGCCTGGTCTCGTTTTTTTATTCGATATTATTATCATCTGTCTATCTACTGGATTAAAAGCGATGTATAATATCTATATGTATGCTATTATGTGATGATCCTTGCTAGCTTATATCTCTTTTTGGTTTTTGACAATTTTATTCTTAAATAACACGTAAAACAACAAGTCTATATGCGTAGAAATACAAACAAAAGAAAAGGGAAGAAAGAACGAATACAGCTCGATAGCAAGTTAGTAGATGACTCACCTGAGTTTATCATGAATCTAGAGTTCCTCAGTCGAATCAGTCACGCTAGGGCGACTCCTCAAATTGTACCGGGTTTGAGTAGAGTCCTGACTCTGACGTGAAGCCGATGCATGAGATTTGGCTCTTGCAGAAAGGAACGCATACCGCGCTGCCTGTTGTTCAGCTGGGGTTTGTGCAGAAAGGGCCGCCGGCCGGATTGACTGTCGGACCCTCAGGCTGGAAGCAGTAGAGTCTATAACCATCTCCGAGTTCAATGGCTGTGGAAGAAAGGTAATCTGCTGAGGCTGAGCGACATAGCCATCCATTCCCTCGGGGAAGATCGGGTCCATGTGCAGGGGTTGAGTCGAGAATGCACCGTCGATAGAATCTTGTGAAGTCAGTCCGGAAAAGTCGATATCAGGTAGGCCCATCAGATCAAAGGAGTCCTGGTCCGGTAGATCAAAGGAGCTCAGGTCTGGTAGGTCTAAATCCATATCCATGGGCAGGTCTGGGCAGGATGGATCGAAGGACTGCAAGTCCAAAGTGTCATCATTCAAAAGCTGGGTGAAGTCCACATTAGCAAGGTCCTCTTCGGTCCAGTTCATCGCCTGTGTCAAGTCCAATGCATTAGCATCTGGCTCACCCATGGTATCATCATTCAAAAGCGCGCTGAAGTCTATATTTGGTACATCCGCTCCGCTCCAGTCCATCGTGTGTGTCCAGTCAATATTTTTAAAATCGGCTGGGCCCGTGGAATACTCTTGTGGGAGTTGTGCGTTGACTTGATCCATAGTGGTATCAAGTAGAGCTTCGTCAAGGAAACTCAGGTCCTCTGTCTGTTCTAGGGTCAATTGAGGAAGGTCTGGAATCTGCTGCAAAGAAGCCTGGCTGCTCTGGTTGAATGAGGAGTGTGTCTGCGTGCTTTGCAACGAGGTCCGCGTGGTAGCAAAAGACCCAGTAGAGGTGGGCACAGGGGACGGGGTCCATGTAGGTGTGTTAGAAGGTCGCTGGTCATTGGAATCCTTGAAGGGCAATGGCTGCAAGTATGTAACATACTGATAGTTTGACCGTCTGGGGTCTACCACCTGTGGGGGGAGTGTAGCGTGCATGTAGGGATGAAGGGACCTGATGGGCTCTGAGTTACCCGGGAACTGAATCGTCGGAACTGTGATATCAATAGTGTCCAGCCACATTCCCAGTGCCAGATCTCCATCAAACTTAGGGCTTTTCCGGCGTAGCTCAGCGAACTCCGACTCGCCAAAAACCCTCACTTTCCGCCCGTGTCTTTTCATCTGCTGAGGATTCAGTCGGTAATACCCACAATACCTAAGAACTGCAGGAAGTACCAACTCAGGGCGATAATCCTTGACAGTCTTTAAACCAGTGATCTGAAAGTTGTTGCTCCCGTCGGGGATAGGCTGCCTACTATACACTGCGTGAACAGCATACTGCAAAACGAAAGCAGGAGCAGTATCCATGAGATCACGGAATCTGCGGAAAGCAATAGCCTGGAGGTCAGTAATTCTAAGAAGAAGAGCAGTTTGAAACATGGACAAATGAATGCGCAAGAGCTGACAGATCTGAGGACAAGTCACGCAGCCACCAGGGCAGGGCCTAACCGAGTAATATCTCAAGTCTGCTTCGTCAACCGAATAGTCACCAGTATAAAAGAAATTAAGAAGGCTATCAACCTTCTCAGGATGTACCAAATCAGGAAGAACAAGCTTCTGCTTATCACCAGTCTTGTGGATTCGCCAGTCAATCCAACGGGTTGACTTGCGAATGACATCCAAGTGCACATCCCAGCCGCGTCGGCGGCTGTCTGGGTGTCGCAGCTTGAAATCGGGGGTATGGGTCTCGAAGTATCTAAGAAAATATTAGTATATATTCTTTTTTTTTGGGAATGTTCTTTGTCACTTACTCGTTCTGCTCGGCTTGGAGTTGAGCCTTGCGGTTGCCCAGCTCACCCCAACCCAGCCAAACCCGGGGCAGGCCGGCATGAGCGTTGCAATGGTGATGGGCAGGCATGGTTGCTGTAGGATAGTCTCTGAATAAACTGTGTCAGTTGGTCTGGATTTGAGTGATGGTAGTAAATGCTGTGAATGTAATTGTAGATGTGAAGTGTGATGAAGAATGTGGGTTGTGCCGGGACATCGAGGCTCTTAAATACTCGAGGGAGTCATTTTTTTCACAAAGGTATTGATTCTTTGGAATCTGAACAATGCCAATAAAGTCATCAAAGCCAATAAAGAGTCTATAAATACTCGGCTGAATATCAAGCCCGAACGTTCTTTGTTCTTCGGCTATCCTGCGACACACAACACTTGGACTCGGATCAAACAACGAGTTCTGATTGACTGGATAATATCCCTGTTCTCTTTATAGATTGTCTAAACATGGCCATTGCGTTTCTATGTCTTCATTGTCGCCAATGTTCCCTTAGGCTCTTTGAGTTCTCGCCTAAACAACAACCATGAGCAATACTCTTTGTGCTCTCTACTCTAAACATGGAATGCTTGGAGATACTAGTCACGGGTAGTGAGTTTCAAATTTTGTGCGCGTCTATCGCAATAAGTGCAATACTGTCCACTCAGAACAGAGCCACTGTTCTTTGATCTCTATCGACCATTTTCCCTTGACCACTAACACAGCTGTATCATGACTCTTTAAGGAGGCCTTATACCTAGTCTTTACACAGCCCAGATACTTGCCAGTCCACGCATTTCTACCAAGACCCATCCCGCAGAATCTACGGTTATATCTATGGAGGCAGTGGTGGATCCTTCAAGACTATGAGAGCGATGGAAAACACTTTCTCTATTTGGGATGGCAGCGTTCCTTTGATCCAGGGCATCCCAATTTCGAACCCACTTGGCTTTTCTATAACTGCATTAGGGGGATTGGTGCTGGGAGATAAAGTCCAGCAGCTCCAAGATGCTGTCCGTCCGGGAACAAGCAACGATTCATATTCGTTTTTGAACTCGCTACAACGTTCTATTCTAGAAGAAGTCACAGCACTGGGTATGCCTCCAGCGGCATGGGAGGATTTTGACGGTAGTGGTCGAAACCGATCGCAACTCTATGAGTGCCTGCGGGCCGCTGCCGCTGCTCTCAGGTACACAGACCCAACATACGTCGATGACTTCTGGAGCCAGCCTGGTTATCTGGGCGCCGAACAATCCGAACTTTGGGACCTGTTCCGAGCCTCTTTGATTGATTTCAATGCTACTGTCCGCCAAGTGAACGAAGGTGCGGACAACATCCCCGTGGTCATTGAACTAGATAAATCACCCCCGAAAGCTCTGCATCCCAATTGGTATGACTTTATCCCTCAATCACCATGCAATGGAGTTGAGGAAGGGAGCAAGTTTACCGGTCGTATGGATCCGGGTTCAACGACGGTTTTGCTCTACGCCGACAACAACAGCACTGCTTTGTATTGTTTGAAACGTGACTTCAAGCTACGTGTGAACAATCGGTGGTCTCTTTCCCTCCATGCGTTTCACCGGTATGAGGTACCCCATGGCGAGGGATATGATGTCTTTGATTATCTTCGCGACGAAGACGGCAAACCCCTTTACCCCCAGCGGAGTGTCCTGGTTGCCCCCATTCTTGCCGAATCAGCGACTGGTGCCGATACTCAGACTGGAAACATCACCGCAAAAATGATTGTTATGGACAATCTAATGGATAATAAAGCCTTCCCATGGCAGGCTGACTGGTATCGGACACGGGTACAAAAGTCTCTCGGAGACGGCTTTGGCGATAATTATCGTTTGTACTACAGTGATAATGCCGATCATGAGATAGGACCTGTTGAGCCGGCAGTGCAATATCGTCTCATCGACTTTACTGGCCTTTACGAGTAACACCTACATGATCTCAGCGCATGGGTGGAGAAAGGTATCGAGCCTCCAACGGCTACCAACTATACCGTTCAGAATGGCCAGGTTTATGTCCCTCAATCTGCTTCCCATAGAGCAGGTATTCAGCCTGTCGCCACTTTGAAAGTACGGGATGGTAGGGTAGCGGATGTTCAAGTGGGATCCCCGGTGACCCTATAAGCCGTTGTTGAAGTACCTCGTGGCGTTGGAAAGAGTGTGTGCCTTGAGTGGGACATCAATGGGAGTGGAAACTTTGCCCCAGAGGACTTTGGTGCGCCAAGTCTGGTAGCTGAAGCGAATATCACCCATGTCTACACGGAACCAGGCGTATATTTCCCAAGCATTAAAGTGGCATCTCAGCGATCTGGAGATACCGAAAGTCCTCATGCTCTGGCCTACAATTTAGGTCGTGCGAGGGTGGTTGTTAAATGACGATTCTTGGATGATATTTCATCGCCTATCGAACTATACATCCAAGATAAGTGCATCCAAAAAATGTCGTTTGAGTGCCATATCAACCTTGATACTGCCAGGGGGTGGATTTCTAGGTGCTTACTCTAGAATATCATACGAATTTAACATTAGACACCTTATACAATAGTGTATATTACTCTGTATCAGGATAACCTACAGAATTGTTAATTTTATAGTTCTTATGATTCGAAGTGATACTAACTAACTGGGAAGTCCTAATCAAACACAGTCAGGCATGGCTACGGTCTCAACAGCTACATGTATATACCTGTATAGATAGATAGGCATACACATGTACTTTGTAAGACCCATTCCTTTCTATAGAGAGCTCCACCTAGTTCTTGTCCCGTTGCAGTGCTGGGAACATGAGAACGTCTCGAGTGGAACAATCTATATCCGCTTATTCAGGGAGCTAAAACCAAACAGGAAATTTCTGCGTATTCGCACCCCCCACATCTATTTCCGGTATCCAACAACCTATCATGCAACATCTGATAGATGTTTGATTTTTGCATCAGTTCTAGGCTCCCAGTTTGAATATTTAGTCTACCTCCAAGGTCTCGCCCAACGTAGTCGCTGCTTAAAACGAATACGACATCGCTCTACTGCGACTCCACTTGCTATGATGGATATCTCCGACACAAAGCCCATTAAGGCACGACGCACTCATCAGAAGTCGCGTCTAGGGTGTGCCAATTGCAAAAAGCGTCGCATCAAGGTAATACGTTTGATTATTGTCGCTATTACCTATTGTTATGTTTTGCCACATGTCTCCCGGTCGAGTCCTTATTTCGCATTACTTTGTGTTTTCCCAGATTTTTAAATTATTATATTCTCGTCTTCTCTCTCTACAACACCTATCATCACTATGTTGGGAATACTGCGCCATTTATTTTGTTTCCGTCAACGAGGATTTATCGAGCTACCGGAAACTGACTCGTTCCAGTGCGACGAAAAAAGACCGGCCTGCTCCAACTGTTCAAACCATTTGATTGAGTGTGGATATCAAATCACTGCAGAGTCCCCCAGATCGCAATCACGAGAATCTCCAGTATTTCCCGCTGAGCGGCCACATCCAAGACGATACCGACCTTATCGCTATGCGACAGGCGGACTCAAACAGACTTTCAAACTATCCAAAAGTCAGCCATCGCCACTTACCCAGTCGACTGGAACACAATGTAGTCTCTCATTGGGCTTGATCTGCACCACCTCCTTGGCCGACCTACAACTCTTACACCATTACACCATCGACACATACCAGTCTATGACGACTGATCCAAATCTTCATGATGTGTGGCAAAAGCACCTCGTGCAATGGGGGATTGAGTCTCCATACATTCTACACCTTGTTCTCGCTCTATCTGCCCTCCATCTGGCTTACGAAAAGCCAGACCTTCAAGATCAATACATCCAGCAAGCCGACAACCACTTCAGCTTCGGAGTCCGATCAGTTACAAGCGTGATCGCCGAGCTAAATGCCGACAGTTGCCAGAAAGTTTACATGTCAGCTGTCATGATATGTTTCATCTACTTCGGCAGAGGTCCACGGCCAGGAGAATACCTCATCTTCAGCGACAGCGGACCCGCTGAGTGGCTGGTTCTTATGCGTGTAGTGCGATTAATCGTTACATCTCACCATGAAAAAGTCTTCAGTGGGATTCTCGAGCCAAGACCCAATGGCCGGAGTCGGGACCTAACAGCTGAGATGCGCATTAAATTACATGAACATACTGTGCACACGGAAGCGGTTCAACGACTCGTTGAGAGGGATATTGCCGACGATGAAACTCGTGGCAGGTACCTGGCTGTCATTGAAAATCTCTTCGAAATCATGCGCGAGGTTTACGAGAGACGATCTGGCGGGTCTTCCGGTGTGGACTTGATGGATCTCCTGGTGGGATGGTTTTATCGTCTCCCCGAAGAGACGATTGGCTCGTTAGAGAGGAAGGAGCCACATAGCCTTGTAATACTAGCGCATTGGGTTGTGCTTCTGAAGTACATGGACTCGGCGTGGTTCATGGACGGCTGGGCTAACCATATGCTATCGGGGATTTCTACGTATCTGCACGAGGACTTACACAAGTGGATTGAGTGGCCATTAAGACAGGTGTACCGAACGCACACTCAGATTGAATAGTTTTGTATAGTATTGAAATTCAAAATACATATTTGAATGACGATCTTTCTCCTGCATAATTCCCTTGACACCAAAATTTTCAAGTCGATTAGATTTCTACTCACAAGCAAAAAACTCGGAACTTCCAAATAAACATTAGTTCTACCTAGGCTACGAAGAAACCAGGGCTCTTTGCCTGTAATTCCGAGCAAAGTACGGACGTATGGAGTAGCATGAAACGGATCGGGTGGGTTCGCGTATTCGTTTCAAGATTTCCTAATCCGGTAATCGCAATAGATCGTCGAGGAACAGAGCGGTTAAGCTTGATTTAAAGATAGGTGGGCCTTCTCATAAAGGCTTGACAATTCCTCCACTTGTATCAAGGGGATACATCAGTCCTTACCATCAATTCCACTCCTTCACAATGGATATCGACTTCCACCCCGGTGTCAACGGGTCCAGCCCTTATGTCGACTTTTACCCATATACACCCTCCGACACAGCAGGCTATGCATTCATGGCCATGTTTGGTATCGCGACCATCTCTCATTTTGTCTTGATGATTCCATATCGCGCTGGATATTTCACTCCTCTCTTTCTAGGAGGTGTTTGTACATTTCCCCGTTCCTTCAAGTGCTGGATTGGAATTCGACTAACACGATTCAAACCAGGTGAAACATTCGGATACTACGGTCGAGCGTGGTCCCATAAAGACAGAAGAGATATCTCCTCATGGGCCCTCCAAGAAATGCTCATCCTTTGTGCCCCACCTCTCATCGCCGCTACAGTCTACATGGTCCTCGGTCGAATCATCCGCTGCTTTGGCGCTGAACATCTACTCAGCATGGCTCCTAAAAAGATCACGGTCATCTTTGTATTGAATGATGTACTCACTTTCTGCACGCAACTAGGCGGTGCTGGTGTCCAAATCACCGGAGACGCAAATATCATGGCCATCGGCAAAAAAGTCGTCCTAGCAGGTCTGATTTTCTCCCTGGTCGTGTTCTCCTTCTTCATTTGGATTGCAGTCAGCTTGCATCGACGACTTCTGAGGAACCCTACCGATATATTGGTCATGAACAATATTAATTGGCAGCAGTACATGTGGACTTTGTACGCTGCCTGTTTTGCGTTGATGCTTCGAAATCTTGTTCGGACCATTCAGTTCGGGGCGCCTAAGACTTCGTCCGTTAATCAAAAGGAGTGGTATATTTACGCTTTTGATGGCTTTCTTATGTTCTTTTCTATGGCCGTTCTAGTCGTTTACCATCCTGGGCTTCTAATCAAGAAGGCTCGTCGGCTAGCGAAGGTTGCAGATTTTCATGAACCTTTAACGTCGGATATTCCGTTGACTCAGTATGAGCCACGGATGATGGCAGTATAGACAGATGTGCTGGTCATTATCTGGATTGCAACCTCAATTGATGTTTCTTTTCTTTTCTTCACGTTACATTTGCAGGGGACCTCAATGATGGCGCATGGGTTGTGTTCTTCGATTACTCTTGTTCCCGAGTGCTTTATACAGATGTCAAGTATTGCCTGTGCGGCCGGCAAAAATTACAGAATCGAAGTGATCAGTAAATGCCATTATTAGTAGGATACACCGGGGGCTCAACCGCGCCATCCGTTCACACATTCGGGCAAGACAATAGAAATAAGATGTCGAAAATGACATGTGCGCAGACAAACAAGTCCTCTGGAGAGTATTAGTATGTAGCACATGTACTACACCGATGGGTCAAAAACCCAAAACATTGACCAAATACCGGCTGATGATACATCTAGACATTTTCATTACTGAAAGTGCTGAGACTAACGAGAAGAAACAGTATTAGATATTGTAAGCGCCTAAATAGAACAAGAGGAAGGGACCATGAATCTTCCAAATCGCGATGAGTAAATGACAACAGTAGCAACAGAGAGGACATTAAGACATGTGAACATAGAAACGTATGAAAACAGAAATGTTACTTCAAGTTTGGCCTTCATTCCCTTGTCTGGGCTTTTCCTTCTTGTCCACTGGCGCAGGTGATGATTTGGTGTGTTCCTGCTCCTGCTCCTGCCCCTGCTTCTGTAGAAACTTGCCGTCATCGGTTTTATTTATAAACTCTTTCACATATTTCTCCTCTCCACTCCAATGACCACGCTCCTCGTCGTTGATTCCCTTCGCGCCATTCGGCCAGATAAGCCCTTCCGTGGCAACACCGAATTGATCCGTGCCTCGTCTGACCTTGCGAGTCCGGATGCACCATGCAATGCCGAGCACCATTGTCGCAAACCAAAGCACCATATTGACGAGGTCAATCCAAACTGCAGCGCGCATACGAGGAATTGACAGCGTCGCATTTTCGTATTTTGTGTTGACGTGGGAAGTATAGATTGTCCCGAAAACACCCACCTGGGCAAGCCAAAGGACAAACAGAACCCCATCCCAAGCCGACCATCCGACTTGGGTCACAGTAATGAAGCAATGCACAATGCAAGTCATAGCAGAGAGTGCAGCAACAAATTCAGCGTATATCCATTCTGAGTGGGCACGATTGTTGCTCTTCGTGGAGTGTGCTAAATCGACGCCATAAAGAACAGCAACTGTGACGGCGAAGACAAACTGGAGAGTGCGGAGTGTAGCACGGCTGATAACCCCACAAAGTCCGCTTTTGTGCCAGTATTGATCAATCGTTCGAGGTCTGGGTTTGGCCATGGTGGATGAATATAAGTAGAAGAAAAAGGGGGTTTCTGGGTTTCACAGTATGGCCAGCAAGATAGAATGAAAGTTCAAACCAGCTGTATTGAGCGGGCTTTTATTACTTTAACGGTTATTATATATTTCCTAGGTAGTACTAGGTTAAATTTTCAAATCTAAAAAAAGGAAAACATAAAACTTTAATTGTTACAATTTGCCAAAGACTAGTTCGCTTTAGGGAATTTAATCGTATCCGTAAGCTACGATACCTATTAGGTAGATCCGCCTGTTGAAGCTAACCAATCAAAGGGTTCCAGAGTATAGAGTGGAGATAATCACCCAAACCATCCAGAAAAATGAACGCTGATCAGGTATTCCTACGGAGTACACCTTTAACACATGGTTGTCTATTCTTAGGTAGCCATTTAACAGCGTTAATGGTGGCGATATCAATTTTTAACATCCTCCACTTCTATTCTTGCTCATCAAACCCCCTCCCCCCCCAGCCCGCTGTTTTCATCTTTAGATTCTGCTCTGTGAAGCATAAACGACGCTTAGAGACAGATGTCAACATGACCAATTCGAGACAAATCTCCACTTTCCCTGATAATGAAGATCCTCCGCCACCATACGAGGCACTTTGGAGTTTAGATGATAGGCCAATGCGACAGGGCATTGCGCCTTCGTCTGAACTACCATGCCCCACTGCACCCTTACCTGACCTTTCTTTGACCGAAGATGGCCGTGTGGACATGAGAGTTGAATTGCGATTCAGCCGAAATCTTGAATGGCTGATGAACACCCAATCCACCGAAGTGGAGGTGTCCCAAACGGCAGAGTCGACCGTCCCTGCACCAGTGTCTCCTTTCAACCTTCGCCTAAATATTGTCATCCAAGTGGTAGGCAGTCATGGTGACGTACAGCCTTTCGTTGCCTTGGGCGAGGAGTTGCAAAGATATGGACACCGTGTGCGGTTGGCAACACACGCTAAATTTGAATCATTCGTCAAATCAACTGGACTTGGTTTTTACCCCATTGGCGGAGACCCTGTCGAATTAATGTCGTACATGGTGCGCAATCCGGGGTTAATTCCGAGCATGAAGAGCGTATTGGCGGGCGATGTGCAACAGAAGCGAGCTTCAATTGCCGAGATTCTTGAAGGTTGCTGGCGATCTTGTATAGATCGAGATCCACACGATAAAACACCATTTGTTGCAGATGCTATTATTGCTAATCCGCCAAGCTTTGCTCATATACACTGTGCACAAGCACTTGGGGTCCCTGTCCACCTCATGTTTACAATGCCTTGGACTCCTACCAGGGCTTTTCACCATCCCCTTGCCAACTTGGACTATTCTGGGAACGACCCCTCGTTGGGAAATTATATATCCTACCATTTTGTCGAATGGATTACATGGAACGGGTAGCTACTTCTTTCGCAAATTATCTTGGGATTTTGCTAACACATTCCAGTTTGGGCGATTTGATAAACACATGGCGGAAGAATACCCTAGAGCTCGATCCCATCCCAACCACAGAGGGCCCAAATCTGTATGAAACGCTAAAAGTCCCTTTTACATATTGTTGGTCGCCAGCGTTGACTTCAAAACCGGAGGACTGGGGACCACATATAGGTACGTTAGCTTTGCATGCAATAGGTAAACATATCCAAACTGACATTGCAGATGTCGCTGGCTTCTTCTTCCGTGAACCAGTAGCTTATGATCCACCAGCAGAGCTAGATGAGTTTTTGCGCGCAGGTCAACCGCCTGTCTACATCGGGTTTGGCAGCATCGTTCTCGAGGACGTGAAGGAAACCATGTCAATCCTTTTAAATGCCATCCAAATGATAGGGATTCGCGCCATCATCGCGGGTGGCTGGAGTGAGCTGCATGGCCAAGATACTTCTAGTGTCTATTATGTTCGGGATGTTCCACACGAGTGGCTGTTCAAACATGTCGCCGCTGTCGTACATCACGGTGGTGCCGGTACCACGGCATGTGGTCTACGCAACGGGAAACCCACCACAATCATTCCATTCTTCGGAGAGTAAGTAAGATGACCTCTCATAATCCCATCTAATACTGATCAATCATGCCTTTTAGTCAACCGTTTTGGGGTAACATGGTTGCCACCGCGGGGGCTGGACTGGAACCGATCCCTTATAAGAGCCTTACGGCACAGAAATTGGCAGACGCTATTTCCTATTCGCTTACCCCACATGCTACTGCTGTGGCTCAATACATTGCGGAGCAAATTAATCAAGAATCTGGTGTCCGTGCAGCAGTCGATTCGTTCCATACACATTTGCCACAAACACGAATGCAATGTGATTTGATCCCCGGAGAAGCTGCGGTTTGGAAACTGAAGAAGGGAAAACGGATTCTCAAGCTGTCGAATACTGCTGCACTGGTTTTGAAACGTCAAAGGCGGTTCCAAGAAAAGCATCTCAAAAGGTGAGTAAGGCTAAAGAGCTAGCGACTAATCATCCTTGGGGCTCATGAACATAACTAACCTACTCGGGCGCACAAACAGATACCTAAGCAAGCCATTCACTATAGAGTCCCAACGCTGGGATCCACTTACAGCTGTTTCTTCCGCGTCGCTGTCAACTTTGACCAGCATGGCCGATGCCACAGCTGGTATCTTCATCGATCCTTACAAGGAATGTCAACGTCTCCGATCAAACCGCAATACTTGCCCTGACGTTCCTGTCTCTACTTCTATACCTCTCACCACCGGGTCGCTTTCAACGACAGAAACTGAAGCATCAATGAGCCGTGATGCTGCTGACGCGCCATCAAATTATGTTTCGAATGATCCCAACTATGCCAGGCAAATGGCATTAGCTTCAGCGATCAGCCTTGGAAAGTTTCTGGGTCGGTCCTCACGTGGCATGTTTGTAGACCTACCCCTTGCAGCCACAGAAGGAATGCTGGCCATTCCCCGATGGTACGGCGCTCAAACTAGAGTCCATGGACCCGTACGAGGCTGGAAGAGCGGTGCTGTGGTGGGGTGGTCGACCTTCAGTCACGGCTTGTACGAAGGCTTCACGGATATCTTTGTGTACACATACGCTGGCAAGAAAAAAGAGGGTTCTGTCGGAGTAGCCAAGGGATTGATGAAAGGATTGACCAGCTTAACGGTCAAAACGGGCGCGGCCACTGTCGGCCTCCTTGCTTATCCTAACCAAGGCATATATCGCTCCATTCGGGCTAGGTCACGGAAAGAAATTGCTAGGCGGATTATGGATGCAAGATGGGCTGAGGCAGAGTGTGCTGTGAATGGAAGATGTGGGTACGTGGACGTAGCGGAGTTGTGCTCTTTATATGATGGGCTCTTGGTATCTAGAAGAAAAACGCACAGAAGGCACTAAAATTCCAGCTGATTTCGCGCATAGTTGCCCAACTTTTGAATCAACTTTACTAGAAAAGCATTTAAACTTTGATGACCGGTTAACAACGCCTCTAGTGTAGCATCTTCACTAAAGCAAATGCCTAATTGGGAACTGCCGTATGTATAACGTATTTTGTCGAATACCAAGGTTGAATACTACTGCGAAATATTGGTATCAAAACCCTGAATATCTACGGACCGTTATGACAGCGGTCCCATACAAATCGCATATATTGTTTAGTCAGCGATGTCCGCGCGGATTGGATAAAGAGCGGATTCGTGTCATTTTAGATAGAGTCATTCAGATCACTGAGCCATACCACACATCGTCGTACACCCTGATTTCTATCAATAGTTATACGTTAACACTGTAGCCTGATAAACTAGGCATCCAGGCAGCAAGGTATCAACTTAAGGTCAAATCTCTTCCTCTGTCCCCATGGAGCTAGCTATGTAGAGCTCCATGGCAGTAGGTAGATCATCATCCGCATTCACTTCTGTTGACCACCTTATTGCTTCTTGCTTCCTTTGTAGAGATGTACGTAGCTTTGCATGTCCATCATAGCCTTTCTTTTATCTTTTCATACAGGTTTATGGGATAACAAAAATAAAATTATAAATTGGTACCTGTTCAGGGTATAACCATTGATTGGTCTGATCTAATCTAGCAGCCTTCTGAAACCAGTGTCCACAGGTATAAATAGATGTTTCACGTACTCGTATTTTCGCATTTCTTTTACAGTGGGGCTGTGTCGCAACAACAGTTCTTCACTCCTTTACCCCTTCGTTTGAAATGCACATTAGTTGCAATGATTGATCAAGGTATATGCTATATGGCTAGATTAAAAAAGAAAAGGACTGAAAAAATACGGAAAAAACTATGACAAACACTCGCGAAGCCGATTTCGGTCAATATATGACCTTTGGGTGTGGATAGCGTTGTCTAGCTGGGTGGATTGGAGAACAGTCTTACTAACGAATCAATCTAGACCCTTCCAAGGTTGTTATATTGGTGCCTTATACTGACGGTCCAGCATGAATCAACTGAAAATGGGAGGCCTTATATTGAAGATCGGCCTTGCGGTACTCTCGAAATACCAATCGATCTTTGCATCTTTCGAAAGCGCAAGAGGGTCACTGCTTGAATTGCTTGATGCGCCTCAATCTTTTCTTTTGTTGCTTTTCCAAAATTCAATATCGAGATGATCTATTCAGCCGACGCGGCATCCATTGATGAAATCCCTGCCTTGGTGGTTAGAATTCTCCAACCCTTCTTGCGTGATCTTATTCTCCCTTCTCTATTATCTTTATTCTATCTCTTTTGCATAGGCTCCTTGTTCTTCGATGTGGTCTATTATCTGTTGTATCGAACTAATATATCGTCTCATCCTCTTCTCCGGCGTCTCGCACGTATTCACCGTTTCCATTATCTCTATTTTACTCGGCATATGAACTTCGACAACAAATACCTCTGGCAAAATTCGTATCAAGCGCTACCGCTTAAGTTAGGGCTTCAAATCTTTAGAACCGTACTAGGATATGTTTTTGCTACTTAGGCGACTCCTATTAGGCTTGAGTGGATAACACAAAATTAACTCTAGTTAATAATTGGCATTCAAATAATTAGAACAACCGTTATTATCCTCGCGAGCGGCCGGGACTCGAATCCCCTAGTATATAAAACCGCCCTAAAAGATCCTAACTAGATATTTGCTAGCCTAGAGTACCACACCCTCTATCATATTTACCTAGATCGCTATATTAGTTCATTTATCAAACTATTTGACTAGGTATAGGGTACTACCTACTCCGTTCGAGGGAAACACTTCGTAATTATAGGCGGGAATAGAGCTTTTAGCCGAGCCATTATAGTAGAGCTTAAAAATGAAGGAGTATAGAGCATTCGCAGTTTAAAGTTCGGCGTTGATTAGGAGTATCAAAACTTTAAAAAGGCTATTATAGCGCTTTCTACATATAACGTCCTCATCGTAGCCTATAGTACCAAAGGCCAAGATATAGTGGAATCGAATTACAATTCGGCAGTCCGGCTGGTGCGACTATTTAATTAAAACAGACCTATCAACGAAGCTAGTCCAACGCTCCCAGAAGTATAGTACGTTAGTAGTGAAATCGAATTCCATCCAGCCTTTAGGAATAAAGAGCTATAACGTTACTCCTAGTCAAAAGGGCGCTTTCTCCCACATACACGTTCTTTCTTTGATGATCCTGACATAATTTACCGCCATATTGTCCCATCAGCTTTTCAGTCACCCATAGGGCCAGCTATCCTCTCGGCGGGCTGGGCAGCTAGGTGTACAACGTTCTGGATCGGAGAGGTGCCCGATATGTCCCTATTACATATACGGGATTTGCATATTTGAACTACTTCAAGTTTATGTATTGGGTCGCCTACGCGCAGGGGAAAGATAAAGTGCAAATAAATAATGGAATAGCACAAAGTCTTTATGCTGTTCTATATACTGTTATTGGATATTTAAAATGTTCAAGTTTCAATGGCAACTATATGAAAAACCTGCTCGGGAATAAGATAAATAGCTCGGAACGGAAATGTGAGAACACAATGCCCTATAGTTGAGACCTTGAAGATTGCCGTAAATCATCCCACTTAGAAATTTGATCTATTGACGCCCTCGTGGAACACATTTGTTTGCATTCTTCTTCACGGAATGGATGACGTGGAAACTGAGCTTTATGATTAACAGGTGAATTGCCCGATTAGGAGATAAGGTAACGAATACGCGCAGATCAGCAGAACCCACTATATCCAGTTTCTTGAAGTTCCTACTTCCCCGATTACATTTAATATTCAAATTCTTGGCTACGGGATACTGAAGGCTTCGGATCCTTTGGACCGGTTCGTTATATGACATCAATTTAAAAAGGCCATGCTATCATTAGACTCTTAGGGAGTACATGCCACTTATCAACATCTTCAAGCTCCACTGTGGATTAAACCGTAAGTCTACTCCTAAAGTAGCAAGGAGTCTAAAAGCAAACGTACACAGAAACGGTGCTCCCTCCCACACCCAAGTGGATTCCCGCACTAGTCGCAGGCACCTTGATTGGAGATTATCCACACGGGGCACTTTTATTTCTGTAGAGGACTTATTCGTAATGAATTGTGCACGTCGGAAAAGCAAAGTCCTGGATCGTCCTATAAGTAGCCCCTGTAACCATGTTTTGCGAGTATTGAGTTACAAGTTCGAGCAATCCCAGCGGCTATGCTCTCATTTACTGTTCGCGCAATCTTTGCCAATCTATTCCTTGCAGTTGCAGCTTCTGCCAGTTGCAAATCCTCCCCCGATGATTCGAGCTGGCCTTCTGCAAACGAATGGCGGGCACTCAACCAGTCCATCCAGGGGACCCTCATAAAAACTACCCCTGCAGCCTCATCATGCTACCCTGGGAATCCATTTGGTTCCACGGATAATTGCACTAATGTGAAAAACCATTGGACCTATGCCTCGTATCATTCCACCTGGCCCGAGAGTATCGACTACCCGATCTATGCCAACAACTCTTGTTTACCCCAGGGGGCGACGGGATACACCAAGGATAGAGGGTGCGAGATTGGTGGGCTACCGCAGTATATCGTGAATGCCTCAACGGAGATGCAGATTGCTACTGCACTGACATGGGCTTCTCGCAATAACATTCGTGTGGTTGTTAAGGGGACTGGGCATGATCTCAATGGCCGGTATGTCACCTACTCCCAGCTAATAACGACCTGACCCCACTAATCACATATCAGGTCAACGGGAGCATTTGCACTATCCATTTGGACGCATAATTTCAAGCACACTGTCCACCACCGAAACTGGAATGTTCCTGGCAGAAATGATACCGCAGACGTTCTGGTCTGTGGCAGTGGAAATAACTGGGGCTCTGCCAACCTTGCTGCACACAACGTGCACAGAGCTATCGTGGGTGGCGAAGACCCTACAGTTGGCTTGGGAGGTTTGATTCAGAACGGTGGCCACGGGTGGCTGTCAAGCCATTATGGTCTTGCATCGGACCAAGTATACCAAGTCACTGTCATCACCACTGATGGTAAGCGCCTTGTTGCCAATGCTGCGCAGAACCAAGATCTTTTCTGGGCGGTTCGCGGCGGCGGAGCAGGGCAGTTTGGCGTGGTGACCGAGTTCGTTCTGAAAACTTACCCCGTGCCCGACAACATGGTCACGGGGGGGTTCTCTTTCCATGCAACTTCCCACTCTAACGCCAGCGAAATTGCGTCCTGGAATGCTATGGCCGAGCTTGCTTCTCTCATTCCCGATATCATGGATACCGGTCTCACTGGCAGCGTGTCCGCACTTACGGGTAAACAGGCTGTGGCACTGATGGGGCTAGATCAATCTCCTCCGGGTGTCGCTGCTTCTGTGAGTTTGACCGGGTTTAACATGACTACGCGTGAAATGAACGCTACGATCAACAATCTGGTAGCCCGGATCGCCAACAGCACGCAAGGGATCTATTTGGACTTCTCTTTGACAGTACCAACCACTAAGAGTTTCTACACTAAGAGTGGCTCTAGCACCAGGGCTGGGGCTGTCAGCTTGCTCACCAGTCGCCTCTTGGGCCGACAGGAACTCTCCGATATTGCCAAAGAGGACCTGATTCAATACCTTCAACAAATCCTCGTTTCTCAAAGCTCCGCTGGATCGATGCTACTCTTCGGTCTCCAGGCCGGGCTTGGACCCGCTAATGTCCCGGAAGAAATGCGTGGAAGTGTCCTTCCAGCCTGGCGTCAAGCCTACGCACATGTTATGACTTACGGGGCATCGATGAATGCCACTGGTGATCCAAGCGAGTCTTTGAAATCCGGAGCTGAATATTACGAAACAGCCAAAGAGCCTGTATGGAGGAAATGGGCTCCAAATTCCGGTGCCTATATGAATGAGGGAAACCCTTTTAGCATTACATGGAAGCAGGATTTCTATGGTGAGAACTACGAAAGGCTTCTTGAGATCAAGCGCAAGTATGACCCGAGTGAAAGTTTGTTTATCTGGAGCGGTCTTGGTAGTGACATGTGGAACTATGACCTGAAAAGCGGATTGTTGTGTCAGATATCCTAAATTTCAGCATGCCACTTCACAGATGAATTTTAAAGTCACGGGGAAAGTGTAAGACTTATTATGTTGTACTTGATACTAGGTGGTAACCGTGCCAAGCCCACCAACACCTACCCGGTATTGGTGGGCTTCACCCGATTACAATTTTTCACAGGATTACAAATTCTTCAATAACAATTGTATTAAAATAGTATTTACAAATAACCACCACCACTATCTATAAACCAATTTCCACCTAAACTATCTCTTGCCGCTATTGAAGCTTCATGCTCAGTTTCTAATAAATCCCTTGCCGTTTGGGCCTACTGCTCAGCTTCTAAATCCTTGGCATGCCTCGCCTGTAACCGCTGTAACTTCCTAGAATCGGTATCTAGCCTTTTGACCATCTTCCTATTTATAGAGAGAGGGGAGAGCACTGAGCCCCTTGATCCAAGAATCGATTTCCCATTTCTTGGGGTAGTTGTAGTTGATTTATACTCTTAGGACTTCTTTAGAGTAGCCTTCACTAGATTAAGCTCTACTAAGAGCGCACTTACATCCATGCTTCGTTGCAAATGCCTTTTTATCCTTTGAGATTGGTGTTCCATCTGCTCGAAATCATGAACAAGCTTAGTATTAAGCTTATTCACCCGCTCAATTATATCTGGTGGCGAATTGGTGATAGAGCTCGAGATATCTGGGGGGGGATGGCGTGAAAATCCTAAGGGGGGACCCTTTAGCTTCAAGATCCCTTTGACGTAAAGGACTAAGAATAACCTCTAGATCTAGAGGGTAAATACCCCTAGATTTAAAAGATGATCGAATAGTTCTTTAGGTGAAAGCTTGCTCTCGAACCCTTTAGATAATCCGGAAGAAATCCCGCTTTTTACTTACGCTTCTACCCTATATAACAACCTCACTATTTTCTTTCCGGAAATAGTGCTTTAAGCATTAGAATACTTAACTATCTAGTGGTTGATAAAGATAAGTTGTATAGGGTAGAAAATAGAAAGGAATAATGAAATGTTACTCGCAAAAAGTAACGAATTCTAAAGTTGTATAAGAGCTATAGTTATCTATTAAAAGCCGTGGCCTACCCTTTTTAACCCGAGAAATCGAGGCTTTATAAAAGGAATAGAGCTATTAAAGAGCGGTTTTATCGTTAATCTAACCATTCGGAGTAGGCTTAATTCGAAAATCGGGGGTAGTGATATTCTCGTACCACTCCTCTATATAGAGATTACCCTTTGGTAGGAACTAGGGTAGTATAACCTAACTATCGGCGGCGATACATTCAATACTAGTAATTGATTCTGTATAACCGCCGGTAGGGTTATTACACCCTATACTAGGCGTAATAACCTTTTGACGCTTTCCTTAGCCAATTTAATAGCCGGTTTCATCCTAATTAAAGATCTCATTAGGTAGGAATTAGTGCTTCGTAATAACCTTTGAAAGTGAGATCCGCAGGACTCATTTCGGGCATATGAGCTGCGTCTCTGGTCATTATAGACCCCCGTAAGGATCCGTATGGATCCTCATGGTGCCACTTTGGCCTACATAGACCCCCCGTATCCGCCTGTATATAGCAGCCGGATACTCCTAGTCTAATACAAAACCATGCGATCCTTTCTGAATCACATCTGGTAGCATGTCGGTTTAAGCCTTCTTCTATGGAGGCCTAGGGAAGGGTACGGAAGGACCGTAACGGGCCCAAAAAAAAAAAAAAAAAAAAGGGTCCCTATGGGTATATCCCAGATCATATACACCCATCCGTTTCCGTACCTAGGCCTGATGTTACGCACTGCTAACTGGTCACAGTTAGGTTAGAAGGTTTCCAGGTTATACTTGCCTTATGCTTCTCAGGCTTCTAACGTCAACGATCTGTACTCTCAACCGTACTGTTGCCTAATAGGCCTTACTGTAGGATGGGTCCTATTGAGGTATCGAGGAACGATGCTAGGTAGAGCGCCGAGTAGATCTATACCGGAGTATTGGTCTGCTCGTGAGTGTTGTCAAGTTATAATCAAGTTTAATGAGTCACTGAAGTTCTAAAGGTATATATAAGTAACTATGTATGATTGAAGACGAAGAACTATACTAAGTATATGAATGAGTGTCCTTATATATCCTTCGTGCCTACTCCCTAGTCTACCCCCTAGGGGTAGATGCTAGAGTTACCGTATACTCCTAGGTAATACTCCTATAGAGTAGGTCCTAGAGTCACGCTTAGTTAGGCGTATCCTACGATTAACCTCTTCCTATAAAATACTAGGGTTATACTTAGCTAAGTATATCCTACGGCTGTCCTATAACTAGTCCTATCCTAGGATAAGCCTAGTCCTACGATATACCTTAGTTATATATCCCACTCGCTAGATCCCTAGGGATCCTATAATAGTTACGGATGTGCGGTAGCCTATCTCGTAGGATCCGTGGTTCCTTACGATATAACTTATCTTAGGTTCGCTAATACTATATATTATTCTATATTATAAGGGTATAACGGAAAGACTATATATTTCTATAGTATATCACGTGACTTATTAGTTAGTTAGCTCTCGGTGGCCTATCGGTGTGGCTTATAGATCTCCACTAATTAGTGACGGGAGTGCCTATAATATCACCTCCCCCTCTCCTAGGGTTTCGTCCTCGAAGCCTTTAAAGTTATCGACCCCCCTCTAGTAAGTGGTGTCGTTTTTATTTTTCTCTTTTTTCTTAATATCGTCTCCTCACTATACCTATTTCTAACGAAGTACGTAAGAGAAATAGATTACGTTAATATAACACTATCCTCGTAGTAGGTTCGATCGTTAATACTCCTTACGAACACTATTCTAGCAACTTTATTAACTATATTATAGACTCGAAGAGTTAGAACTATACGGAGTGTACCCGTCGCGGTCGTAAATATATAAAGCGTTTCTATAATGATCGTGAGTGGGAATCGCTTAAGCGCGATCGTTAGAAAGTGGCGATAGAATTAGAGTAAGCCTAAAAGTAGTAGCTTAAATATTCTTAGCAAATAAATTAGGCGATATCGAAAATACTTCGCCTTTAGAAATAATAGTAGTTTCTTAAAGATTGTGGTAGTTAGATATTAAATTATAACTCTATAGTTATAGAGTAGTTAGATACCGAAGATCCTCCGTCTTCTAAGGACCTCACTAAGCTAGGTCGTCTCGCTAAAGAGCACGATACTTAGATTCTTACCGCTATATTAGAGAATCCTACTCTAACCTAGATATTTAGTCCCCTATCCCCTTCTATTTTAGAGGGGATAGACTTATCCTTCCTAGCTTACGATTCTTCCGGTGGAACTATTAAACTAGCTAGGGGTAGCCCCTTAGGTTCTCGATAGGTTCCTATATATTCTTAGAGGTATCGTACCCCTTCTATCTCACTAAGTAGTGAGGCTTTCCGCTCATTCGTTTTATTTCTAGAATTTCCTCAACCTTATATTCGTTTTCCGTTTCTTCTTCGATTTCTATATTTATCGCGAGTTTAGCGTTATTTAGTACGGGTTCAAGTAACGAGATATAAAACACTAGATAGAGTTTTTATATACTTTCTAGTAGCCTTAAGCGATAATTGACTAGTCCCAATTTTTCTTCGATTTCGAATAGTCCTAATCGTAGGTGGTCCAATTTGTTACTAGGTCGCTTAGTTTTAATATTATAGCGTAAAAGATAAACCTTTTCCCCCCTTTTAGGTTAGGTCCCTCCTAGTGTTATTAGTCGTAGTACTTCTTTATACGTAGGTTAACGAAGTCAATATCTCTAGATAGTTATAGATATAACTATTTTAGCCCGCTAGCCTTTAGTCTTACTAATTCCGCTATAGCTATTTTACTAATTGGTTCTCTAAATATTATAGGGTTATACCTATAGTTTACGAAGAATGGTGATTCTCGTGTTATAGAGTGTACTATATTATTATATGCTAGTTATGCTATTAGTAATAGTCCTACCTAGTCGTCTTACTAGTAGTTTATATAGTGCCGTAGGTACTATTTCAACGTCTAGTTCACTCTTTCTATTTATCCGTTAGTTTGTGGATAGTATATAGTAGAGAGTCTAAGCTTAATACCTATTTAATCCGTAAATAATTACTATATCTTCGATATAAATAACTTATCTCTATCTAATATAATCTTGCTTAGTATCCCGTGGTTTACGACTATATATCGTAGCACGATATTCGCTATCTAGTCGGCGTCAATAGTTTCTATAGTCGGAATCATATAGGCGTATTTCGTGAGCCTATCGACTATAACTATGATTATATCGTGTTCTTCTAAGACTAGTAACTTTGTGATAAAGTCTATAGTGATCTATTCCTAAGGGTGGGATAGTGTCTTAGATAGCTATAATTCCCTATAAGGTGCGTGTCGTGCTAGCTTGTTCCTTTAGTACGTGTTATATCCCCTAATATAGAGTCGGACCTTTCGATATATATTTAGAAAATAATAGTTTCGCGAAATCTATTCGATAGTCTTTTCTACCCCTATATATCTATATATAATATCGTCGTGATATCTTTTAATCACTTTGTTTTTTAGTTTTAATAGGATATATATCAATCCGTGTATATAGAATAATCTATTGTCGTCTAGGGTGAGTTTATCGCCCGTTCCGATAAGATGTTGGATTATATCTCCCTTTAATTCATCCTTAATCTGTTATAATAGATCGTCGTCCTTAACCTCGATTATTACGGCTAGTACTTGTTTATTATATAAGATGGTTCTATCCTAGTTTTATCTTAATATAGCGGGCTCCGCTACCTTAGTACTAAGCTCGTAGTCTAGTCGTCTACTTAAAGCGTCTACTTAGCTATTCTCTATTCCTTTATAGTGTATGATTCTAAAATCGTATTATATAAGGGTTTTAGCCTATCGCGCTTATCGTCGTATGAGAACCTTCGTTATTATAAAGAACGTGAGGTTCTTATAATCGGTTCGTACTATTATAGTGTATTTTACTCCTTCTAGATATACCCTCTAGACTTAGAATACTAACACT